TGCTCTATAAAACAATCTTGTTGGGTCTGTTTTTTTTTTTTCCTTTGGCTGTTGCTCAGCTATACTGATTTAAATCAAATCTTGCAAAAGGCTCCACATAGAAGCATAAAGATCACTGAACGCACATTATTTAGCCCATATTCTACTGGTTGTGTGTGTGTGCGTGTCTTTGGCCTATCAGAGTAATAAACCCTACTTCAGAGTAGCCTCCAACAGCTCTTTAAGGCATACTTAACACCACTAAAGAAATACACCCAGGTAGTAGTTGCTCTGCCAGGATCTTCCCGTGGATGAAAGGTGGGCGGGGGAGTTGTTAGGAGAATTCATCCACATAGCTCCCCAAGCAATACTACACAAAACTGGCCACAAGACAACCCTATCAACCTCAAAGATTACCTGTCTCCTACACCGTACGGTATATGAATGTTTTATCATAAAAGCTTTTTCTTTTTTGCTAAGTGCCTCCTTGAGTGTCTGCTTTTAACTTTTGATTACTTTCTGTCTTGTTGCAAAGAAGACAAAAATAAATAAATAAAAACGGCCCAGTCCATTTGAATGTAATGGGCTTAACAGGAAAGGTTATCCGTCTTCTGTTCACCGACTGGATGCAGTGTGTCGCAGTGGTTGGAATCTCACACACAGAGGGTGTCAAAGTTTAGACAATGTAGCAATAAACTACATTCATATTGTCACATTGTCTGAGAGAGCCAGGAGAAGGGGAGAGCAGCAGGAGAAAACAGACATGACACTATCACATAAATAAAACAGTGTGGCCAGCTTTTGTATGTGATTCATATGTTTCCGTCGGTGAGGAAATATAGTATGTCATGCATGTCAGTGTAAAAAGACTCATTTACAAGCAATAAAAGCAATCTGATTGAACATCTCTGCTTTGATGTGGCGGATCACATCTCCTTAGGATCCTTTTTACGCACGTCAGCTGACTTTCTCTTTTATAAGGCCTTGAGTAATTGAGAAGAAAAAAAAGAAAAGTTTTTCACTCTTTGGGTCCAGACGCTGAGGTTTCCAGCCTTTAGCCAGCCGCCCCCCCCCCCCCCCCTCCTCCTTCCTCCTCCCGCTCCACTAGGTTTTACCAGACGTCGCGTTGTGAGAGGGGAATGGTCGATTGCATAACGGCAGGCGAGACTTGATCGTTCCTGGCCTTCTCGCAAAATTCAATCATTCTCTGCATACTCCAATCCCATGACGGCCCATTAAAGCGCAGCACGGGCTAGGATTTCCCCTCATGTGTTTTAAATTGAAATTACGGTCACAAAGTCTGCCGTATGCACGAAGAGAGGAAGACAAGGAGCCTGGGGAGAAGAAGATGCCACACCAGTTGCAGGAGAGGAAGGAAGAGGTAAGCTGGGAAGGTGAGGGGGGGGGGGGCAAACTCTTCCAACGCTTATTATTTTTATTCCACTCATCCCACCTTCCATGTTCACACTGACTCGTTTTGTAAATCACTCGACTCTGTTTTACTCTCAGGATATTTTTAAATCTCAATTTCAGCTAACATTTCGGTGCCTCAGGAGAAAAATTAAAGATGTCAAAATAGGACTTAATCTTGGACGTTTCTCAACGCGAAGACATTGCGAAAAAATCTCTCCAAAACGGCGATGCTACGTCTCCAGTCAGCACACCGTAAGTCACTGAAACTACAGGAGATGATAAAGAGAACAGGTCGAGTATGAGACAGCAGTCAATGATGACCCCAGATGTTCTCCTAGGAGCCGGTGGGATCTGAATCAGACTCTGACTGGCCATGAGTTCCTCATTCCTGTTTGTCTCCGTGGACTAAAGGAAGCTTAAACACACACACACACACACACACACACACATGCATACTGACACACCTACATGGCCAAAAAGTCTCTGATTTACTGTGCAGAGGATGTGAGACACTCATAACTTCACTGACCTGGGCAAACAGCTACTAGAAATGTATTATTCCCCTCCTTTTGAGAGCAGTTTAGCTATTTCTAGCTCAGTGGAAACTCCTGAATAAATGGTGGAATAACAGCACTTCTATATTTAGCCTCAGTATTTTGATTTGACTCATCATAAGAGACTTTCAATCCTCGGTTTTATAACACCACTAGAATTTATTGTAAGATTAAGAAACAGCAGCTGAATGAAACAGGTTATTTTCTTTTAACTTGGGTTCAAATCGCTGCAGCGGTCCATCTTTCTTGACCATTGAGTGCAGCACTGCCATGCCCTCATGGTGAGCAGATTCAAATCATACAGTGACATCTAGTGTTGGATTTTTAGATGTGCAGGCATGTAAAAAAGGCAAAAAACATCTTTAAATAATTTTTTGTGCCGTATGTGTCGATTTTGTAAGTGACATCAACAATTAATAGACAGATGTAATTTTTTATTTGAATTTTTTGTATTTATGTAAAAAAAAATACCTCTTTGTCTCCTAAGAGTGTAGCCATAATTTTGGAGCTTTTAATAATTGAAGAAATAGATACTGCAAAGATAATTCAGAACTCTAATTAACTAGTGCATTATTAACAACTACCATAATTACAACATTAATAGGCAGAGGTGTTCTTGTCGGTTTCTCTGTGTTGGCTGGTTGAGGCAGGCTTTGGATTACATGTTCAATCAAAGCCAGAGGTTTTGTCACATCACATGTTTGGTGAAACTAAATGCGATTCTGTCAGGCTGAAACACGGAGGAGGTTTTGATGCACTTATGTGGGAAGAGAAATAAAAGATTACATCTGGGCAACTCTCAGGATGTGGCAAATGGAAAGGTGAAAACTGTTCACTTTCAGATTATTAAAGATTCAGATTAACTCAGACATTCAACGTAAAACACTGGGTCTTAACATGACCTATATGGTGGTTTTGCTATCTAGGCATCTGTTGAGTCTATTCATCTATAAAGAAAAATATAACAGTGATTATCATGTATTATTGTACATTGGCCTTTATTCGGTTTTTGGGAGACTTTAATATTGAATAAAGTCTTTTTTTCAGTTTCTATTGTGATCGCTCTTTCTCAGTCATGGCCCCTTATCTCCCCACTAGTGTCTGCTGTAAGGGATGCATTTGAGGTTGTTGGGTTGTTAAACATGTCAGTTTTAAGATGTCCAACTCTTAAATGTAACATGCAGCTTTGTGTTTGATTTCTTATTCAAGAATTTAAAAGAGACTTTGACACATCTTTGGAACCACATGATTTTATTCAAATAGCATTAGGGTGTGTAAGATGAAGTACAGGGTGAGTCACACAGATGGAAATGCTTGTCCTGTAGAGCCACCTTCTGGTCAGAGCTCGCACATGTATGAATGTAATCAACAAACATTAACTCCCTGCACTTCTCTTCAGCAGAAATTAAATACGGGATTTTTCTCCCACTTGACAAAAGCTGACAAAGGTTTAATGAGGGCATCCATCTCGAAATGTGTTCAGAAATTGCATTCCACAGATTAGATTTTGTTCCATGGGGATAATTTTAGGTTCTCACAGTAAAACAGATTTTCTTTTTCAATTCATTAGGTCACATGATCCAAATCATGATGAGTTATTTCATACAAAAGCATGTAAAACCTTGTTGAGTATTAGTGCTTCTGAGCTTTTTGTGTTATAAGTTAAGACCATGCTAGCGGGAATCTTGGTCTTTACATGGATATTCATATCATTCAAATAATCATTTTCCTAGATAAGACACAGACCCATTTTAACAGCAAATGACAAACAAGTGCTTCTAAAAGCATGACTATGACCAAAAAAATGCTTAGATGTGGATTGGCTAAAATGTCACAAAGCCAAAGAAATTGATCCAGTCTCTGAATGCCCAGATCCAAAACACATTATAGTTCTGTGGGACAAAACTGTATGTGTTGGATCTAAAAAAGCTTGATGACACATCCTGATGGAATTCAAAGGTAAGCATCACCGGAAACGTCTTGAGGTTTTCTGTTCATACCATATTTGTTTTTATTTGTTTTTTAACAATATGTGCCTTAGAAATATTATGAAAGATAATTTCTGCTACTTGTTCCCTTAATAAACCATTTGTTTATCACTCAGCAGAAAAGAGATGCCCTTATTTATGTCTTTAAAACAAGATGACCCAATAGAAAGACTTCTGAGACCCACGCTTTTATTTGCTTTGCATTTTTACCTTTTTCAAGATATATGGGATTATTTGGGTTTATTAAACTAATAAGTTTAATAAAAAGGCTTTGTCATGTTACAGGTAGTTCTTCTTCGTTTAGGCCCAGTAGGTTTGTCTTTATATTTAAAATGTTTGTTTATATATTTAATTAAATGTTTTGCAATTTGGTTTTGACTGTCCAAATGACTTATTAACAGCAATTTAATTACAAGATAAGAACATGAAGGGTTGAAAATGTATAACACTGTAGCGTCTACTATGAGGTCGAGAGGTCAAAGTCGAAAGAAAAAAGAAATTTCAAGGTAAAGAGAGGCAAAAATACACTGTCCTCATTTGAGGACGAAGGGTCTCAGGAGGTGAGATAGCTTTAAATTAGAACCCCAAACTACCAAAGTTTGGGAAACTCTTCTGAAGGTAAAGAAGAAAAGAATTCAGTGGTTTTCAAATCTCTTCAACCAAGGCTTTATTCACAATAGAATACAAACAACAGCTTATGTTGAAATTGAGATGACTATTTCATTAAAAAAGGAGCCCATGTTGAATTTGATGGCCGTAACATAACTCTAAACAATACTGGGACACAGGCAACAAAAGACTGGAAAGGTAAGTGTGCTAAAAACAATCATCTGGCAGAGCTGGGTTAAAAAAAACAAAAAAAACAGCACTTTAAGATGCAGAATCTCTCCTTTCCTAGGTGGTTTCTTTTCTTTTGCTTCCCCTCTTTCCCTGTCCCAGTGTTGGGTTTGCTATTGTTTACTACATGAAAAGCGTTGTAACAAAAATGAACAAAAAAGCAGCATTAGCTAAACAAGGGGGCTTTTCATCCATAAAGCTTCTGTTGGCAAAGCAAATGTGTTCGGCTTAATGCACTTCCCTCTCTCTCTTTGTGTCACCACTGATTCTGACAAGGGATTTTCCTTTAGAGAACTTAGTGTCATATTGATGATAACTGTAAAATTGTGTCTACTTTGTAAGTTGTGTTGGATAGAACCATCTGCTAAATGCATAAACAGAAACATAATGGTGAACAAGTTTTAAAAAAGTTTTTTTTTTTAAAGAAGAAGATGCCAAGTCTCTTAGGGGACACAATTATCTGGTTCTGCTCTGTTCCGTCTGCTTGAAACTGTGTCCACAAATCAGATGATATGAATCAAATACTGAAGAACAACCTTTAAACCCTCATGCACCACTGGTTTAAAAAGCAGGCATATTCATAATGAAGTTCAGCAAGCGGGCATTTAAAAGAGGTCTGTGAAGGCAAACAGAAATGCCGTTCACAGATTGAGCCTCCCGTCCTGCTTTGCTTTGCCGTACAAATTGGAACAAGTGCTGCCATGTAAATCATGAAAAGAAGTAGCCACATGTGAAGAGCCAGAAACACTGCCAGCCACTATTGAGCGACTACAATTCTATATTAGACAAGGATCTAACAATACTTCCTGTTCTAAATGCCCAACAACTGATCCCCAGACCTTTGGGAGGGAAGTGAGAATGTAACAGTGGTAAATTACGACATCACCTGTCTCAACTTTTCTTACTCACATCAAATTCAAAATAGCCATCTGTGATCTGTTGTGTATAAACTATCAGATCATGCCATTGGGAATTATTTGCACTCTGCTTTTTATGTACATGTAACGAGAATCTGCCCCACGGTTCTTTCAAAATCGGGGTGTACCTGTGTCTCTCTCACCAACCATTACAACCATATTTAGCCCCGGAAGCTGGGCTCCCTGGGCTAAAGGTCTAGATTACTGACAACGCAGGGTGCTTCTTCTGAGCTGTGCATTAACATGGTTTCATTACTGTTTTGTATTGTTGAACAATTACTGATGCAGTAACACAACAAGTTAAACAACTCTGTACAGCAAAAGAAGCACAAATCTTTCATAATCTACACTTAAGGCACGCCTCAGACAGAGTCAACAGTTTCGTTTTCGTAAAGAAGCGACATCAATTAGACTTTCACGCCACGTCAAAAGTTCAAGTAAAATGACCTCTGAATTGATAAGGACATGTAAAACGTTCGTAAAATCCATCCGTTTTTTTGGTCTTTTGTGGTCTGAGGCCCTGACCATGTTGGATTTAATTGAATTTTTTTGTAGTGCTCACTCCATATGGCAATAAATATTAATAACTTATCTGAAAAGAAGGAGTGATGCAGTGGGATAATGGTCTCCAGTGAATTATCAGCACGTTTAAATCATGTTGGAATATGTAAGACTCATGGCTACGGAGTCCAGTGCTAATAAAAATAAGTGCAATCTATAATGGCGGTTCTACAGCAGTGTCCGACATAAATATCTTCCGTGTCTATGCCAAGCACCTGGTTTTGCAGGGTTTACCCGATTGGAAAAGTCTATAGACGCTGACCAACGGGAACATGGATAAAGCGCCCAGCATGGAGCCCAGCTGCACTACGGCCCCACACCACACGAGCGCGCTGTGCCCCTCGTCCCTCAGGATCACCCCGATGATGACCTTCACATAGGACAGCGACAGGACGAACAGGATCCAGGCCAGCACCTGCAGCAGAGGGGAGGTCAATACTGCGCATGAAATTACATCCGCTCTGTCATTCTGAAATATCACAGAAAGGCGTCTCAGTGGGCCTGTTTGCTGACTCAGAATAAGTAAATTATCAGCAAAGACTACCAAGTAGTTCCTGCTTTGTAAATCCTTCTGTTTGAGCTTTTCCTGTTTGCTATTATCCTGTCATCAAAAAGATTTAGTCATGATTGTCATTTTAGAGGGGTTATAAGCTCCATTTTGGGAAAAAAAAAAAAGTGGATCAACAATGTCATGATCCACTTCGAAACATGAAAATAAGGAACCAATTATCTCAAATTTTGAATTTTTTCAAACTGAAAAATAAATTAACGTGGGACATTTGATCCAAAATTAATTTCCTCCTTAATGTTTGCCTCTGATAAAAAAAAAGAAGTTGGTTTGTAGACATCTGTCTATCCTGTTTATGTGGAAACAAATGGACATGTTCACTTTGAAAGCCGTTCCTAAGCAGATCACTGACTTGAAATGATTGCAAACATTCCACTGAAGTAACATGCCTGAATTGATAAGGAACAGCCTAACTGCGTGTGACATGTGGGTGGCACCTGGATTGTTGTGCAAGCCGCAGCCCAATTTATAAGGCAGGCCAGCCCATCCAGAACTATTCATTAAAGCAGACATATGAGACAGACTGAAGGAGAAAGAGTCTTACTATAACGGCAGTTCCCCAGGTAGAGTGGACCAGCAAAGGGCAAGGGCTCAGAGCGGCCATGGCCATGATGTAGGCTCCGAACCCAGTTCCAAACATGGTCAAAAAGCTCATGAAGATCAGAGACCTAAAAGAAAAATGACATCAAAGATTTCTGTCACACTGATCAATGACTCAGCACTTTCAGAACAACTCTGACATCCAACAGTTTGGAACTTTGGAATAGCTTTTCTTTTTGGTTCTTTAATACACATCACCGGTTTCTATGTGTAGCTGATATATGACACCTGTTCAGATGTTGCGACTCACCTTACTGGAACGAACATGGCGATGAAACAAGCCACGGGGTTGGCGACGGCGGCCATGGTGGCGGCCAGATGGTAAGCCTTGTTCCCGTAAGGCAGGCAGGAGTAGGACTGGACGGAGGGCAGCACCGCGTTGGTCAGAGCGTTCACCCACGCCAGCACCACGAAGATGAACACCACCTCCAGGTTGCTGTACGTCCCCATCCCGAAAGAGCTCCTGGGCCGTCTCCGGTCAGCGTCCAGAGGGCTGATCATTGGCTTCTGCTCGGGCGTCTGGGCGTGAAGGGACAAACCCTGCTCCCTTTTCTCGCGCTCCATGTCCTCGCAGAAGTAGTGGTCGCTCTTCCTCTCGCGAGCCACCGCCGGGTGGTGGTTGAGGAGTACGAAGGCCGCCAGGCACACGACCATCATGGCGCTGAGGAATATGAAGAAGACCTGCACGGAGAAGGTGGGTGGCTGGTAGTCGGGCTGCAGCTCGCCTCCGCTGGAGTTACCGGCCCACGCCTCCGCGGGGGAGGTTTTGTTCGTACAGTGGACCTGCCCGACGCCCTGGATCAAGGCCACCAGCGCGGGAACGAGGCCGCTGAGACCTTCGCCCGCAAAGTAGGTGGTGAGGTACTGGGGGCGCAGGCGCATCATGAAAGGCAGGAAGGTGACCGAGGACGTGCAGTCCACCACGGACAGCAGGAAGCTCAGAACCAGCAGCGGCACGCTGTGCGCCGAGTCCGCCACGGACACCGTGTGGTTCCAGAAGAAAGCCAGCAGGAATGTCGCCACAATCCCCAGGACCACGATAAAGTAGATGACCGGCCGCTCGTCCAGAGCCCCCGGACGGAAGCGGTGCATGAGGGTGATGAAGAGAGGGCCGATGTTGGCCATCTGGATGAGCACTGTGAGATAGGAGGGAAGGTACCAGCCCTCCGGGATGCCGTGGACGACCAGGGGCAGCTCCACCCACATCCCGTTGATGGCCACCCAGGAACCCATGCCGAAAAGGCAGGCCAGCACGTGAGTCAGCAGCGACATGACGGCAGCAGGAATGAAGCAGAGCAGGAAGAGGAAATGGGCACAATCTGAAAGACATTAATAACAAAGACAGGTTCAATAAGTGAAATTCAAAGGGAAATAAGCCTAGAAATGAGCAGGCCTTGACATGAGCCTAACCTCGGAGGAATGTTTGGACACTTTCTAAACGGCACAGGGTTGGCCTGCTCCTGTTCGGGTTGTTGTGACAGTGTCGGTCTTAATGGGGCTCATGATGGACAAAAGTCTGCTTCATCAAAGTGTTAAAAGCGTCCAATATCAATAATTGAACACATCCGTGTCGTTTTCCTTACTTTTATTTTGAACCTTGCGACGAAACCACGGCCTATTTCATCCTCCAAACCAATCAGCATTTGACCATTCACTTTCATCCCAGAACTTTTAGGTTCTTATTGGTTGAATACCTCTGTGGAAGGTGAGAACAACTCAGGATGATAAACTCTGCCGTTATGTGACGGTGCCTCAATAGTAATACTTATACCTCATAATACAGTTCACATGAGTTAAGTAAGCATTTTGTGGTTATTTTCAGCTCCGGTATTTGCTGGCCCCTTATCCACAACACCTGATTCAAATAGTATGGACATGAAGGTGTCAAGTGCAAGGTTCTGTGTGGTTTGTCGGAGTTGATCCCCACTACCTAAGCTCGTCAGCGGACCCCGTTTTTTTAACTACCTGCATGAATTCATAAACATGATGAAGTTGCTGCTGTTCATACTGCACCAGGAAAAACTGTGAGCATGTGACTGACCTTGCTAAGGGTATACCTCTCCCCGCCACCGGCTTCATCCCTCTTACGGGCAGTGGATGCCTAACCTTTCACACACTGACACAGTGCTCCCATAAAAAGCCCCATGGGCCCGTGGCATAAACAGACATTAAAGGGCAATCATTGTGTTCCAGTTGTGCCATACAGCTTCATCGTTGCGGCCTGTGAAAGATTAGGTCCAGTTGGAAATACAAAAAGGGAATCTTATCCTTCCAATAATAAATGTATTCGTGTAAATGTAGCCAGTAAGTCTTCTGGGGTCTTTCAGTAGGATAGTGTCAGAGAGACCTCTCATTGGTCGAGGTAAAAAGCATCACTTGAGAGGCAAAATTTAACTCACCCTGATGATTTTGTAATAGTTTGAAAAAAGGAAGAAATACTGACTATCATGTGAGGCTATGTGTTCCAACTTCCTGCCTCTCTAGTTGTAAAATCGGAAATCTGAAATGGGCATCTTGGTTCTGGTTCTCATCTCATTCAGATTATTGAAACAGCAAATGGTCCAGCTACATGAAGCTCAGATGTCTGAGATAAACCGGCAATCCAATAACCTTCATTTCCTTGTTACATCAGTCACAGGCTGCTTTCAGGTTGTAAAAATCTTTTGGTCTTACCTCGTTCAAAACACAAGAAGAGCGGGCTTTCGTCCGACCTCTCCCCTCTCAAAGAAACCTTCCCTCTTTATGGATCACCGTTTCTTCCGTTTTTTCAGCTGCAAAACGTGTGTCAGCGTAAGCCCTCTTCCTTCATGCTTCTCCCCTCCGGCACTCATTCACTCTCAGGATCGCCTTACGCTTCCGTGTCTGTTCTACGCTTCGGGGGGGAGGAGCTACGCATGCGCGCTGGCCCTCTACCGCCGTGACACTTGCATCACTATTATGGCTATGACGGTTAGAGGGTGGTTTCAAAACCAGGCACCATGTGCTCTCCTTCTGTTTCTGGGAGCTCAGCAGGAGGAGAAAAGAGACTCCTCCCATACTTTTCCATCCCCCAGCCAACAGTCCAACCACGTGGACCTTCTTTTTTAAACGGGCAGCAAACAGGGTGAGCATTTGGCTATAGTGTCCTTCCATACTTGCCGGGCGTTAACGTGACTTTTTTTTTTTTACAATATAAAGCATGCCATGAATTAGTCACTCACAAAACCCCATTTGGTTCAACTAAACCTGTGACACAAGCAGCTGAAAAGACCTGTTTGTCCTGCTTAATCTCAGCCTTTGCAAACATGACAATAAAAATTTAGCCTTTTCCTTGTTATCCGCCTTTAACAGAAACATTCAGAGTTTTTTTTTTCATCCTAAAAATGAATGTGAGATAAATTTTTAAATTCTAATGGGATTATCAGTCAAAGAGATCTAATGTAAGGTTGTTAAGTTTGACATTCAGTAAACAAAAATAACTGTTTCGTCATTATATATAAGCAAATCAACCGCATTCTGAATACTCCTTTGTATGCTCTCACAGTCAGTGAAAGCACCACACTGTTTCAAGGTTGCCAGCCTCACATACAAGTGGGAGGTTTGGAACTACTGGGACAAGGTTCAGAACATAGGGACATTAAAGTTTCTTTTTTATACTCCTCCTTCTTCGCTAACTATACATTTAAAATTGATTTTAAATCCTGTAGTGGAAATAGAGCTCATGTTCTCACTGCCATAAACATGAACTTCAGGAATTTTGAAGAATTGCAAATCTGATTAATCTTTTTTTTTTAATGAAGTATAAATTAATATATCAAATTGGGTTCTTTTTAAAGGAAACGAGGCCACACAATGCAGTCTGTATGGATAAACAATGTGTTTGAGCCCAGCAATCGTTGTAAATATTCACAAAGGTGTTACAAATCAACTAAATTTGTTTGGTTCCTTACAAGAAAAGAGCTCAATTGATCTGTAGTTAAGATTCTCAAATTCAAACCAAGTCAGACTTCGAGGAGAAAGGTTCCGACTTTTAGACATAACAATGTCACACTTGGGATGGAAACCAAATGTGTCCGTTTTTTATTAAAACGAATGAAATCCGTTCATCATTCTTTAACAGAAGAGTCTTACCTGGCTGTGGGAAACTGAAGCGCAGTCCGTTTTTAGGGAGCGGTTGCACAAGTGGCGAGGTGCAGAGAGGCGTAACGGGGCAGAGGCCGTCTGATGCTGCTGTCTGCAGAGACTCCGCACAGCTGAGCCACGGCTTTGAACTGGAATAGTCTAAAGTACTCAATCTCTACCATGTGACCGCGGAGGGCTGAGCCAGGGGTCCCGGTTATGTACCCGAGTCCCTCAGCGGTGAAAGTAGGTGGACAAAAGGAACGCAAAGGTCAGGTGGGAGAAAAGGAAGGAGATGAGAATGATGGAGGATAAGCAAAGAGGATACTAATGAGTCAACTCTTCGTACGTGGTTGTGAAGGTGCATAACATTTGGTCGGAGTGTAAGTGGGAAGCTTACCCAAGCTGAAGTTGACTTTGGACAGCTTTCAGTGCTCTGAGTGGGTGTTTGGTCGGGGTCAGGCCCGCTTTTGTTCAGCAAAATTCCTGCTCCAATGACTGACCCCTATGGTGCAGCCAACCTCATTAGATGGCATTTCTTTGCTACCCTTGCGCCCACCTCTGAGCACTCGTGTACTACTTGTTCCCTTCCAAAATAATGAACTCAATTCTTTGTCTGCTAATGATAGTGCCATAAAACAAACTCATGTTGTTTCCAGCTAAAGGAAACCTTTCAATAAATGAAATATTAATTCAGTCAACATTGATTCTTTTCTTATGATTTATTACAGCCATTAATCTTTGTCTGTTTTACTGGCTAAGAATGAAACCCTATATGCATGTTCTTTCAGTTGATCAGACAAAGAGGAGATTTTTTGTGTAAGGCGATATTTTATGTAAGAACATACACTCGAGCAATGTGTTTTTTCACATTTTTTAAATTGATCATCCACTACAGTATAGTAGTAATTCAGATCCCTGAGTTATGGGAACTTCTGAAAAACTTTTTTTGGATAAGGTCTACAATTTATTTTTAAAAACAGGGTATGGTAAGGGACCCAAACACCTTCAACTTATGCATTTAAAGCAATTAGTTAGTTGGGTTTATACGTCTTAAGTGCTTCTCCACTAAATTTCCAAGTCAAGTTGGTTTACCACAGATTAGAAATCTGCACAGATGCTTTTTTTTCTTTACTAACCTGCCTCACATCACTATGTAGCCTGATTTGAACACTGGCTGGAGAATTTGCGTCCTCTGCCTTTATTATCATGGGTTCTCTTTGGGTTCTAAGTCTTCCTGATAAAGTCCAAAAAGACACATGGATATAAAAGTGGGCTTGATGGGTAAATCTGAGCCTGGCTGTCAGTGTGAATGCGTGGGGTTATTCTGTGGGTCTGGGTCTCCGGTTATGGGCGACGTTAACTGATCGCAGTAAAGCATGAAGCAGGAACATAACATGTTTGGCTAAGATTTTAATTGCTACCTCTGAGCTTTAATGATAATACACTGAATACACAAACGTGCGGCCAAAAGATGGTAGAGTTGTACTGAAAATGGGTATCTGCGGCAACCTGAGTCTGAGCAAATATTTTTACAGAAGCATAATACATTGCTGTCTTTGACAAGACTGCTGGGCTCTGTGTTTAAGCAAATACGTCTGTGTTTTTGGTACTGTGTGCACTCTGCAAATGTGTCTGAAAGTTTCACTTGTTACACATCAACAGGAGGCCAGCCTGAGTTGGGAATCCAAAGATAAAATGTCTTCCATTGAGAACTGACTGTTGAATAAGACTTTTATTCTGTTACCTAATGAGAGAGCTGATGATCTTTCTACATGTTTGGTTCTTGAGATTTATTTCTCATATAGCGGAAGATGCAAAGTAATCTCCAACGTCAGAGATGTTGGAGACCATCTGCTGGAATCTTGTTTTGGTTAAACAGCATCAGCTTTAATGCTTTGACTGAGTCGCAGCATTGTTCCCAACAGCAGGAAGGCAACCAGCTCCAGTCAAAATGATATGATAAAGTCACTGTGCAAGTCCAAACAACCAAAACCATAAATAAGGTCTGCAAACTGCTGGTTGTGAAGCTGGGTAAAATATTCCCACTGGTGAGTTGAAGAAACCAAAAACTAAGTTAAAGTATAATGACTTAGTCTGATCAAGTGGTTCAAATTGAAAGTCCAAGTAAATGCTGGTACACATATAGCTCTATACTAAATTGGCAAATATAGGCCAACAAAGTTTTACTTATAAGACTGATAAAAGTAATCTTTTTGATTGTTAGTTGTTAAGCCTATGCGTAATATATTCTGGTTCGTAAAGGAATAGTTTTGAGATAGAAGATGTTTTTCCAATAGAGATCTGCACTCATTGTGTAACAAGAAACATAAAAGCAGGGTGACAACATTAGAAGAACTCTTCTGTGATAAACCTTGGATTTTTTTAATTTACCCGATCTGTTTAGCTTTATTATTACTGAGTCATTGGAGCTCTCTCTGCTCCTTTCTGGTAATCAGCAGGAGACTTTTTCAAATTTGAAAACAATGAGGGGATAGGCTAAATGCCTTCCCTCTTCTGAAACGGAGATAGCACAAGCATGTAGCAGCACAGGTGCTTTTTTCTTTCAGCTGGGTATTACACTGACTTTTGGACTGGTACATAAGGGACTGTTAGCAAACAATACATCTGTCATATAAGCTCTAGAAGTTATGATATTGACATAGAAAAACAAAACAAAACAATACAATAAACACTACATAGCAATGTAATGTAATAAGAACACTAATAGCATAACATGTTTGAAAGTTATTGGTGTAATCAGAAAAAAACCTTTGGTACCTGTTGGATGCTTGTATTTAAGGTCACACTGGTCAAGTGAACAATAGTACTGCTATGGAGCATGATGACACCAGTACATTTCTTGTCCTTAAGTATTAGATAAAAATGACTATATATCAATAATGATCACAAATAGTTGTAATTTTATTACAAAACATTCTTTATACAACTGTACGTACAAGTATTAGTGACATCCATCTACAATTTCCCTACTTTAAACTTCAGAATGAGTGCTGAGTATAGAAACATTTACAGTACAGAAAGATCGGGGTGCATAGCAAGAGGAGTGGAGTCGCCCTCCTGTCTTTAACACGATGCAGTAGCTCACGAACACTTTCCAAACATGAGCCGAAGAGGAAAAGGTAGGCCGACGTGTAAAAACAGTTTTGACTTTAAAAAAATCCCTTTGACACCTGCATAGACCAAATACACTGAACAACTGTCGGAAAGGTAGACAAAGTATAAAGGGAAGCTTACAAATATATCAGAAGCACTGTAAATGTCATGTAGTATCAACTGGTCTATAACTACAGAGATTATAATGGTGATTATAAACCAGGCGTAGTACAACACCCCTCAGCCTGTGCAGGGGATGGGGGGGGAGCTGCTGTTATAATTTTGTCAGTTTTTTCAGGTTCACAAATGACCATAAAGGAGAGCAGAAATGTGTTTCTTGAACCCATTTCATGGTGGAGAATTGGCCTGTGCTAAGAAATACGTAAAAATGTCTGCTGACTTTCAGTTGAAAATGATGAAAAAGGGAAGAAACTATTTAATCCTTTAAAAATCTCGCCTCAACGAGCCATCAATTTACTCTTTATATGCAGTTACGGGAAGCACAAACTTTAATTGCCATCTTTCATTTTGAGCTAAACAACACACACACAGTAGTTGGAGACAAAAAAGTGCATTTTTTTTATGAAAAACAAAGTGGTAAACAAACTTCCTTTTCAAAAAACCAGCGTAATAATGAAAACAACACATCTACATGTTCACAGTAACGTTCCATAGAAATAGGTACACGCAAAGGCAAAATCAGTCCTGAGAAAACATCTCCACAAATCAACAATGGCCTGTCATATCTCAATGCATTGCTTGTTACACAATCATCCAGTGTCCTTATAATAATAAAAAAAAATCAAATCAAAATATGTCACTATTGGAGTTCAGGGTGTAAAATTAAAAAAACAAACAAATAAAAAAGGTAAAAGACATAAAAAGCACGGCCCTGCCAAAACTCTCATCCTCATCGATTAAAATCGAAACAAAAGAATCAGAAAGCTGAGGGACAGCAGACGGTAGCTGTCGACCAGTTGTGGTTTTGGTATGTGAGGGTTTTATTTGGACACTCAGTCGGACAGTCAGACAGCACAACACCTGCACATGCTATCTACACATGTACCGGTATGTGAGTTCTAGCTGTATGTCGCTTCTCAAGCAGCTTGGGTCAGGCTTTGGGACTGTCTGCCTTTGCTCATTTTGTTCACTACCATAAAAAGAAGAGCAAGCTGGAAGAAAGTTAGGCTCTGGCTGCCATGCAATAAGTACCCATGCAGAACTTCCTACTTTCTAGGCGATCGGATAAATGAAATAGAGCTGTAGGCGTAAAAAAAGACGTCATCCGGCATTTGAATCGACCCGTCATTTTTCACACATGGGCATAATCTTCACGGAGATTTCTTAGTACTTCGTGCCCGTCACTGTCACTTCGAGGGACTTTCTTTTACTTTTCCATCAGTCTCAGGTCAGATGTGTTTCTCTGATGCTCTGTGTCTTCTCCTTTTTTTTGTTCCAGTGACCCTGTTTCTGTGGCGAGAGGCTGTGTTTGGATGGAGCGCTGCAGCATATGTGTGCTGCTCTGAAGCAGAGGTAATCATGTGGGCAGCCTCTCAGTTTCATCTGAAAACAACAAGGGGGAGGGAGGGCTCCGCTCACCGTCATGTTACAAAAGCCAGTTGTGCAACCGCGGGACGCATGACACAGCAGGCTTCCTGACCTGAGGGCGAGGTGGAGTGGTCCTCCCCCGATGTGATGAAATGCAAATCGGAATCCAGGGCCGCGATGGAACTCCTTGGACGGACGCACCGGTCACCTGAGAAACTCCTGCGGAGTAATGCCTAAAGCAAGACAAGTAAAGCCTAGAGTTAAACTTAGACTTAGACAGACTTTATTGATCCCTTGGGACGACTCCCTCAGGAAATTAAGGTTACCAGCAGCTTAAAGGGCAAACAGTGTCAAGTTAGAATCAAATCAAGCAAAAATATACAAATAAATAAATAAAAATACAAAAAATACAGATTAAGTGCAGTGTATGTGTATGTGATATCTAGCATGTTCATGCTAAGCTCCCTCATGTGCTATTTTGCAGTGAGGAAGACCCTGCATGAAATATTTTACATGGCAAAAGGCCATGAGCTTAAATTTAGTTTGCTATAACTGCAAATTGTACACTAAAATGCACATAAACTGTAAAAAAAAAGAAAAAAAAGTAAGAAGAGAACAGCAAATCATGGAAATGTAATTTGTTTGCGGTCACTAACTTAAGCCGGATCTTTTTATATTACATTGTATTACACAAGTTCAGCATGATTTGATCTCCTGAGTCTAAATAAAAAAAAAGACACTTCTAAAGGGCTGCTCTGGTTGTAGCTTGCCTTGCGTGTCATGGGGCTGGTGGGGGCAGAGGCACTGCTGTAGAGGCTGAGGCTTGAGTTGGACCGGCTCACAGTCAAACCCTTGGTGGTGCTTCCTGTTGGCGACAAGTACTTCTCTTTGATCTTTAGGTTGGTCCGACCTTTCACTGTTGGGAGCAACAGAAGGGAAATTACCCAGAATACTTTCCAACTTATCAGCGCACGTACTGTATAGGCAAACATGTAGATACAGTGCAAAGTTTAAGTTATGGAGAGAAAAACACATTTTCCAAGAAATGATAGACAGTGTCAACCAATATATTTACTTTTGGTCATTTATTTAGTATATAGTATAGTATAGTATAGTATAGTATAATACAGTATTGTATTGTAAAGAATATATGTATATAAACAAGTATTTCCTACATTTCTTCAAATTTAAAATTTCAGTACCGGTACATCTGTTTTTTTTAACAGAATACCAATAAGCATTATTCATTTACTATTTACTTTATTTTTTAAATGTTATCAAAATTTGATTTCTACACCAGCCATTTGAAAGAAAGTGTTGTGCTAACGTTGACATTTGGTTTACCTCTGCAGGGGTCATTTTTGACAAGAAATTCATCCAGAGCAGTCCATCCTCCTCCAACTCGGACCATCAACGTGCTGCGCAGGATTCGAACCATCCGCAGCTGTTGTGAGTCTCCAAACTACAGCAAATAGATCATGAAAATAATCATATGCACATAAACAAACATATACATATATACACAGTATATACACGGTATGGATGAATAACTGACCCTGTATCTATTGGCACTTATTTGCTCCACTTGGAACCTCTTGGGGCAGTTACACTGCGATACCTGCCGACTCACCTAAAGCGGGAATAAAAAAATTAATCATACATGCACCATAGTAAATGTACCACAGGTTTTCCTTATAGTGCCCCGTCCTTACTTCTTCATTGATCTGATCTGCGTCAAGAGTTTTCCTGTAGGGGTCTCTGCTGGGATGGAGAGCACTCACAAACTCATAGTAGTCAATGTAGCCATCGCTGTTCAAGTCAAAGATGTTAGCCACCGCATTCATCTCCAGAGAGTTGGTTGGAAATTCTGTTGCAGAAAAGGGGGATAAAAATGAAATTGTGATTTATTATATCGGCTTTTGATAGAGTTCTGTATATATATATATATATACAGAATAAAGGAAAGCAAATGTATTTGGTACAGGAATACTACAAATATTTTCATTTTGTTATTGATTTCAAATCAAATCTTAATCATGCTAGTAATTAATGACAGAGTCCTACTTGAGGCAAGGACATAATCGATTAACTCTTTTTGGCTGATGCGGCCATCCTGGTCCCGGTCAATGCTTCGGAACACATCCAAGATCCGAGACTTTAAATGGCTAATCCACTGCATGTAGCGCTTCCGCCAAATATTGAAGTCAAAGTTGGCAAATTCCTCCATCTGCAGAGAAAAGTCAAAGCCTCAAATCTTCCAGCACCAAACAGCTCCATCCTTTGTGATTACACAATTGTTTTACAGCAGAGGTTTCTAAGATTAAACTAGAAAAGCAATCTCAAGAAATATTGTTTCAGAAAGCACACCAACCTCTCGGAGCATTTGCTGGTGTTGCTCCAGGCGTTTGGTCCTGGCCGCAGCCGCATGCCACAGTTTCTGCCACTGGCTGACCAGCTGACGGAGCTGTGGGGTGTCCGGCTCCAGGTGCTCCAGGGGGACAGGTACGGCGGGCGGGAGCTTCATGGCACTCCTCCTCCCTGGATGCAGAAACAGTATCTCTGTTGCTCATTTCCAGCGGCTAAAAAAGCTTGCCGGTGGTTTTGGCTTTTGTGTGCGCAGTCAAATAACATGTAAACGAGGCTGTTCTCTTACTGGTGAGTGGCCGCTTGCTGGGTGACGCCTGATGTTTTGGAGTGCTCTTGTGTTTGCAGGATTTTGTGGCATGCTCGACCTCTGGGAACTTCTTGTTCAATTCCTCCATGAATACCTGCAGGGTAACGTTGAATGACTGGTTAACAGGCGCCGAAAACAGGCCGTAAAGCCAAAGAGGAGATGAGAGAAGTCTTACTGCGTGCTGTTCGATCAGTTCTTGGTTCTGTTCTGTGGTCTCGGGCAGAGGCTCTTCATCTCTCAGGTGGAGAGCTTCCTCTGCTGAGGAGATCCAGTCCAAGAGTCTCTGGACTTCTTCCTTTTCTGCTTCCAGAGAGGTCAAGCTGGCCTGGATCTTCTGGCCTTGCTGCTGGGCCCAGGTCTGAATCTTGGGAGAAAATTGCACAACGATAAAAACTCTGACACAGGTTCACAGGACAGTTCACAGGAGTGCCGTCTCATTTCTTATTGCTTTTGATACTGCATGTCGATGCTAACAATGAAATTGATGCTTTTTATCCAAAAGGAGAGTTTACTTTTTCCTCAGAGCACTCACCTCCTCATAACGAGTCTTAGTGACACTGATCCAAGATTTTAGGGTGATTATAGAGTCTGGATGACAGGAAGCCAGTATCTCCTCACCCAGGCACCGGATATTCTCTAACTCCACAGCCTGAGCCTCTAAGGCACCCAATGACTCCTGCAGAAGAAAACACGTGCCCATTAATGCAAATCTCTGTGTTGAAATTACTCTAAGAAACAGCCCCTTTGTTCATTTTCCTCATATTTTCTGTGGACTGCTGAAAAAGCAGAGAGCTTTGATGTTTAAATCCACTCTCTCTCACACCTGCATCGAGGTGCAATCTCATTCACCTGCCCTTGAGCCAAAGATTCAATTCTTATCAGAACCTTCTTGTTCAGTCGCATCACTCTAACCTCCCCAAAAGCTGATAAGATGAGAACATTTAATTTTCAATTAGGGGGTAGCAAAGTCTTTTGTTATACTGACCTTGTGCTGTTTGCGGAAGGCAAGCAAAGCTTCCTCCCCCTCCGGTATGATCCCGTACTTCAGGACCCTCTCTGCCTCAGCGAGCCGCCCCATGAACGAGTGAACCAGGCCGTCGAACTTCTCGGCCTGAAGAAAAACAAACCCCCCCAAAAAAACATTACAGATAAGTTTAGACTGTCTACGTCAGGTCACTTTACCGTTTGACAAAAATTGAAAAGGAAAGCTACTGTTTTTTCATGGTCTTTATTGAATGTAAAGCCAGTTTCATAACCATGTGTATATGAAATGAATACGTTTCCCCTTAGACTTAAACATTAGATTAAATGGCTGTGAAAACGTGCTGTTTGGGAGCCCCACCTGCTGCAGAGAAGCCTCCAGCCTGTCCTGCTTGTTGACTGACAGTTTGCACACAGTCACCCAGCGGCCCTCCAGCTCATCCATCTGCTCCTGCAGCCAGTGAGCATCTGCCGTGCTGCTTCGCGTTAGGTCCCTCACGGAGCGCTTCAGAGTCCTAATGCATCCAGCCCGCTTCCCCATCTCCTTCTGGAAAGCCTGAGGGACAGATTTCCAGAAAAAGCACTTTCAGCTCCACTTGCCTAAAGAGCCTGACAAATACGTGTCTGTTTGTGTTCTGTCCACACCTTATGTTTGTCAATGAGGCTGTTGACCATGTCTTTGTCTCCTCCAACCGGAACGTCTTCAGCTAGCTGGGGCTCAGCTCTGTACAGCCAGTCATTCAGCGCTTGCAGAGCATCAGTGAATCTTCCTGAGAACAGAAGCGCTTCCTCCAGCTTATGTTGTCTAAAAGGAAAAAAAAAGACCACATCCGAAGCGGGGTGTGTTTTTACTACGAGTTCATGTTGTTGACCATTACTGTGTTGGGCTGTCTGAGTTAGGCCGGCTCCGTACCTCTCCATGGACTTGCCGCTGATGGTGTCCCATGTGTCTTTGAGTTCGGCCAGCAGATTCTCCAGATGCTGCCTGTCCTGACCGCTCTGGGCTCTTTCGTGAAGGCCGCGTCCGCTCTTCAGCGTGGCGTCGTACATGGGCCGCTTTGACCGCAGCAGTTTCTGGAACTCCTGAGGGCAAAGGTGATCAGTATAGAGGCGATAAATGCATGAACAATTAAAGTATAACCTGAGTGTGAATTGTATGCTTTATGATTGTGTGCATTACTATACCTTCTGCTCAGTCAGCTGCTGCTTAATCTCTTCATGAGACACAGCAATCTCTTTATGGGTGTCTAACGTCTGCTCTACCTCCGTCATCCAGTCCACAAGAAGGCGCCATGATTCATTAAACTGAAATACCATACATAAAAATGGATTTTGTTCAAATTGAGAACCATCCGTAAACAGTGAAAAGGAAAAAGCTAGAGGACCTGTTTTGCATTCTTTTTAACATCCTCCAGCGTCCTGCCTCTCTCTGTGGCTCGTTGCTGAAGCTTTTTCCATCGATCGTGGACGGTCATGATCAGGTTGTGGATGACATCACAGTCCTCCTTCCTGCTCAACTCTGTAAGCCTGTGACCCGTGTTCTCCACCAATGTCTTCTTTCCATTGTAACCATTGACTTCACTCAGCAAAGTCTGTGCAGTAAATACCCAAAAACAATGATGATCAACAGGAAAAGCAGGACAGGTTTAAAGAAAAAAAAAAGGAAAATAAAGAAACATACTCTGTGATCTTGCAGTTGTGCGCAAACCGTGTCCAGAACAAAGCTTGGAGGAGGAAGAAACCCAATAGACTCCTCACATTTGCTCATCTTTGTGAGGATCTCCTTAACATTGCTGTGAAACTCCTTGGCCAGACTCAGTCCCTCTGTGAGCTTAGACTGTTAGAAAGGCATTACTTTGTAGCAATCACGCACTTACGGTAAAAAAAACAAGAAAGCCTTAAAAATAAACTTCACCGAGTTACATTACCTTCCTGTCCTGAACTTTGCTGTACACCGATGCCCATTTCTGCTCGAGAATAGATAAGCTGTGCTCTGTGCTTGAACCCTGCACAACGTCGCTGCTCTCCAGCATCCTGTGAATGGCATTCTTCACATCTGTGTAAGTGTGCATCTTGGAGTCCATCTCATTGCACAGCTCCTGTGACAGTGAAGACCATAAGGAAAATCATTATTTCCAAAAGGTTGAGGAATGTTGGTGACATGACCAGAATCCTTTATTCAAATATGGACAAAACTTACTAAGTGTGCATTAAGCCTTTCATGTGCAGAGTCTGGCATTCCCCACATGGTTTTGAACGAGGAGAGTCTTATGTCTGTGTTCTCCAGCCATTGCAGAAGGTCCTGAATCTCCATGTTAACATCTTGCACCTGCAATAAAACAATACATCTCCTTAAAAAGGAAGCAATAGAGAAATGGACACTGCATATGTATTTCTACTGTAATGCATAAAATCACCACAAGAGGTCATCCTCATGCCGTGCTATGACATTTTTATTATTTACCATTTTCTAATAGTTAAACACAGTTTTTTAACGGATGCCAAAAAATTCTTCTTCTTCACCTGGCTTAACCTGTTCTCCAGTTCCAGCTGTCTGCGTTCCGTCTCGCAGCGGACAAACTCCCAGTTTTCGTTCAGATGCTCCAACAGAGACTGCAGACCATGGGGGCTATCCCCTGACCCGACCTCCAGCAGGCCCCTGCCCGCCTGATTTAGAGACTCGATGGTGCGAACGTGGGACATGACGTCGTTCCGCAACACCTTTGAGGAGATAGAAGTATCGGCGTTCAGAGATTTGGCCTGTTGGATTTCTTGGAGGTGTAGCTCGGCCGCAAACCTTGTGCTTGGCCAGCTCAATTTCACAGGTCTGCAGGTCAATGCTGATCGGCTGGCTGCCCTGCAGTTGTTCAGCGGTCCGGGAAAGCCACGTGTGCAACTCGTCAAGTGTGTTTTGGAACTGACCCAGGCCCAGGAGAGCACACTCCAGCTGATGCTGCAAATGAGAGGAGAGAATGTGCTCAAGGAGCGAATTTTGTTTTGCGGCAGAGACTAAATTCAAGGTACATTGCAGACTAACCCTCCAAAATATTGTTTTTTTAGCTGTTGAAACTGTGGTAATGTAGAAGATAAAATGGAGATGGAATATGGGCATTGATATCACCGCTCAATAGCTGCTCCCTCCTCCTTACCTGTCTGCTCACTGTCTCTGACTCCAGGGAGTCCCAGCGTTGCCTGAAGTCACACAGCGGTGAGACGGAGCCTGGGCGCTCTGAGCCCGGAGACAGCCGGCACACGAAGCGATGGTTCAGGCTTTCTATTTCGATCTTCTTCTGGTAGAGTTCCCTCTTGAATTCCTGCAGCACAAAATAAAAACAAAGAACACAAAAGCATCCATCCTGCTCTTTCCCTCCGGTTTCTATTTTCCTAGAATTTTGAATTTTTGACTTGACAGGATGTGCTTTGATGGGAAAACTCACCTTGAGATCGCACAACTGTCCTCTCACTGATTCCAAATCAGCTCCAACCATGAATTCCTCTGTTGACCTCAACTCGGCTGACTTCAACCATTCAAATAGGCCCTATTAGCAAGCAGAGGCAGAGTTAAATAAATCTTTTTTGAGTTGATAACACAGCTTGGTAAAGTTTACTAAATCAATCTTATTTGCATTTACAGGAGGCCCGCACAGTCAGTCATTCACATATACAAAGTAAAGCTGCAGGGAGTCGGTGGTCTCGGCCAAAGATTTGTCTTCGGTGTGGCTAAGGCAATGGAATGTCTGTCAAAAAGTGTAACGTTGCATGTGCACTGTCCACCAACGCTGACCTGCATAGAGTCTTGATAATGCAGTGCCATATGCAAGGACTCCTCCAGCTTCTTGTGACATTCATTCCACAGTTTGCTTAAATTGTTCCACGTGCAATAGAGCTTTAAGACAAGAACACAACATAAAACAAGGTTTTATGTTGATAGGAAAAGCATTAGCAGTTAAGAAAAAAGCTTGAGTTCAAGTTAACTTCAGACCTCATCCAGGCATTTCGTGACATCTGGTTTGTCCGTGTCTCCACATGTAGACATCAGGTCCATTCCCAGAACACCCAGAATGTCCAGATCTCCCTGCAAGCTGTCTATGTCCTCCCTGAGAGACTACAAGTCGAAAGGTCAGGTGTGATACCTTTTCATAATCACCAGTTGCGTGTGCACGTCGACGAGCCAAACACCAGGCGAACCTGCATGGTTTCGAGGCTCTGGCGAATTGTCTCAGAGTCCGTCTGACTGGCGTTGAGATCCAGAACTGCCTGCTGACCGTCGCTGAGAGCAGTCGTCACTTCGCTTACATCACTCCAAAACTTCATGGCGAGATCCAGGAGCTTGAGCAGCCAGGTCTCCCTCTCCCGGGCTTGAGTATGCGTCTCATCCCAGTGCTGGGACAAGCTGGTCACGCGCCCCTGGATTGCTGACAACACAAAGACACATACTGTATTTTGAAGTGTTTTAGCTGGGTGTGGACTCGGGCAATGTCTGAGAAGATCATTACCGGCTCCAATGGATCCATTGCCTGCTGCCTGGGTGTTGGCCAGCAGCTCATCTGCCTGGGATTTGACACTACCGAGGCCCAGCTCCAGCTTAGACAGCTCTGCAAGGGTTTGCTTGTTGTCCTGCAGCTGCTCCTGTATCCTTGGGGTGAGACCTTGAAGTGATGTGGGCGTCTGTATTCGACTGCTCAGGCGGTCAAGGCTCTCTCTGATGAGAGTCATCCTCTCATTCAACTACAGGATCAAGAACAAATGTTAAATTGTGTACCTTTGTCTTCAAGAGAATATATTTACAGGACTGGAAACCCATACTTGTGTGAATCGTGGTAAGGATTCCTCAAGTAGATTGGAAGTCTCTTTGACACGATCTCTGATGGCTCTGTGCTGCTCCTCAGCCTCTGTTGCCTTACGATGGAACTGGTCGCCCTCACTGGGGTTCAGTTCCGACAGGCGTTTTGCAAGAGAGCATAAGCGTGCAATCAAAGGCCGATGTTCTGCTATAGACTCTCTGAGACCCTTGGCAGAGGAAGGAGAGCAGTAGGTCAAATAACATCTCAGAAAAAGAAGGCTTTTCAAAAAAATAAATAAATAAACAGATTTTAGACTAATCCCTTGCATAGGTACAAAAGGATTTGAAAAGGTTATGTTGCATTTTCAATGGCATGGCCAACTAAATGGAACTTGAATTGTACTACAGTGATGGAGGAGTAATCCTGTCGTCAAGTAGATTACATTAATGGCCCGGGCTTGAGCAGGCCAACTCATTTAGTCAGAGAAAATGAAGGCACTGTGAAGTATAAAATGACTCCTTTGTTAAACGGGACAAAGGGAGAGTGGGTAAAAAAAAAAAAAGAGTAGCACTGGGAGTTTGACAAAGCAAGTTTCCCTACCTGTAAGAGGTCTTGTTGTTCTCGAAATGCCTCATAGCTTATCGTGCTCAGGGACAGCTGGCCAATGAGTTTCTGGGTTTCCTCTAGCCAGGGCGAAACCTCAGTCAGGCTTTCAGAAAACTGGACCAGAAGGGACTGAGCATGCTCCAGCTGCAGGACCACATGTGCATTGGTGGCTGACATAGTGTTGCAGTGTTCTTGCAAGGCCTCGACTGGGGTCTGGGGGGGAAACATAGCCGTGAAAAAACACACCCGAGCCATTCACAGCACGTCTGTGTGCTTTGTTTAGGAAATGGTATCATGGAAGACAGTTAGAGGTTTACCCGAAGGTCTCCAGTTTCTCCTTCTTCTCCATAGCTCATTAAGATTTCAGCAATCTTGACCATTTTCTCAATATTGAACCTGTGCTGAAGAATTTCCACTGCTAAAATCTGTTCAGGAAATATTTTTATGAAAAAAAGTCAGATGTTTGGACATAGTCTCAATCAAAATGTCTGGATCAGCTGTCCAAATATTTAACTAGCACTGCATATATTAGTAGCAATTACTTTAAAAAATTATTTATAACAATACACTGCCCTGACCTTCTGTTCATAGAGTTGCTCTGCAATAAGATCTGACTCCAAATGAATGGTTTTCAGCTTTTCAAGGCTCAGTGCGGTGTCTTTAAACCAAGCCATCTCCTTTACCACTGCCTGTTCCAGCTGAAAGTGATAAAAAAATAGTTTGTTAAACACCAAAAGTAACACTGCATTTTGCTAATATCTATTCAGTCAAACATCAGCTTCAGGCTCACCATTTACAGTATTTTTTTTTCAAATCTTTACTAATTATAGAGGCTATAGGGCAAAAGTTAAGATCCCCATGAGAATAGATTGTATACTAAACTGAAAACTGGAAAACTTTATTGCTTTATGGTACCCTAATCACTAAGAATAAGAAATCCACAGGTTGAATGAATGCCATTGATAAAGGGGTCTGCTCATGTCCAATTAAATAAAACTTTATTTGCCCTGCAGTTATATCCATGAAATATTTCATGTTTCTTAGATAAAAGTTGCAACTAGGGCAGATAGAACAAGGGAATACATTTGAGTTATCTGAGAAGTAAGTTTAGTCTTATCTTTTTAGTCCATATTTTATTGATGCTGTTTATTGAAATGAAGTCATAGCATGTTATTGGAAAAATAGCACAAATTTATCCAAGGTTTCTTAATTAAAATGCTTTTTTATATCCTAGCTGTTATAATAACATGAAATATAATATAAAATAACACGATACAGCAATTAGTTGGATGAATTGTTAGTTATTATAATAGGTAGCTACCTTTTTAATTGTATTTAATTTCACTAAACTGAACAGATATTAGGCCCTCACATTCAGTGTTCATGTATACAACAACATGCAATTGGTTTCCTTTGTTTTTGTGTGGAAACGTTACCCTCTGTCTTTCCGCTGCACAAAGCCCTGCATCTCCAGCATGTGTCTGAGTTGCTGCTCCTAAGAGCTCCCTTTCGATGCGGCCCAGCCACAGGTGGAGGTCCTCCTGGCTGGAGGTGCACCGGCTGGAGGCCTCCAGGGCCTGCTCTAGCCTCTGCAGCACATCCAGACTGCTCAGACTCAAAACGGAGCAACGAATGCGCAGGGCATCCATCTTTTCCTGCACCTGATGGGCTTCCTCCTCTGCAATGAATGGTGGACAACCATTCAGACAGTAAGACTTGCATGATACAGCCCATTCTCAGATTCCTTTGGTACTATCTGATGTTCGTTGAATATTCACACTGCATTTTGACATGAACTCTACAAGACCGTATCTTTGTTACAATTGGTAGACATTACCTGAAATAGCCTCTATTAAATCCTGACCTGACTCCTGTATTTTCCCTAGTTCAGCAGTTTTAAGTTGAATCTCATCAACAACAGCCTAAAAAAGAAGGGAGAACGAAGTTAGATCTTTTCACTGAAACAACCGCATTTGTCCATTGATTTAAATCGTGTATGGTTGATTTCTAACCTTGGCCCTGTCTGTGGCGTCTGAGAGGTGCAGCATCACTCTCTCTGCGTTTCGGAGTTCACCCAGCGTCTGTTCCACGGTTATGAGCCATTGCTGCAGGCTGTCTACACCTTCTTCAAAGAGCTTGGCTTTTGGAAGAATGAGCTCCAGACTCTCCTTCCTACCAAAGATTTTGTTTTTTTGGTAAATAAAGTTTGAACAGAGTAATTCGGCAAAGCTTGCCTGATAAAAGTGTGGCATTGCCAGTAAAAGGAGCTCACCTTTTTTCTGCCTCCAGCTGTAAGGCCTCCCACTTCTGTTTGAGAACGGAGAGCTTGAACTTTGCCTGCTCCCCTTCCTCTCCCGGGTGGGCCCCCACCAGCTGAGGGCCCTTCAGCATCATAGAGTCCATACTTCGCCTTCGGTCTGTCAGGAGCCGCAGCAGGAGCTGTGAAACAGTGCAATTTAGCCATTCCTAATTCAATCCCATCAAATCATTGGCTGTTCAGGCAACGCTTATTCGATATATGCATTTTGAGTTTTTGAGAAACGACATGCAAGAGTTAACATTGAGCTCTTCTCGGTTCTGGTCTTTTTTTTTTTTTTTGTCGGGTGCATGAAGCAGTGTCTCATGTTTCAAGCTTACGTCAAGAACCGAACAGGTTTCACCTATTCTGAAGAGTGTACAATAGGTGGGATAGCTGCTGAAAGACAAACTGCTTTTCTCATACCCTTTCACAAAGCCTTACTGAGGCTCATTGTGGCTATGAATGCCAACCCTTCAACAATGAACAAAGCAGAAGTTATCTAAGAAAAGAAGGTGGCTGCGCTTTTGCCATGACCTCAAAACGCCTTTCTTTATGTCAATTTTTCGGATAATTTCCCAAACTATAGTGCCTTGTGTGCTTTCCTTCAACAAGAAACAAGGTGGTCTAATGTTCCATATAGCAAACCTTTTGTTCCTGGAGCTGGGCTTTGACCACTTTGACCTCTGATGACGGAGGTTTCTGATTAGATGTGAGCTCCTCGATTTCGCTGACCCATGTGACCAAAGCATCCAGGTTTTGGAGAAACGTATCAGAGTCTGTGGACACATCTCTCACTGCCAAGGCAGATTTAGCTCCCTAAGGGATACCAATTTAAGCGTGAGTGAATGAAAACAGCCGGATGATTTGAAAAGAAAAAAGGAACACATTAATGTACATGCTCCAACGCAAAAATTTTCAAATACCTTCCACCTCTCCAGAGTGGAATCTTGGTCTGAACTTGAGTGTCCGTCAGCTTGAAGCTGCAAGACAAAGACAGGTCATGGGATGTGCCGTTTCATACATTCAAGTTTGGACATGCCCCACTAACACGTGATAAGGATGATTGATACAAAGACAGGAGCAGATGACAGATGAAGGTGAAAAGGAAACAAAAACACTGAAAAAGAAGACAGATGGCATTCGTTATATATAGAAGTCAACGTTTCTCAACCTCAGCAAGTTCCTCTGCGACACCGTTCAGGACTCTAACGGTTCTGGTAACAATGGGGATCCCGCTTTTGTCTCCTCCTGGATACTCCGTGACTTCCACAATTTCCGTTACGATAGTCTCTGTCACTTCGGTGACCTCCGTAACCTCGCGGGACGCCACAGTTTTCCAGGACCAGGGGCTTCCCTCTCTGGAGTCTCTCCTCTGATAGCTGGCTCTTCGCTCCGCAGCACTTAGGTCCGAGTTAGCCAGAGGAGACCTGGCAAACTCCGGTGGCACCGTCCTCCTGGTCAACGTACCATTTCGTGATGTTTTCATGGGAGAAGGGCTGCTGTGCCAGGCATTTTCCAGAGTGCTGCTGCTCCTGATTGTTGAGGCAGGAGAGCTGTGAAGGGTCTTATCCGAACTCGGAGTGTGTGCACCTTGCTCCCTCTTAGGATCAGGTTCCTCTGTCTCCTTGTCGCTCTCTTGTTCCTTCTTTGCATCATCCCTGGATCCATCTTTGATATCCTCCTCTTTGTTGTCAGCCTGTTGCTCTGGGGGCTGCCACTCTTTTTTCTTATGGTAGCACTCCTTCAAGAAGCCCTCGTCCGACCTCACATGCTTGGACTTCTGGCCCAAGCAGCTGGGCCGGCTGATGAGGTTACCCATAATCCTTCAGCTAGTGAAGTAATATGTGAAGAACAGCCCCTTGGACATGCATGCTGAAGGTCTTTCAGCTACCTAAAATAAAACAAGGGGGGGCTCAGAGTCATCATGTAATAAGCAATTGCTAATTTGGTAAATACGGAAAATAATGTCACCCTAAAAAAGTCATGGCCTATATGTCTACAACATTGGCTGTAAGGAAACATCGAATCTGTCTTTGTCCTCCTAAATGTACAATACTGCATTTCACTTGGCACCAAGGGCACAACAAAGGGGGGAGGATATGTTGGCCAAGCATGTGTGTTGTTGACATTCTTGGCCAGCATTCTCCTCATTCACTTGTCGGTTTTTCTTTGACCACATGCGCACATCCTCCATTCTAACTCACAGCATCAACCGAAATATTCCGGGCTTAGAAATCACTGTGACAAGCTTGTCGAGGATCCTACAGTTGAGCCTGGCACAGAGAAACCAGTGGCAGTCAGCCAGCACTTTCTGTAACGCAGCCTGGACCAGCCCTGGGAAACCCATTTAGGATCTGATCAAATATGACAGCCATAAAAATGCAAATATGGTCAAATGTCTGGAGGATCAACAGAATGGGGGATTGGGAGACCGACTCGGGTGGTGGGAAAGTGTTGATAAAACCAGAAAACCACAGCTTATTTAATATGTGGTATAGCATTGATACTTCTTTGCTTTAATAAAACATAATAGGTGGAGTTTTTGGAGTATTCTTAATGATATGTGCCTAAAACAGTACAACAGTGCTGTAGTTAGCATCTAATATGGCCAAAATGTATACTATTTCGGTAATATATATATTTACTTTATCTTTACTCTTTGACAGTTTCAGACTGATTCGGCCTGTCTGGCCTCTCCTTTTCCTCAACTCAGTGCTTTCATTGTTTTGACAGGGGGGTGAAAGGTGAACATAATTATCTTGGCATGTAGGAACTGAGGTGAGCCCACTGGGAGATCACAGTAAGGCTCCTGTTTAAGCCGGGTCCTCCCTCTGAGTTAGGGTTGGACTGGTCCATTCAGAACTACATAGGTCAGTTCAGGTCACGCTTGGTGACTAATGATCTGGTGGTGCGGAGGGCGATATGGGTCAGTAAGGAGGAAATTGGGCTAGCAAGACGTTTTTTCATTAGTATTTTTTTGGGGGGTGGTGATTTGAATATGCCAAAGAGGCAGATGCACGGGGTTGCATGGATACAGTAGATGTTCCTGCAATGCTACTGGCAGGCAGAATTATGCTGAACATGCAGCTCTTTCATCTTTGCCTGGGGTTAAACAAAGAAAGTCTGCAGCCAGAGAATATTTCTCACTATCTCACTAGTCAGAACACACCCCAAATTTGAATTTGATCTTATTTGGTTGTATAAAAAGACAATTAAAATGTTAGGACATAAGAAAGCATTCAGATTTGACAAAGTTCTAACATGACCTGCTCAGATATGATGGCCTCATGTGCATTAGGCAAGAAATGGCATACATCATGTATGTCTCTGATGAGCAGATGATGCTGCCCAGGGGTTCACAGGGGAGTACACAGTCAGCCCAGAGAGTGGTGTCCAGACAAAGCCCCAGTCTCAAGATCAATGATTACCCAGTTAGCTCAGATCACTGCCCAGCAGTCTCCTGAGGAGAGCTGAGTGTCGGCGGCTGTGTCCACATGGGTTAACAATTTAAAATAGAGGGTGTGCCATGCCAGATTACTGCAACATACGAGTGGTCACCTGCTAAATTACACAGTTTCCTCTGACGTGATACCATTTTAACTAAACATATTTTCCTTCTGGCGAAATATTGGTTAAAGAAAAAAAAGGGGGAAACTCATATCAAGTAATATACAAGAACAACCACCTGGCCTACATCCTGTAGCTGATACAGTATGTGCCTCTCACTGTAACACACAGTCAGACCAGAAAGTCAACCAGGGAACCAGAGAACTACTCTACTGTTTATTCAATATTGCAAATGACCTAACCATTCCATCACTTAACCTTTTGAAAAATAGCCATCACTTCAGACCGGCCCTCTCTCTGCTCTTAGCCGTGATTTATAACACATGAGTGCAGTCCATTGTGGGGTTAACCAGATTATGACCACAGCGTAGAGGTCTCAGTAGTGTATAGTGAGAGAAATATCGAGGAAGAGAGCGTTTCAGTAGTATGCCTCTAGTTCTATTTGTAACATCTTACTCAGTTTTCTCAGTGCGGATGGCATTTACATTAGTGTAAACATTAAAAAGGGGATTTGACCAACATTTCCAGTGAAGTTGCGTGCGTCTCAATTAATTTAGATGGTTCAAGATGCGGCACATGGGTGGAGTTGGGATTATTAGCAGAATAGTAGTCCTCATGCACAGCAGCAGAGCCCCATGGTTTTGCCTCACTGTTGCATCTTGGACTCTCTCTTAATGGAGGAACTGAAGTAGTAATCACTATAATGGTCCCTAATCAAAGATGGCAGCTGTGCATTCACCCATGAGACTCATAACATTTAAGGGTGCATGTAGTGCAAGGTCAGAGGGTTTCTCTAGCAATTCTGTGAATATTCAGTGCTGTGCTTATGTGTGAAATAATGGTCAGAGGAGTTTTGGAAAAATTAACTTTAAAAGACCATCCCTGCTGGGAGATTGAAATTAGCTATACAAGAGACAGTTCCTTAAGAACAAAGTGTTTGCCCAAATAAAATATACTCACATTAGGATGATCCATTCATACTGATGCTCTTTGACTATAATCCATTTATTTATAATCCATAGCTCATCTTATAGTAAATGAAGTAGTTATAATAAATCCCTAATCTTAGAGGGGATTTACTGTCCTATGGTTCCCTGGTTCAATCACTGTCCAACAAAGTCCAAAATCAAACTTTCTCCTGGCCAATCCTGAGGTAGTGGCCGTTTTGGCGGTTAGAAGCTTACGTTAATTGCACTTACCCTAAAGCAGAACTCGACCCAACAGCATGAGTAAAGGAATCCGGCTAGCCCTCAATCACCATTGAAAAGGGATAGAAAAGGGGGGGAAATCCAGCTTTGTTTGAGCATCCTTTGAACGGCCTCCCGGCTCCAACATCCCCAAAACTGTAGGTGCCTCACACACACTCGCATGCATATTCTGTCCAACACACACTCAGGCGGTCTGCTTATTTACGCATACTTGCAAACAAACACACCTAGTAAACACACTCACGCATGCCCTGATAACTCATGCTTTTCCGTTGCCCACAGTCACAGGCAAACAATGTCCTCCACTCCCCTCACAGCGCACCCCTCCCTTCCCTTCACTTCACTTCTCCTCCCACCGGCTCTGCTCCTCTCCCTTTCTTCTTTGTTGTGGGAGCTGCGATAGAGGAATTCCTTCCCTGTTAACGCCGCCGATGGGACGGGGCGCCCAGAAGAAGACAATGTATTCCAACGGCTCCGCTGAACTCCCACAGCTCTCAGCCAAGAGTTTTTTTTTTGCAAGGAGGTCAGGTTGTACCCATTCCAAGAAAGTGGCAGCGTTTGCATTCCCCCCCGTGCAGCTCCGGCTCAGGGCGCTCCTGCACCGGGCAGCCTGGCGGCAAATGCCCTCTTTACCTTCATCAGGCTGGTCTTTCTGTTACCCTCTCCCTCTTCTGATCCAACCAAGCCCCTCCTCTGATTGGGACTGTGGCTCAGAAACTCCACGCTGCTTCTGCTTGAAAAATGGGATGGTGGTGGGTGGTTGTGGGGGGACTAAAAAGGAGAGTTTTCCAAAGACCCCTGGGCCGCCCTCAAAACATTCACATGTTAAGTGACAGCTGCCTCAGCCCATTCCCTCTGTGGATGTTAAGGGAGGGAAGTGCGAGGTACAAAAGAAGGAACCCACACCCACCCCGCTATCCAGCCACTCACACATTCACCCCCACCCCCTCGCAGGCTCTGATTCCCCATTCAGAGTTAGTACACCAGTCTCCCCAGCAGCAACAAAGGCAACTAATTACTGTAAAACATCTCAGATTACTTTTCAACCCACTTCCAGTCATCGCAGCTCAGGCCTTTAAACAAAGAAGCTGAAAGCAAAGACTAAATACAGAGAAACGGGATGATAATTCAGGGTCCTTTCAATGCTTTTGGCATGGGAAACCAAAGGATGGACCCCATTGGGAAGCCCCAACATGACCCATTTTAAAAAGAAAATCACAATATTTAACTTAGAAATGTCACATTGCAAGACAACACGGCTGAGCCACCATTCATTCACCCTCTGTTTTATTTCTAATTCTGCTCAAAAGTAGCCCCCCACAGAAATCTCTGGAAAGGATCTTGTGTTCGATATATAAGTAAAAGCCTCTGCACAGGTTAGCGACTCATTAAAAGCTTTACAGCCACAATCCCGCATTTTCTATTCCACCACTCTGTCTTTGACCGGTCAACTAAATAATCAACCAGTTAACTGATCCATGAGACACATGCAGGTCTTTATGCATGTAGATGCCAATAACTTTTACAAGTGCTCTTTCAGTTCACATTAATCACATTATTTTCTTGAAAAGGAGGTCAAGAATTGCTCTATGCTTGGCAGGAACTGTAACCAGAAAGGAAATCACCCCCCCCCCGCGTCCCACTGCATGCATGTATCAGTTAATGAAACATACAATCAATACCACTTGTGCTAATGTAAGCTTTGCCTACCGTGCTGCATGTGAATGGACATATATTCAAACCTCAGTTTGTTTCACTTCAAATGCGCGCACAGTCCAGATTTTACGGGTCTGGGTCCCGTGATCCTAGGTCATTCTGCATCAACAAGTGAAGTTTGCCATAATCTACAATGGCTTGGCTCGCTTGTGTACCTGAAAGAATTATGCCCTTTGCTCCACCGAGGTTGAAAATGTTCACACTTGGCTGATATTTCAAGAGTAATCAGATGCGCTTCTATTCATTAGAACACATTAGCGATTTGCCCAAATACTATTACAGCCAAATTATATTTAAAATAGAAAAAATGAACACGTCCACTGGATGTAGTTTAGTCTTTAGTTGACATACTAACATTAATGCATGTAACACTAACTGTGTCTCTTTTGGCTTTATGCTAACTTAGATGGGACAAGCTTTGTTAAAATATTCTTAAGCTAAAATCAAAAATTTTTACTATTTTTTACTATTTTTGTGTCCCCAATACTGTTTCTGATAAAAAAAAAAGCCTCTTAAAGCTGCTTTACTGATTCTTTAGGCTTTTATAGAGAACCCCTTTCCACCAGCATAAATACCCGCCCTGTGGTGAAAATGAGCAAAAGCATAGAATGACCACTGGAAATACATGTCAGCTGCTGGTAAATTGAATAGGACGACAACCAAAAGGTCAAGTTATTTAACCCCATACCCCGGAGGTCATGAATGTGTAATCAATTGAATCAATAGTGTTTTAATTACACCACAACAGGTATCCTGTAGTTCTGACATCCTTGACATGTATAACACAGTCCAGCGGGATGGCCAAACAGGAACTGAAAAAACTTTTGTCTGTAAAAATGGACACATTTTCCTTGTTTCCTTAATTTTATTCTGATGCTCCTGGAATTTCTGCCTTGTGAACACACCATTTCTCACATGTTTAGAAGAGGCATGGTAGAATGATTAACCGGCAAATTCAGGACAAGGATTTTTGGACAGTGACAGCTGCATTATTACTTCAGTCGGCATGGCTACATGTGCTTTAAAGTCAAGAAACAGTTTTGGCTTAACCTTAACCTTCTATGTGGACCGCCATCTTTATCCTGCTACATGTACAAAGGAAGAGAGCCTCTCACCACAACACCATAGACTGTATGAGGAAATGACATGACTACGCTTCTAATGCTCTCTCTATGAGATCATCTTCTGGGGTGGAGGGGTAGGGGGGTGGGGTGGGGGTAGGTTGACCCACCCCCTGTATCCTAGCAGCCATGCGTTTTTATCGTCATGTGACTATTCACAATGGAACCACACACCGTGTGAATTAAGAAGCACAGAATAATAAAAAAGGTGAACACCTTTTGAGCCTCCTCCTGATAACCCATACAGAATCACTCCCGGTGCTTTATAGGTTAAACCAAAAGCGATTTTTCACTTTTTCAGTCCGTGTAGTTTTTGGTTTTCATTTTTTTCCGCTACAGAGACTGAAATGTTCATTTCGACATACATTTAAAACAAATAAAACCACCGACGGATGTTTCTTCTCTGTTAGATGAGAACGTGATACCTGCAATAACCATCTGAGCATTTATTTATTTTTATTAAGCTGGCAGTGATAAGGCCTCACTTTGCCAGAAAGACATTCTTGTAAAACCACGGCACCTGATCACTGCTCCAAGCTTCCCTTCCCTCCTTCTCAGGCATTGCCAAAAATCTCTCCCCTCCATTTCACAGTAGGTGCACACAGATCCTCCTCATTGTCCCGAAACAGAGAGCTTGTGTTATTAAAGACCACCTAACATGCTGCGGTGTGCCAATAAGCTGCTGATGTTCTATGAATGGTAGTTTCACAAAAAAAATTTATACTTCCAAAAGGCTTTGATAAGTGACAGATAGGTCTGAAGATGGGAGACGAGCTTTTAAATTAATGTGAACGACGGGAGGCCAAATCTAATCACAGATATCCCATGAGCCAAATGGGGGAAGGAAAAAAATGAAAAAGATTAATTTTGCAGGCTTGTTTACCCCCTCCTTTGCTATCTCAAGCTCTCCGCTGCCTTCAAATTAAATAAGACCTCAGCGGCTCCTCTACTGAACATGGTAATTAGCCCTCTTCATGAGAAAATGAAAAAAAGAGAGGGTCCCTTTTTCGGGTCAAACCAGAAGCACCATTCAGCATGCGCGCTGTCATTTATCAACGCGAGAGGCTGCTTCCAAGAAAAGTGGATGAAAGGCTGATGGGCTTCCCCACTGGGTTCCCTGGGGCCTGCTGGGCCTGTTGGATATTGGAAATCACAGTCATGGATGAGAGGAGGATTTAGCAACTTGGGGATCGGGGAGTTCAACCATATCATGGACAGAATTTAATTCAATTGCTTTCAGGAAAGAGCGGCTTTGCAGCCAAAAGTCCCCATTTTCCACCTATGACGGAAAGGGAAAGGGTGATGAATAAGGAGGCCCCGTACGGCCATTAGTCCTAATTGTGTGAATAGAAAATTTTTAAAGGAGAGATTACAAAAGTGCTAAAAGATGCAAAAAACGTTTTCCAAGCTAAGTTAGATGGGGGGAAATGGAATTTAGTCGTATCCCTCCCTCAGAATAAACAAGTTTACTTTAGATCCGGGCGTTATTCATTGGTCGTTTGTCTTGTTGATTCACTGCAATAAAAACAAGTCCCTGTTCCCTAAAGGTTAGGGACGTGGTGTCATAGAGCAGCCACTGTGTTTGCGGGCTGTCACAGACAGAGGGGACAGGACAATAGACGGTGATCTCTCACCCCTCTTCCACGGCTTGTTTGTAAGTTTGTGTGCACGAGGCTTATTTGGGATGCAGCATCTGCCTGCAGGCTCAGGGAAACCAGAGACCTTTACAACACAGAGACTCTTTATCAAGAGGAATCCCATCAGCAGGGGTGGCAGTTAGACACAGAGAGGAAGCCCTGACCTCAACCTGACTGTCAGTGTGAAGAGACGTCATTTTGACTTCTGTACCACGCCGCCGTGTTGTGGTGAAGACGTGATGTTTGAACGGCAGAATCTGACGTGGACGTCTTTCTGAACCAGGGAGGATCCCGATACATCTTTCTCTTTATATGTTATTTCTAATATTTTTCAAAACCTTTTTTTTTACGAATATATAGTAATCCTTTGGTTGTATTGAGCCATGATAGACCCTTTTAGGACCCTGGTGAGATATTCCAATGTTACACTAAATCTAATAACAATAATGGAGCTTGGCAATCACCAGTCCAAAGCTCATATGCGTCTCAGTGTTTAGCGTAAAGCTGCACAAGATGTGCCAGGGCTTGCCTTGTGTGCAGAAGCAGGTGTGTGGCCCTCCTGTGTATTGTGGACAGGGCGGCGGTTTGGGGGGGGGCTGCTGAGGGACTCACACATCCCTACTGCTAACTAACGAGTCCCTTCGGCCCAGACTGAAACCAGCAGTGCAGCGACCAACAGTATTTCCATGACAAAGGTCTACGGTCAGATGCTGTATGATTAAGGCATGGCGGGGATAAAAAGGCACCCCTTAATTCGCACACTCTCGCTGGGGGTCTGACCGTAGCTTTTCCAAAGCATTCAAGCTTTCACTATGTGATATGGCATGCCTGAGCACCTTCCGTGTGAGTTCCCATAGAAACAGTGACTTTCTTCAAATGCAACACTTAAAAAAAACAATGCCAAGTCATGTGGCTATAACTTTTCCTTTACCAGACACACATCTCACAGTGTTTCTGGGCCTCCTCATTCACTGAATGGTAAAATGACTCTAAATGCTGAAGACTTTGATCCTGATGAAGCCCATGACTAAATCAGAACTGAAAATCAAAAGTAAACTAAAAATACGACCTCTTTTTTTAAAAGTAAAAACTGAATAAAATGTAAGATGGCTCAGATAAGATACAAGTAAAGAGGCAGCAAAAAAGTAAATTCATTGTTCAAAAGTGTTCAGTTGACATGTTCCTTATGTGGTCAATGGGTTATAGTAATGATTTAATCTTTCCTTAATTTCATCTTGGCTTAGGTATAGATATTTGCTCATTGAAGATTGCTTTAGCAATTGATATGATGGAAGAGATTTTGAACTCCGCTAGTACCACACTAGCTGCCACCAGCTGTTTGACGAGTCTATTTAAACGCATTGAATAAATAGTAATGTTCCAAAAATCCGTTTGTGTTCAGTAAATACCTACATGGTCAGTTCTGAACCCCCTTACCATAAAGATCCTCCTCTTTTTTCTGCCCCCTTGCCTCTTCCCTCGCATCTGGGTCTGATGTCTTTTCAGTGTGTTCGATCATGTGTGCAGAGGGCCTCCTGTGCCAGCCACTTCTCTAGCCCAGGCACAATAGAGCCTGATTCCCCAGCCCCTCTGTCCCCCTGTGGCCTAAAGAAGTCTCCCTGCAGGAGTGGAGGAGGGCCACCTCAGTGCCCTTCTGAGAATTTGAAAAAAAAAAGAGAAAAAGAAAAAAAAACTCCACATTCTCTTTGCTCTTCTTTTTAAAAACACACTTAACACACACACAACAATTGTGGCATACACACTCACATGTCGTTGGGCCACTTTTACTGTGTCATTCTCCAGTATTATTTCCTTTTTTTCTTTACTGTAGTAAAATCTGGAAATGTATTTTGGCTTGATATTTGCGGCAGAAATCGGACAGATGGGGATTGGGTGTGAAACATGTGAAGGCTCAGCATGAACATGATGCGCTATGAAACAGGAAGTGAGGGACATTAGACCACACTGACCCTGGGGTCCAGAGGAGGCAGTCTCATCTCCATGCTCTTGAGCCACTGTCTCAGTGCTCGGATCTGACCCCTGAACTCACACTGCCATTGGCTCATGTCCTCTGAATCTGGTCTGAAACAGAGGGAAGCGACATCAAATGTTAAAAACACTGTTAGAATGTTTTATCTAACACATATCAACAGCTTTGTGGATAGGAAACACCCACCTTTAATTAATATATTATGGAAAACACATTTCTTGCCCCATCTATAAAGAATTATGCAACTAAAAAGTATAATTATCTTACCAGTTAATAAAAAACAACAATTTTAACCTTATTGTGACTACTTATTTCTTGAATTTAGATCCATTGTCTTATATATTTTTATGGATTTACTCTTATATTGTGTTACCAATACTGTACTCATTTTATTTTCACTCATTGTTACTGGTATTGCTAAAAGGAAGAGTCTGAAACTGGTGACCAAATAATATAACAGGCATGACTACCTCCATTTCAAGAATTACTAGCCCTTTCAAAGGACAATAATCAGACCTCAACAGCTGAATTTAGCCATTAGGGATGGATCTGTTCTTTCTGTGAGTTGATCTGGAACCTCGGTTTTTCCTGTTTCAGTTATTTGTTTTACATTCTGTGCCCAAGGCATTATTCCCAGCTCTTTCTTTGTGTTCTTGGCAAAAGCAGATGCAACGGTCTGCAAAGCTGGTACAAATCAGCAAACTGTCGTGTCTAAACACCGGCGTGCGTTTTGTGTCGTCTGACTGCTGATGGCCGCTTTTGTTCACACTGTTGGTGGGCTGCTCATGCAAGTGTGTGACCGGTGAACTACGGGATTCGATCCAGAAAAATTCCTAAACATGTTTAGTTTTTTTCCCCTGAAGATGTGAGGTGACTTAGTACTTGTGGAGTAACAGTGTTTTACAGTAGCATACCCATGTGTCTGATCCAGTGAGGTGGGAGTTGGTGATCCACTCACTTTATCCTGCAAAAACAATGGGAAAAGTTGATATTGCACAAGTAATAATAAAATGAAATTGCCTCCTTGAGCATTTTGCAGTTGTCTCTGCTACAACTACTTTTTAGCTCTTTAATGGCTCATCTGGTCATAACTGCTGGTCCAACCCACTCATCTCTTACCTCCATGTCGCCACCTGGGAGGGAAGGGCTCAGATCTGAGTAGTCAAGGGAGCTGAGTGAAGAATTCAGGGAGGTGAAAGCGCCGTAGCTTCTGGGGACAAGGTCCTCCATCAATGTCAGTGACTAGTGTTGGCACACAGAGCAACAGATGTATGCAGCTAGTAAAAGGGTACTGGAGGTAAAAATCACACAGCATGCTTCAATTTATAATAGTTCCATAAACCAAAACTATTCAAGAAGAAATAGACTAAGATCCGTTTGTGTGAGAAGAAAATCACAATAAGTTGTCATAAGTTTAATATAGACTCTCAGGATTTCTTATTAATATGGTAATATAGCCAAATTGCTCGAAAAAGGAATATACTGCAGATCAGCCCAATACTGCCCTCATGTGGTCCATTTCTGAATCAACTGTAAAATGATTTCACACCACCAGCGAGTGGTTAGGTTTGTTGGAAAGAGAGAAAGAGTAAGCATAGTTTTTCTTTTCTTTTCAAACATTAAATGGAATATTTCATTGTATTAGTAGTGCAACAAAGGCGCACAACTTCAAATATTCAGATTACATTTTACATCAACGGTTTATGATTTCATTTCGAGTTGACTGGTGTTGATACTTTTATGAATGAAAAGTCTAAAATGTGTTTATTATTTCGAATTGATCTTTGGGTGTTTGTTTTTTTTATATGTGGCATATCTTTGATCATAGACTCAGTACACATGGGCAAAAAAAAAAGAACAGTGATTTAAAAATGTCTATTCAGTTGTTCTGTCTTTTTCAGAGACAATGTAATCTGGATGCTTTTTGTTGAATTGCTCCGCCTTTCAATTAAAAGTACCTCATTTGAGAAAAGACACTTCTTTATATTAAAAAAATTCAGATAAAAAAAAATCTAATTACCTAGAGTTCTAATTTTTGTTTATTCATTTGATTTGGTGGTTAGCACCATTGCCTCATAACAAAAGTGTGTTCCTGGTTTCTCAGCAGTCTTTCTGTGTGGAGTTGTGTGTATAACCTTCCTGTCCATGGCTCCTCTCTCCCATCCAAAAACACGGATGTCAGACTGATTTGTAATTCCAAGCACAGACAGTTCAGTGTAGCGTGGGCCTGGGATGGACTAGCAACCTGTCTATAACCCACTCCATCACTCACCCGGTGGCAGCTGGGATACAGCCCAGCTCCCCATGACCCAGCACTGGATGAATTTGGTATAGAAAACAAATGGATGATTGTATGTCCATGATTGTCCCCTTTTCTGCATTCGCTTTTCAGTATTTTGCCATTGTTGAGTGTGATACTTAGGTATGTGATTTCAATACGTAAAAATAAACCAAACAACTGTATTTCTCCTCAGCTCTATCTAGGTTTGACATCAGTGTGGATGCAGAGGTACAAAAGTCTATTTTTATCCCACCAAGTTGTTTTTTAATAGAGTTGCTATTATCTTCTATATATTGACTGTTGGTGTTTGTGCACCATCCTAGAAGACGTTTGAACTTGTGTCAAGAAAGTCTGCTGAAAGTCTTATCTTCATCATTTTACTACAAGAAAGAAAATGTCTGATTTCTTTAGGGTTACAGGAATGTGAGCAAATTGCACATTAATATTTAAATGAATTTATTTCAGCTAACTGAGTCGTCAGCACCAACACAACTTATGGAAGAGTTGACTTTTGGAATGAGCCCCTTTTTACCCATGTGACCCAAAACATTTGAGACACATATTTTCCAGTTACTTGAAATTCCTGTAATATTTTTTTTGTCTTGATTTATGTTCTTTTAAAAACACCACATTTTAAATTAAGACACTGTCATTTGCCTTTAAACCAGAATAACATTTTAAATAGATATCTGCGTCTCAAATATGCAGACGAAAACAGTGAAAAGGTAAAATAATGAGAAATGATATCATTTTTACTTATCACCGATTTTGTATTTTGTATGTCAGTCACAACAGCTAAGTGACACTTTGTAGTCTGTATTTCAGTATATTTGTTGTTTTAATGACTCAGCCTTTATGTGATCCTACTCATTGGTGTACTCACTTCTCTCATATACTGTACAAAACACACATACATCATAACGCATTTTCATTTTTCTTAATAGAGTGATAGTAAAGAGCTTCACTTGCATGAATGCTGATGCATGAATGACAAGAGTGCCTGTTCAGAGCATATTTATTTACAACATATTGTTATATTCAACAAAAATCTCACTGTATCAGTCAAAGCAACATTTTATCCCAAAAGCAAACCTAAATGATAAATGATTATTTCACATGAATAATCCCCACCCTCCCCTGATGTTCAATGAAAAATAAGTAAAGCATGCAATTATATATAAAAAACAAGCAAAAAACATGATGACAAAAACTTAAAGGTGAACAAGAAAGCATAATAGTAATAACTGATGTTAAAAAATTAAAAACAGGCTTAGGTAAAACTCTGGGCATATGTGGAACTGACAGGAGTGCATATGATATCATACATACATTCATGCAATCTAAATTTTTGTCAACTGCAGTTTGGTTGAAAAAGACAAAATAGAAAAAAAAAAGGTCTATCGAACTCAAGAGTGCGTAGTCCGAGAAAAAAACATTGATGCATAGTTGTGTATTCTTTGGGAGTGTTAATATCAGGACATTATTGCAAGAGCTAAGAGTCTTCCTAGAAAGGCATCCCAAGATGAAGTTGACCCAGTCTCAGCTTTCCTCAAGTGTGATGAACAGTGGAAGAAATACTCAAAGGCAGATCTACAAACAAATTAAAATAACTATGAAATACAACCAAAATAAATCAAATCATGGAGTGAGAAGAAAAACAAGATCAAGTGAAAACATATAAAAATAAGATGAACATTTTTACCAATGAACAACCCCCCAAAAAAGACCATATCTTCTAAAACACTTGTGTATTATACCTGTTTTACTGTGGGAGGATGACATGGACCTGCAAATCCATCCAAGCTGTAAGGGTCGTATGTACCGGCCACCTGAGTATTTGCGTTCACATGATGGAATCTGAGTGACTGAGATAGCTATGAAAAGAGGACAAAAGAAAAATAACAAAAAGAAAATGAGAGCTTTGATCAAAATCTTATCACTAACCATGTGACATCATAGGAACAAGTTAGGTAGTGAGACAAATAGCCTAAAGGTTTGAGATATGATCAAAACCAAGTTGCAAAAAGGATAGACAAAACAAGTGGAAAAAAAAGAAATACAACAAAAAAAACGGATCCATAAATTCAACTTACAAGAATGAAAATAACAGCGCGCAGGTCTGTGAGAGGGAGCAGGATTGAGTCTGACATCATCTTGGGATGTGGCAGGAACACTTGTTTGATGATATGAGCAATCCAAAATTGAAAGTGTGTAAAACAATGAAGTAATTAACTTTTCCACTTCAATGTCTATGAATAATAACGGGATGTGCAACTAGTTTTGAATAATTCTAATTTTAGCACTTCATTGCAGTGTTGCATTCCAGTAGTGTAACATTTTGCCGTGTTTTACTGGTGTAACCTGCACTGCTATCTACTGGGTTCATTGTTACCCTAATGTGTAGCCAAACGACCAAAAAAAAAGAAAAAGAAAAAAAAACAATACATCCTATGGTCATCCTCTACAAAGCATTCAGAAGGTTTTAAAATCACCTTTATGTTTTAGTTAAACACCTTAAAACTAATTGGACATTCAGTATGTCATAACTACTAATGTCAAAACAGGTTAGAAAATAGACTAAAAAAAATAATAAAAAAAACAACAAGAATTTCTGGAAAACAATGTGTTTTGACTTACATATAGTATATATTAGTTTTAAAAACAGTTGTATACATCTTTTGAACAGGAGTAAAAATTATAACTATGGTCACTTACAAACAGCAAAACTATCATGTTTCGCTTTGAAACAAAAAAACTTACTTTGCCATCAGTACAGTAAGAAATTAATGTTTTATATACTTTGCAATTTTTGGGTGTATCCTCATTTCAGAGGCATTTATCTATGCAGATTCTGTTGATGAAAAATGATTAATTAACCTATGGAATTTGTGTGACCACATGCTATAAAGAATAAATAAATTATATTTCCTTTGTTACTGATAACTATTTTTTCCTGTTAGAAATGCAGCTGTAAAGTGCATTAGTATTAATGGTTCTTAGTCACTAGCTATGAAGGACAGAACTATCTAATTAGAATCTGCGATTGAAGTTTGATGAGGATGTGAAGGAGGAAGATGAAAAGTTCATGCTAAAGCCAGAACCAGCATCAAAGCTGCCTCTTCTGGAGCCTGTTCGGGATCCAGTCCTTGAGCCAGTTCGAGAGCCATAAGCAGATCCACTGCCACTGGCATTGTAGGGACTGTAGAGGCCTTTGCTAGACTGTGAAGAGGCCTCCAAAAGCCGAAGGCCAGATCCTTCTTCGACCATGCTTTTGTCCATGGCATCTTTGAAAGATATTTTCAGTTTGGTTTTTGGGCATGTCAGATATTTAGAGTAAGTGGTGACATCTCTCAATTTCTGGGCAGTGCGGGCATCAATTGTTCCCTTCCTGATGGATTCATCTATGGACACTCTGCCTTCAACATCAGGCTCTATGAGTCCACCGGTTAGATACTGGATCTCAAGGAATCGCTGCCCAGCCTCATAATAAAGCCAGCCCTTCTTTAGGGCTTGAGATGCTGACATCTTTACTTTAGTTCTTGGGTCTTCAAATCCATTGAAAGCTTTTTGTGCCAGATTGAGGCGATCAACCATGACTTTGTCCACTAAACCTTTTTCTGTAGCATCAGCCACCAAGAATTTCTCTCCACTGTTGGGGTCAATTATACCTCCTGTGCAGGCTTGGGCCTCCAACAATCTCTGGCCTGTGATGTTGTCAACCAGGTTTCTATGCATTGCCTCAGTTATAGACACTTTCTCCAATGTGTCCGTGTCCAATATCCCTGCTATGGGTCCAGTTTCCTCTGATGGGTCATTCCATATTATTGCAGGTGGTTTAACAGAAGGAATGGGGCTCATTGAGGAGGAGTAAGTGGAACCAGTGGTGGAACCAAATGAGGAAGAGCGCGAGCGGAAGCCTCCCATGTTTCCGGAAAGCATGTCAGCAAACTCTGTGATAGATAGGTTTCCAGCTCGGTATGTATCAAGAGAATTTTGGTCGATAAGTCCTCGTGAAAGGGCATCATCCACATCATACTGTCTACCTGACCTTCTGTCAATGATTATAGATTTCACGGTGCCATCAGAGGAAGTCATTGTGATTTCCTCCCACTCACACTCCTGTTCCGAAAGCTCCAAGTAGGTTTGGTGGTCGATCAGTCCCTTTCTGTAAGCCTCATACACAGTCATTTCTTTGCCCGTCTCTGGGTCTACAATGACAACTCTGCGTTTTCGGACTGAGGATTTAGAGGAGGTCTTCCTTTCCCGCTTCTTTTCTTTCAGTAGCAGGAGCACCAGTCCTGTGTCAGGGTCGGTGATACACCTGTCCATCAGCTGAAGGTAGGTTAGGTTTTCCTCAGTGTTGGGATCAAAGAAGCCTTTGGTATCATCAGATGGATCTGACAGGATCTCATTCATTTCTTCATCAAAGAAGCCACGTTTGTAGGCAACCTCAACAGGCAGACGGTGACTTTCCTCGGGGTCAATAATTCCACCTGTGGCAATCTGGGCTTCCAGAAGTCGGATGCCATGATCTTTCAAAATGAGACCCTTTTTCATTGCCTGGAACAGGGAGATTGTTTTGCCTGAATAAGGATCTCTGTATCCAGTCACTGCACGCTCAGCAGACAGAAGCTTGTCCTTAAATTCTGGACCAACAATGCCCATCTTCACAGACTCATGGACAGTTAGTTTAAGGTTTTTGATTGGATCAATTACATACCCTGTGGCTGCTTGAGCCTCAAGGAGTTCAAATGCAGTGCCTGGCCTAATCATGTTCTTCTTCATAGCCTGGTAGATTGACAGACGTTCCTTGGCAGACTCCAAAAATACACCAGCAATACAACCTGTACCCTGAAGGTATCTTGACAGTCTATTGCTAACTTCTTCCACTGAAAGAAGGCCTTCATTCAATTCAGTGACTGTCTGCTGGTCAATGATTTGTGAACGAACCAACTCCTCCATTGTGATCTGTTTTCTAAGGCCCTTGAATGTCAGTCTCTTGTCTCCCAGGGAGAGTAGACGCAATCCACTGTCAAGCTTGCACCTCTTTAGCAGCTCTGCATATGACAATTTCTCGTCAGTGACTGGGTCAATGAATCCTTTAACTTCATCCGTCAATTTCTCATTGGTTTCCTTGTTGATATAGCTTCTTTGCAAGGCAATGTCTGCAGGCAGGTGGAACTGGAATTCTGGATCAATAATGCCACCAGTTGCACTTTGGGCTTCCAACATTTTCAGAGCGTAATCCTCAGGAACAAGATCCTTTTTCATGGCCTGGAAAAGAGATATGATTTTTCCACTGTATGGATCTTTGTATCCAGTCACAGCTCTTTCAGCCGACAGAAGTTTATCATGGATTTCGGGTCCAACAATGCCCTTACGAACAGCCTCATCAACAGTAAGTGTCTCATTCTTCACTGGATCTACAATGAATCCTGTTGCAGCTTGAGCCTCCAGGAGGCTGAGGCCTATTTCTGGTTTAAGAAAACCTCTCTTCATTGCTTGGTATATGCTAATCTTGGAGCTTGAATCTGTTGTAACCCCAGCAACACAGCCTGTGCCATAGAGATACTGTTTCACGCTGGTCATCTCCATTATATTACGGATATCTCTCTTGCCTTGTTTCAAAAGGTTGTATGTCTCCAGATCAATGATTCGGGCATTGTAGAGCTCCTCAATGGTTATCCTTCTCCTCAAAGTCTTATATGACAGCGGGCTATCATTTCTAATGATCTCCCTTTGCTCCATTATCTCAATAATAATAATGATCATGCGCTCTTTAGTGATGTTACCAGAGCGGTATTCATCCATGAGTCTCTGCCTCTCCTGCTCTGGAAGCAAATTGGAGTTCATGACATCCCAGAGGTTCACTGGTTTATCACCAAGACCCTCGATTGGAATGTCAATTTGGGTGTTGGTCAGATCGCTCTGAGTTTGTTCTTCTGTGTAGAGGTAGGTCTTTTCTACAACTGTTGGGGATTGAGGCTTGGACAGTGGGAGGATGTACAGGCCTGTATCTGCATCTCTTTGGCATTTCTCTTTTAATTGCCTGTAAGTTGCATTCTCATCTGTTTCTGGATCTGAGAAAGCCTTGATGTCATCTGTTGGTTCAGACAGGGTCTTTGAAATTTCTTTGCTGAAAATATTCTTCTTATATGCAACCTCAGTTGGCACACGGTGACTGTTTACTGGGTCAATTATTCCTCCACTGACCATCTGTGCTTCCAACAGAGGCATGGCATGTTCTTTCAGGATGAGATCTTTTTCCATTGCTTCAAAGAGGGAGATTTTCTTGCCAGTGAAGGGATCTTTATAGCCGGTGACAGCTTTTTCTGCAGAGAGGAGTTTTTCATGAAGCTCTGGACCAACAAGACCTGATTTAACAGCTTCATCCACTGACAGGCATTGGTTTTTCACCGGGTCTACGATGAACCCGGTTGCTGCCTGAGCTTCAAGGAGGGACAGACCAGTGTTGTGTCTCAGGAGCTTTTTCTTCATGGCTTGATAAATGCTTATTTTCTCCTTTGTAGGTTCCAAGTAGATTCCAGCAATGCTCTCAGTGCCCTGGAGGTATTTACTGACATTGGGATTCCCACTAACTTGTTTAGGTGTTGTTTTACCTTGCTGAAGAAGGTCAAAGGTTGGCTTGTCAATGATCTTGGAATCATACAAGGAACTCGCTGGCACTGGAGCTCTGAGCCCCTTAAAGCTTGACTGTTCCTTTTTCTTAGCCTCTTTCTCATCCACAATGGTGATCACAATCTTAATGATCTTTTCAATTGTAACCTTTCCTGACCTAAACTGTCTGAGCAGGTCAAGTCTCTGCTCTTCAGTGAGATATTCGCTGTGGATAATTTCCCAGAGTGTCACCTTTTTACCCTTAAATGGTCCAGATTCCAGCTCCAGAGTCTGGTGAGTCATAGCCTCTTTTGCTTGGGCTTCAGTATAACATGTCTCCTCTTTCTCATTGATGGCTTCGTCAGAAAGAGGGAGAAGCTGGAGACCGGTTTTCTTGTCAGTCACACATCTCTTAAAGAGCTCTGCGTATGTGACATGTTCTTTTGTGTTTGGGTCAAAGAAGCATTTCGTTTCATCAGTTGGGCTGGCCAGAGATTGTTTTGTTTCGTCATCAAAATAATTTCTCTTGCAGGCAACATCATGAGGAATATGATGGCTCTTCACTGGATCAATGATGCCCCCGGTGGTCATTTGAGCATCGAGCAATCGAATACCTTGCTCTTTGGGAATGAGATCTTTTTTCATTGCCTGGAAAAGAGATACCGTCTTTCCACTGTAGGGATCTTTGTAGCCTGTAACAGCTCTCTCTGCAGACAAGAGCTTTTCATGCAGCTCAGGACCAACAACATCTGCCTTGACAGCTTCGTCAACAGTGTAGCTTTGGTTGTGAATAGGGTCAACCAAATAGCCCGTTCCTGCTTGGGCCTCCAGCATGTTCAGGGCAAAACTGGTCTTAATCATGTTCTTCTTCATTGCTTGATAGAAGGACATTGTCTCCTTGGAGGAGTTAATGATAACACCTGCAATGCAGTTTGTACCCCTCAGTGCCTTCTGCACTGGCTCCATTTCTGAGACTTCCTTGACAGTGACATTGCCCTTGTGCAATTTGTTGTAAAGATCTTTATCAATGACTTTAGATTCCAAGAGCTCACTTGCAGGAACAGGTGATCGCAGACCATCGAAAGCAATCTCCTTCTTCTTCTCTTTCTCCTCAGCCACCGTGATCACAATCTTGATGATCTTTTCGATTGTGATTTTGCCCGTCTTGTACTGACGGAGAAGATCCTTCTTCTGATCTTCAGTGAAATACTCAGAGTTTATTATTTCCCAAATGGTGACCGTTTTTCCCTTGAATCTTCCAAATGGTACAGACACGGTTGTTTTGCTAAATACATCTTTGGTCTCCTCTTCTGTATATATGCTGGAGCACTGAGCAGCTTTGTCTGTGATTGGCAGGAGTAACAGCTTAGTGTCCGGGTCAATCTTGCATCTTGCCATCAGCTCAGAATATGTCAAAGCTTCCTGAGTGCTGGGGTCAAAGTATCCCTTTGCATCATCTGCAGGTTTCTTCATAATCTTACTCATTTCTGCATCATACTGTCCCTGCTTATAGGCTGTTTCATCAGGTACACGATGACTGTTGAGAGGGTCAATGATGCCCCCCGTGGCAAGCTGAGCCTCAAGGACTCTGATGGCGTGATCGTGTTCTATCAGACCCTTCTTCATTGCTTCAAATACAGATATCTTTCCACCTGTGTATGGATCTTTGTATCCAACAACAGCTCTCTCAGCTGAAAGCATTTTGTTATGCAGCTCAGGGCCAATCAAACTTTCCTTGACAGCCTCATTAACTGAAAGTTTCTCATTCTTTATGGGGTCTAAAATGTAACCTGTGGCTGCCTGTGCCTCCAAAAGTATCATGGCTGTTCCAGGAGTAATCTTCTTTTCTTTTGATGCTTGATAGATTGACATTTTTTGATTAGTTGGTGTCAAAATGCCCGCTATGGCATTCTTCCCTTTGAGAATTCTCTTAAGATTTTCCTTTTCACCAAGCTCTTGGATGGTGGTCTTGCCATTTTTCAGCTTGTCAAATTCCTTTGTAGGCAGAAGACCAAGCTCATGAAGTCTGCTTGCAGGTACCTTTTCACGGATGCCATCAAATGCCAATGGATCTGGCTTTTTGCCAACACCATCTACCCCATCACCGGCACTTTGACCGTTGAAAACCTTTTGCGTTGATTCAATCGTTGTTATCTGGATAACTTCTTTGCTCTGGTCTTTCTGAGCGTCCTCGAGCTGCTGCAGCTTCTCCCGCAATTTCTTGTTCTCCTCTGCAAGAACCTTTTCTTGCTCTAGCCTCTTCTTCTCCAGTTCTTGCATTTCTTTCTGTTTGTTAAGCATTTCTTGCTCTGCCTCTTTCTGTTTACTGAGGGCTGCATCCATGGTAGCCTTTAGCTTCTTCTTTTCCTCCTCCATCTGCTGTTTCTGGCGTGCCTGTTCATCTTGGAGAGCTTTTGCCTTTCTCACTTCCTCCTCAAATTGGCTCTCAAGCTTTTTCTTCTCATCTTCAATGAGCTTCTCTTTCTTTAACAGCATCTCCTTTTCTGTCAGGAATGTCTGTTGGAGCACTATCTTTTCGTGCTCAATTTGTTTCTGCTGAGCATCAGCCATCTGACAGAAAGATAAGAAAACATTAGTTACAAGATATCCATGGCTGTGACACATTTATCACATTTTATTGTTAAACTGTTATTTCAGTTATTGAATTTAATCTGTACAATGCACTCTGCTAATGCAAATGGGGCTTTGATAATCCTTAAGTGAAACTATTCCATGCCTGTGTTACCCTCACCGCCTTTTATCCCCTTTTTTTTTTAAACAATATTCTCAAGGTCTTGTTTTGTTGCTTAAACACTTATACTAATAACACCAATAACATTCTTTAAGCGTTGCAGTTAAAGATCTGTTGAAAATATAATTAAGGGAGCTATCATATATATATTTATATACAATAATAACTATTTTAAAACTGCCCCATTTTGGGTTCATGGCATAAAACAGAGTGGTGCTTGAAAGTTTTCAAGTGCTTCAAAATGGGCTATATTACTATACGTATACATAAGTTTATATGTTTATGATGTAGAACTTTAAAGGACATATCAATTGTTATCATTATTAACAATATAATGGCTTTTAAGACATATTTTGATTTCCTGAAAGCATCTATCCTTTTAAAAATGTTGGGAAAAGGCTTTTTCATGTCTTAAACCTCACGCTAATGCACAGTAGTATGTATCATCATCATCTCAGATGGTAAACAGGTAGAATATATAGGTATTCTAACATTGTAAGAAAATATTTCATGATGCCAAATAAACTGGCTGGACAAAAAGTCAACTGAGGTAGAGAAGGGATTTCAATTTTTGAGTATTTACATGAAGACATAATATTTTTCTGTACACCAATTGCTGATGGTTCACTAACATCAGTTTAAATAAAAAGGTTCTTTAGACCGAGTCTGATTTAGATGGTGTAATGGTTTCCAACTCTCTGAGTCACACTTTGATAACAAGTTTAAAAGTTTTGCCATTGAAAATGTATGATGCATGTCTAAAAATGAAGAAACATTCCAGGATGGCATTCAGGGCATGATCTGCATGAGCACAGTGCACTGTAAAAGAAAAGTCATGTTCAAAATGAAAAGTCTGATTCATGGTTAGTGTAATAAAAAGAGAGAGATTGAGGAAACTTTAAGAAGGAAGAGAGTTAGTCTTTTGACAGAGTTATCAATGACATGAGCTGCTCTGCTATGCCATTTTTGACACAATACCTCTTTGGACTTATTCTGAAGTTCTGCAGCCTCCTTTTTCAGCCTAGCCTTCTCGTTCTCTAGGTCTGTGATAGCTTTGCGTAAATCATCGGCCTCTTTGCTTGTATTTAGCCTCTCATATTCCAGCCTTTCAACCACAGTCATTTTCTCTTTGGTTGCAATTTCGGTCTCATGGAGACGGGCAGCGATCGTGTCGGCCTGCTTCTTGAATTTCTTTGCCTCTTCTTCGGCTTTGGCCTGGGCTTCACTGAGCTGAGAGACCTGAAGCTTGAGTTTCTCCGCTTCGGCCTTGATCTCCAGTTGCCTTTTCCTCTCGGCCTCGAGTGAGCGCTGATACTCCTCCGTTTCCTCATCCAGACGCTGCTGCATTAGTTGTTTGTCCTCCTGGAGCTTTTGCGCCTGTTCCTGAGCCAGGTCTTTCTGTCTTTGGAGCATCTCTGCCTCGGCCTTGAGTCTGGATGCCTCCTGTATGGCCTGCATTTTCTCTTTGAGCATCTTCTCAGCAAGCGCCCGCTGCTGGCTGAGGTCGTCCTCTGCGATCTGCCTCAGGCGAGCGGCCTCTTGGGCCTCGACGCTAAGCCGAGCGGCATCCTCCGAGAGTTTTTTCATATTCTCAGCCTCCTCGGCCAGAAATTTCTGTGTGTTGTCCTTGTCTTTCTTGATGAGACGCTGATTTTCCTCCTCGATTCGGATTTTCAGCTTCAGCAGTTCCTCCATCTGAACCTTTACTTTGAAAAGCTCCTCCTCCACCTGGGCCCTCTGCTTGACAGCGTCATCCACCTCGTCCTTCAGCCGCTGCAGCTCGTCGTCGAGGAGGGTTTTATGCTTATCGGTTTCGTCGAGCTTCAGTTTAACCTTTGTGAGCTCTTGCTCCACTTGGAACTTCTGCTTCAGGGTTTGCTCGGCCAGTTTCTTGTGCTTCGCCATTTCGGCGTCCGCCTGATGTTTCTGCTTGAGCGCTGCAGCTTCTGCCTGCGCTCGCTTTGCGGCTTCGAACTCGGCCTCTTTCCTCAGCCTCTCAGCATCTTCCTGAGCTTTGGCCTGGTTGGCGGCCTCTTGTTCGGCGACGGCTTTCTGGCGCTCGGCCTCCTCGGCTTGTTGGCGAAGGAGAGCCGCCTCCCTCTCTGCCTTCTCCTTTGCAGCCTCCGCTTCTTTGGCGAGCTTCTTGGCTTTCTCATACTCCGCTTTGAGCTTCTTCTGCATGATGCCGTCCTCCTTCTGCTGGGCAAGGACACTTTGCACCTGCTGCTCAGCCGCACTGCACTTCTGAGCAGCTTGCTGGGCGGCAACGATCTGCATTTCTGCCTCCCGGTCGGCCTCGTCCTTCTGCTTCCTGGCCTCCTCGGCCCTCTTTTTCAGCCGGTCAAGCTCGTCCTGGGCGGCCTTGCGCTGTCTGGCGGCCTCTTCCTCCGCAGCAGCAATCTTCTTGACCTTTTCCTCCGCCTCTCTCCTCCTGCTCTCCTCCTCGAGGGCAAGCTTCTTGAGTTTCTCCGCCTCCTCCTCTGCCCTGAGCTTGCTTTGCTGGGTTTCTTCGGCAATGTTTTTGAGCTTGTTCAGCTCCAGCTCCAGATCAAGTTTTCCAGACGAGGCCTTCTCAAAATTCAGCTTAAGGATTCGGATTTCTTCTTCCACTGCCCGCCTCTGTTTAAGAGTATCATCCACCAAAGCCCTTTGCCTTTCCATCTCAGCCTCAGACGACTTCTTCAGCAGGACGATCTTCTCCTCGATCTCCTGCTTGTGCTGGTTTGCCTGGTCCTCAAGGGCCTTCCTCTGGTAAGCCTCATCTTCAGCCTGTCGCCTCAGCCTCTCGTTTTCTGCTTCCTTTTCTTTCAGGGCGATCTCAGCCTCCGTTTTTAACCTCGTGGCGTCGCTGATTGCAGCCAGTTTCTCTTTGAGAATCCTCTCGGCTTCTGCTCTCTGGCGAGCCGCCTCATCCTCCGCGATTTGCCGCTGATGTTTGGCCTCTTCGGCGATGGATCGAAGCTTGGTGGCCTCCTCAGCCAGGTCTTTCATCTTGGCAGCTTCGGTTTCCAGGAGCTGTTTGCTCTTCTCGGTGTTGGACATGGACTCCTTTTCCGCCTTGGACTTCATCTGGATGAGCATCTCCATCTCACTCCTGACTTTGGCCAGCTCATCTTCCAGCTGCTTCCTCTGCTGCTGAGCGGCAGCGACTTCATTCTTCAGGCGGTAGAGCTCGTCCTCCAGGAGGGACCTTTGCTGTTCCGCGTTGTCAAAGTCAGCCCTGAGTCGAATGAGCTCCTGCTCCGCAGTGAGCTTCTGCTGAGCGGTGCTCTCGGCGATCTTCCGCTGCCTCTCAAGTTCATTCTCGGCCATCTCCTTCTGCTTCAGCGCCGATTCCTCAGCTTTGGCTCTCTTCTTGGCCTCCCGCTCTGCGTCCTCCTTTTGTTTCTCGGCGTCCTCTTGAGCCAGGCTCTTTTTGTGGGCTTCTTCTTCGGCTTGGAGCCTTAGGCGAAGCGCCTCGTTGGCCTTCTGCCTCCATTTTTCAAGCTCCTTCTCAGCGTCCTCTCTGGCGTTTTCCGCATCCTCCTGTTGCTTCTTGAGGCGGTTTGCCTCCTGCTGCAGCTGAAGGACGGCACCGTGTTCCTGCTTGAGCGACTCCTCCAATTTGGAGGTCTTCTCCACGTAAGAGATGTGTTTGCTCTGGAGCTCAGCGGCAGCACTCTTCTGGGCTGCCTCATGGGCCACCTTGATCTGCTTCGCCTTTTCCACCTCTGCTTGCTTGACTTGTCGCTCAGCCTCCTCAGCCTGTCTCTTGAGGTTATCGAGGTCTTCCAGAGCTCTCTGTTTCTGCTTGGCGGCCTCCTTCTCGGCCTCGGATTTGCGCTTGAGCTCCTCTTCTGCTTCGCGCTTTTTCTGCGTCTCTTCGCCGACCTGTCTGCGGAGCTTCTCGGCCTCCTCTTGGGCGGCCTTCCTGAGCCTCTCTGCCTCGGCCGCTCTGTCGCGCAGTTGCTTGAGCTCAGACTCGGCAGTGGCCTTTTGCTTCACCGTCGTCTCGAGCTGGATCCTGATCAGGTGGATTTCCTCCTCGATCTTGGTCCGGCTTTTGAGGGCCTCGTCCACCTGCTGGCTTTTGTCTTTGATCTGCTGCTCTGAGAGGTTTTTCAGCTCGTGCAGCTCCTGTCGGATGTTGTGCTTTTGCTTTTCCGCATCTACAGCCGCTGTTTCTCTCCTGCTTACTTCTTCCTGCATTCTGAGCTTCAGCTCTCGGGCCTCTTTCTCAGCTTTGGCAATGGCCTTCACTTGAGTTTCAGCTAACTGCTTTTGTTTGTCTAACTCAGCCTGCATCTCCGCCATCTTTTTCTGCTCTTCCACTTTGAGTTTCTGTGCAGCTTTCTGCATTAGTGGAAGCAAATGGTAAAGAAAGGATTATAATCAAGCATGACAGGTTAAAGGTAATACCTTACATTAACCAGCTCATAAACAGCGTGTTAAAATTGTTGTTACTTTGGAAATTGCCGCAAAAACACGCATGTTTGAGAGCAAATTAATGTACTGTATTCCCCTTTCATTGTTAATGTTAAAATTAGCTTAAAGAAAGATCAATCACTAGATGCAAATTAGATGCACATTCATCAAAGTTATGTTAAAATTCATGATGCAGTGATAAAAACATGACAAGACAAATCAGGAAAAATGGCAGATGTGTCAAATAATGTATGGAAACAAAATATCACTTCACAACACAGCAAGAAAGTCATGGCATGCAACTGTAGCTGTAGCACTGACTGTCAATCTCCAGAAGAATTCCGATTCTAATAGTTTCAAATGAGTCATTTACCATCAATAATGCTACACATTACAATCATGACTAAAACATATTTGTAACAATTGTTCTTAGTCAAGTGGTGAATTCCTTTTTTCACATAAATCTATTTTATGTAACTTAAACATTATTTGCTAAAGGTAGAAACTTGCTGCCTTGAGTTATGTATTTGTTTAGTTTATCCGAACCATTTCCTCACGTTTCTTTTTTAAATCTAAACCCAGTCACAGGGGTTTCTCAAAATCACAAACTGTGACCACAAAGAAAAGAAAGAAAATGGAAAGTCAAAGCTGAGGACTGTTAGTCAGACAACAAGCTTATGCCTTCAAGAAGTTTAAGAATCAGTTAAAGAAAAAAATCTTATACAGACTATGCTGTAAGTATATTGGACCGGTATGTCTTCAAAAGACTAGTGAAAACTGGAAACAAATAGGCAATGGAAGGTTTAAAAAAAAAGGCAGCTTGAGAAAAGGAAAGATGCTGGGATGATAGAGGGGATGGAGACTGTAGAGTAGGGAGGTACCTGAGACGATGAATAATTTACCTTATCAATGCTCAAAAAAGTTAAGCATTCATCATGGCAAAGCACTGGCAAGCAGTTAAAAGAAGCAAGAACACACACAAAAAAAACATCAGGTTAGAAAAATTTGTGTTAATTTAAAAGGGAGAGATGAAGTCCATGTTAACATCATTCAACTCTGGAGTCATAACTTTGAGTTTAAAGTCAGGGAAAAAATAGTTGCAGGTGAATAAGGAAGAGACCGGAGAACATGAAGGAAAGAACCCCGTATTCTAAATTTAAGATAGCACATGTGAAATGGAATGGAAATGAAATAGTTAAGACATGAATATATGAAAATACCTCCTAATTCCAGTTTTGGATATTGATAGTTATGCCCTCAGCACAGCTCATCTTGGGATAAAGTCCTTTGATCATATGGACCTAAATTAATTTGATCTGGCGCCTGTTTTGACTTTTTTATGGCCACGGTATCTTCAATAGAAGCCAAAGATATGCTCCAAAAACACTTGCTTCTCAAGCTAATGGGTCAGCTACAGCATGCCAATGTTTCATGCATCGCTGGTGCAAAGGAACCATTTGTCTTCCGTACATTAAATGTAGTGTGTGTGTTTGTGAGACACACAGAGGAAAGTGCATGTGTGCGTGCTTGCATGCTTTTTGGTGAGTGATGGAGCGGATCCGTGTTTCGTGTGTGGATTGTTTGGTTGGGTTGGTTAGGTTAGTGTTAGAGTTTAGTTTGTTTGGGACCCTCAGACAGGTGTCACGCACCTCCTCCTCCTCCAGGCGGCGCTGCGTGTCGGTGATGAACTTGATGTACTGACTCGTCAGAGTCATCAGCTCACTGTACCGGGTCCTCAGAGTTACATACTAATGCCGGGAGAGACAGACAGCATTTAAAAATGGCTCACATTCAGATACAACCAATTGAGGGAGAGAGGGGATAGAAAGGTCGATCTTTTAAACAGCCACAAGAAAACGTGTCGTCTGTCCATATTTCTTTCCACGTGACAGCGATCGATGTTTAAGACAGCGATTAGTGCTTAATTTTTTTTTTCTCATTTGATAATGATACCTAGCATTAGTTCAGGAAAACACACCTCTTGAATGATGTTGTCAGAAGCAGAATCCATTTTGGTTTTCTTCAGGGGAGAAGCAAGAGGCTCTACCTGAGCTTTGTAGGCAACCAGCTGGAGTTCATAGTCCTGTTTGTATTTAAAAAATATAAAGAAAACAGTTAACGGTGTCATTAAAAATAATCATTTTTACACTGTAACAAAATGCATGCAAGCTATTAATGTCTAAATCTTACCTTGATAGTATCAATGTATGCTTTTGCATACTTTTGGCATTCATCAACCTTGTCTTTGTTCTTTTCAATCTCCTCCAGGAGTTTCTGTTTAGAAAAAAAAACAATGTTAAAGTGATTTTGAAAAAAAGGAAAAAAGAAAAAGGCTTTCTGCTGTATACCTTCTCCTGGGCGAGCTGATCTTTCAGGGTTTTGCTGTCAGTGATGGGCACAGCCTGGATCTTCTCCTGCCTCTGCTTGGCGTCAGCGATCCAGCGGATGAGCCAGTCGTAGCTCTCGCGGTAGTAACCCAGCTGCCGACCCAGCTGCTCCAGCTCTCTCTGACGGAGGTCCATCTGGGTGAACACCGCCCTCCAGCGGTCCTGTAAACTGGACATCAGTTGCCGGTAGTGTTCCAGCTCGGCGTCGCGCTCGCTGTGCACACGGGACATCTTATCGCTAACGGCCTGGGCCTTCTTCAGCTCTTCTTCCAAGGAGTCAAACACTGGCTGTTCACCTTCGGCCTCAGCTCGCATTTTCTATAATTGTAACAACAACAAAAAAATAGGCCGGTCATGTGGGAGCAAAAGTGGTCAAACAGATGGCAAAAGACTGAACTTCTACACATATGGGACGCAAATCCTGCTATGTGTATGCTGATGTGGAGTTTGCCTAAAAGGCCATGCAATTATTTTGTTTGGCTTACTTTGAGCTTGGTTCTGTAGGTTTCAACTTCTTTGATGTCCCCGGGCACAGTGTGAACCTCCCTCAGACAGTCCTCATACTGCTTTAGGACGCCCTCAGCACCTTGTGTGTTGCGGATGACCATTTCTACAGTCTTCAGCCTAAGAAAAAACAAGTGTTAATCCGTTTAAGGGCAATGGGAAACCGTGTATTTGCTGCTCCAAATAAGAGGTCGGGGACCTACTTTTCCAGATAAACGGAGGAGAGCATGTGGGCGTGGTCCATTTTCTGAACGGTGAGTTCGAGCTCCGACCGCAGCACGGGAGCTGAGGCCGGTTGCTGAGGGGAGGCCAAGACATTTTGGGTCTTTACGGACACCTTGTCCAGGTCCTTTTTCAGGCCGTCGAGCTCTCCCTGAACTTTCTGCGGAACAAAACACAAAGTTAACAGTTAACAAAATGAAGGAGCGTGGAAGGGATTGTTTTTGAGCCAGGAAAACGGCACTTTAAAGAATTCATTACATCAATATGTGATGGGATTCTATGCCTTCGATCAGCCAGAAGCATGGCTCACTATCTTACAGTCTCAGATCAGCAATAATGCCGGAGGCATGCCATCTGCAGCAGCCCTGCACTCTCTAAAACTCCCACTGAGGCAAAATGCTACTTTTCATCCTTCATAAGTTACATGATTAATTCATTTCTACCATGCTTTTCTACCCCAGCATATGTTTCCTTCTTTCCTTAAACATGCTTGCATTTATGTCCAATACCTTCTGCTGTGTAGTTTTCTGGGCGCATTCTTTCAAAGGTTCTTTTTCCACTGGCTTGCGGATCCGGGACACAGTCTGGGTCTCGCAGTCCTCTATGCGGATACGAAGGTCCTTCAGCTCAGAGATGTAGTTCTTACACAGAGTTTCGTCCTGTTGACCTGCACCACAGCACTTATATTAGATTGTGACATACAATACATGTGATTCATTTTATTGCGCAGGCAATAGGAAACAGTCCTGTCATCTCTTTCCAAACATCCGTCACATCTTCAAACGGTTGCTGCAGTGCATCTAATAGACCATCCCGCATGCAGCTCCGCATGTGTTGTGTCCTCAACACACACCGCTCCACACTCATTACGTCTGCTCAATGTGCTTATTTACATTTCGAAATGGCCAAATATGGATTAATGTCATACTCCTCCTCATTCACAACACATGGGTTGCATTTGGTGCAGAGCGTCCCTCCTCCCCCCAAAAAAATTAATGAATAAAAGGAACAAAAAGCTCATCTGGAGCCAAAATGACATGCTGTCACACACTAATCTAGGCGTGGATGCGTGTGTTTGAACGTCTGAAGCTTGAAAGCGTTCACACACATCAACTTGGTGAGCGTTTTGTTTTTTTTGGCCGGCTTTGTGTCACTCACCTTTGGGCCTAACAACCATTTGCCCTGTAAGGTGAATTGACAATCACAAACTGTAAAAGCACAATACTGGTACTCTTGCACTTCTATGTTCTAACTGTGAACACAACAAATGCTATATAATGGTTCGACAAAACGGCTGTTTGGTGGAAAAACAAATCTCACCTTTTTCCATGGAGCGAAGCAGGTTGTCGAAATGCTGAGTGGCCCCGGTGTAGTCGTCCTCCACCTGCATGCGGTCATCGGGGCCAAAGAGCTGGGAGTCCTGGCTGTCACGCATAAAGTCCTGGTAGTGGAGCTCCAGGTTCCTCATGACCAGGCGGTACTCCTCTGGTTTCATGGTCTTCAACTGAACAGGGTAGAGACAAACAGAGGTTTTTCTTTCTGTATTTCAGTCGGATATAGGGACTCATCTCTTTGGGTTGTTTTCATTTCCAAACAATTAATGCTTACCATGGTGATGTTCCAGGAGCGTATCTGTGTGAAGTCTCTCATCAGGTACTGCCATGACAGCAGACTCTTCATGTTTATATGCAGCAGCTGCCACATGGTCAGCATCTGCTGGTGACCCGCGTCCAGACTAGAATGCGGCGAGAACGAGAATGACATATCAGCGAAAAGGGACTTACGGATCACCTCAATAAGAAGACACGGAGCTCCCAAGGATCTCCACAATGCTGCTGCCATAGGTGATTCTAATATTTTCACCTTGACACACTGTCCACAGCCTCTTTGTTGACTGGAGGTACCATGAAGCACACCGAAGGAACCACCGCCTCGTTTCCAGAGCGGTTCAAGACCTTCCAGTTGAAAGGCTGGGAGTTGTTCAAAAGAGCGCACTCTTCTCCTTTATGGACGGTGATCTGGTGTAAAAAAATAAAGCTCTTTCAGCACCCTGCTGCAGGTAGATGATTATTCACCACTGCTCGGCAGGCCAGGCTAACCTCCTGCTGCTTGAAGTCACACACAGCCTGGATAGGCAGTTTGCCTTTGATGGGGGTGGTGGGGTTGCGGGGTTTCAGCTGGATGATGGACTTGGCTCTCTTATTCAGGCCAGTGATCAGAGTCTTGAACTCATTCATGTGTTCCTTCTCATCCTGTAGAATGCAAGTACGAACTGGTTTAGAACAGCAGTAAAAATTAATTGACAGTGTTCATTTACAGCATTTGTAAATTAAAAGTCCGGTCATATTTTACCCCCGATCTACCAAGTAATTACAAAAAGATCGCTTTAAATCTGTATTTAAAAGAGTATAAAGTGTCTTATTAGAATAAAAGGCAGTAAGATTTTTCTTGAAAAGCCAAAGATGATTTCAAATACACGGTTCACTGTATCTTATGCAGTCACATGTACCCACCACAGCATCCTGCAGCAGGTCCTCCAGGCGTGTGGCCGTTGTGGAGCGATCACAGTTGTACTTCTTTTTCATGTTCTCCTGCATTTTCCTCATCTTTTCCTGAGCCTCTTTCACATCAGCAAAGAACTGCACGGACAGGAGTCCCATTACGGAAGAGCATTTACAACACCGAGTACAAAAACCTCTGAATGTTAGATTTATATCACAGATTTCGATGCATTGCCCTCCGTGTCCCGCACCTGGTAGTAGGCTGTGTTTTCTTTGAGGTGAGCCTCGACACAGCAGCACAGCTGAAGAATCCAGCTCCACTGAGTCTGCAGGGCAGATGTGAAGGCCTGGCAGAGACCAAAAGACACAATGGCAGTGAGTACGTTTGGGCCTCGTGGTTTAAAACTACATGCTGCATATGGCTTTCACCCCCCCCCCTTCTTCAGCCCACATTTCTGCTGTAATCACCTCGACCGTTTTCCTGCCAGGATGTCCATCCTTGACAAGCCTGTCTCCCAGGGCCTGGATATCGTTGACCTTCTTCTCTCTAAGCTCCAGTTCTCTCATGAGACCCTGAGGCATCCAAAAGACAAAGTTAAAGATCGTATATATGCACAATCTGAGAACATTAGAGATAAAAAATCAATGACTGAAATGCGTGAGCTCTACTTCCAAGACGCACAGAGTAATTGTCTTTTTTGGTTGTCATGTTGGCGTTCCGGTCGCTCCAGTCAAAGTTGACCTCTTCCTCCTCTTTGTCGTTCAGCCACATGAGTTCCTTTGTAGCAGCGGAGACGAACCCGTGCAGGGAATCCAAGTTCCTCAGGCGAGACTTGGAAGAGTTCTGAGAACGATCAGAGAACGGTTACGCAAACATCTGAGCATTATTCCCATTCAAATCCAGTTCGGAACTCAAACCGATGTACTCACCAGCAGTTTCCCATACTGAAGGTCCAGCTTTCCCAGGTATTCTCTGTATGTGCCCTTGCTGACTGGAGATAACTGGCTCTGCAGAAAAGGAAATACACAGAAAAAAAGAAAAACTTATTAAAGATTAACAGGGAACCTTGCAAGTGTCGGTTTGCTCCACGGGTCAGATGAGATTCTACCTCGTCAGACTTTGCCCGTTCAATCTTGGATTTGAAGTCCTCCACGGTCTGATGCAGGCCCCTGTGGCTGCCCAGCTGGGACTCCACGGAGGGCAGGTCGGATCCCCACTCCGACTCATCGATGCGCCGCTGGTTCTCCTCCACCCAGGCCAGCAGATCCTGCACGTAGCGCAGGGTGACGTCGTCCACCTCCGGGCGCACCTTCATAGTGGTCTGCTGGGGGGTCTGGGCCATGGAAACGTGCGCCATTGTGGCGGCAGATTTCAGACGAAGGTTGTAGTCGCTGCGCAAGTTTACCAAGCGCTCGTGGAGCCGATAAACTCTGTGGCAAAAAAAAACAAAAACAGAGGCGGCTGTTAGCAGGTAAATGAAGCGTTTGATTACATTTTTACGTGAAGCCCCTTAAGGAGTTTCACCGATGCAGAAAATGAGAACCTGAACGCAGCTTAAAAAAAAACAAAGCCCCAACCTGCGGTACATCTGTTCAGCCTGAGGGTGGCGTCCATCTTTGAGGATCTGCACGTCATTGAAGAGGAGGCGGATCATGTTGTCTGCCTTGTCCAGCTCCCTCTCCACCTCAGCTGTGTGCTGGGCTGGTTTCCCTGCGTTCAGCAGACGGATGTCCTGAAAGGAAAAACAACCAGGAGAAGTGCCACATGAATCAGATTAGACACGAACATTATTTTCACAGATAAATACGTTTTCTGAAACAACAAGTTCATTGCATGGATTCCAGAACATTAGACTCAAACAAACACTCACTGTGGATATCCTACTTTCACATAATGCTAAAGGGCTTTTGACCATAGGCAAAATGGAGAGCTTACGGTCTGCAGCAGGTTCTCCAGGTGAGTGAGCTGATCATCACACGATCCCGACTCCATCTGGACTTTACTGTAAATTCTCTGGAGCCTCTCGAGCCTGGAGTCAACAAACACGCGTTTAAGGTTAATCAAACAAGATGGCACTGTTTCCCTTTCCCCTGACATTTCTTTTAGGGCTGAAGAGGATCCGAAGCTAACCAGACGGCATTCACAACACTCACGGCCATCTGCGCTGCAGCATATACTCCAGTTTGTGGGGGTCAGTCACAAACGCCATGGTGGTGCTCTTCTAAATATTGGCCGAAGCTAAAAGACCGTCGACTCGTCTCTCTCTCATCACTCGGACGCGAATAAGCAAAAAGCGGGATGGAAAAAATCTCCCCATTTTCTGACAAACAAGTCCAGTCCTCTCATTCACTCGCGTCTCTCACATCTGGATCAGACGCCAGACTGAGATAGGCAAACAGTCTCATGACAGGAAACCCTCCCTCTTAGCGTTCACGGCGCGTCATTACTCCAAAATACTAAAATAATATACAGTGCTGTCTAATTTGATCAAATAATTACATCTACTGTGTTATCTAATTTTCTCATGAAGACACAAAAGCTAAGAACTGGAGCCTTCCTCTAAACTATTTCAGTGCAGTGAGTGAACTGTGAAATGACATCGTTGTGTCACCGTAATCGTCCCTTCATTCCGAATTCTTACTCCCGAGCTGGCTAATCCAATAAGGTCTCAGATAAAAGCAGAGCAGGCCTTTAATAGGAAGAGCTTGTGATAAAAATTGGATGCATCTTCTTCCAAACGTCCCATTACTGCTGCAAATACAATAACCTGATAAAGTCTGAGCTCTAGTTCATAGAAAAGAATTCCCAACGCCTTAGCAACTCCTTTGCTTATCCAAAGGACATGAGTTATGTGTAATTAAATGATAGTTGTAACTATCAACACTTTCTTTCTTTCATCCTTTGGAATTGTCAAAGTGGGAATTGAATTCCCCAGACAAACAAACACATGCTTCAATCCAAACCTCTCAAACTCTATCCTGAGCAGTCGTTCCCTCTCGAGGATGGCCACGTGCAGTCGACCCCAGTCTTTCTCCACATCGATGGGATGGTAGCCGGGGGGGACCTTGACCTGACCGGCATGCACCGCGCTCTGTGAACAGGTGAAAGCATGATGACTTCCATTCACATGTCTGGATTAGTTATCCTGAACAGGGGAAATATAACCGGGGTCAGCTTGCCTCAAAGGTCTGGTAGATGTGCTTAGAGCGGCTCTTGTCCGATTCCTTCACAGGCAGTTCCGTCTCTTTGAACTTCAAAAACTGGCGCCAGAGAAGCTGAGGAGAAAACACACAAAGATGAAAACACGAACATGAAAACGTCTAACTTAGCCGTCTGTGTTTCACTCCGGTCAGTTCTGTGCTTTGCTGTAAAATAACTGTATCTATGACCACAAAAAAATGAGATAACTTGAGTATTTCGGGTACTTCTTAAACTAAAATGCAAAAACTCTGACACGGTCATTTCGAATACATCAAAGCGACACATCACATGACAGCTTTTGGACGACAAACTGAAGAGACGTACCCTCTTCTCTGAAAGCTCTAGCACACTAGTTCCCATGACTGGTGTAAATTAGATCAGCTCCGTAATAAAATCACAGAATTTCACTCCTTGTCTTACAGGAGAAAAAAATGTTGCAGAGCAAAGAGCGTTCAGTGTTTTTTTTGTTTTTCTTTTTAAAGATTGAAAAAAACAAAAACAGAAACCACAACTTTTAATGGTACTGTTCGGCTAGGAAGTTAATCACAGGGAGAATTAAGTCAGAGCGCTTTGCTCACGCTACACTTTTGTTCTCTTGTGCTGACAGGGAGTGGCCGAATCTCCCCAGGATCAAGTCAGGGATTATCTGCCTTCTGGCTAAGTTTTTCTCATCACTGCACTGCCCCACCTACACTTCCAACAATGCCCATGAATTCAGCTGCTTTGATCAGCTGACAGTCACACAATATAGACAACAGCGTTTTTGTCCATCAATGAAATCTGGCAAAAGTGCCTATCTAATTATTCCCATACTTCTATACATATACTGTTATCCAGTTGGAAACACAATGAGAAGTTTTACTTTGGAATCACTGCTTTTCTTTCTCTTTCCCTCTCTCTCTTTTGTTACAAGTTGTGAACACATCTACAAAAAAAAAGTCTCCAGCCCGCTGGCTCCACAAAAGCGAGTCATTTGCTTGTCCGGCTCACCTCTATCTCCTCGTAGCTGGCCGGGAACTTCCTCTCCTCGAAGATCATGACATGGTGGCGGATCCACTGCAGCAGAACGGTCACCAGCTCGTAGTACTCCTGCCAGCGCAGCTCCAGCTCCTGCAGCCGACACGGCACAGACACACATGAGGGGTTTTGCGGCGACAAACAGGAGGGCTCCTATTTTCTGCCGTCTCCATTTTCCTTCGCTCACACACCATCCAGAATTAAATTAAGCCGGAACAAGTCGTGTTTTGTTTTAAAGAAGGAGGCTAGGGAAGAGGGAGACAATAGCAGGAGACAGACGGCAACATATTTTCCAATGTTTGTCAGGTTTTATATATATATGTTGTAACATTTATGGGAGAGAAAGGGAATATCAGCACATTTACACTGAGCCAACTTTAAGAAAAGAAATAGTTAAGACTTTAAAACTTGCTTGTAGGATCATTCCTCCTATCTTGATGGTATTATTTTCTATCATGTGGCTTGTATTTCTCTCTGTTTTATTAAGACCTGTGCTTCTCTGAAAACACAAGCTAAGCAACAAGTCAAATGATTCAGTCCGACACACAATTAAAGCTCACATCTGTCATTTTGAGTCACATTTACAGCATTCGCAGCTTTTGGCAAACTTCTCCCAATTCGCTTACATTAGATCGGGCCCCGTCATGGACGTCCACGCGGGGCATGACGTCATACAGGGATGACACGTAGGTGATGATGGACTTCTCGTCAGGGTGCTGAACATCGACATCTGGAAGCGCAAGGTTAAAAATGGTCATTCCCGACACGGTCAGCGCCGGCGGTGTGATGATGCTGCTGCTCAGCTGGGTTTGGATCCAGACATACCTTCAGGGTCCAGGAGGCGGGTCACTCCCAGGTCTCTTTCAGCCACGCTGAAGGCCTGCTCCAGGTTCTGCAGGTTGGTCTGGTGGTGCACTTTACCCATGTCGATGAGTCTAGGACTATGGAACACAAAAACATAAAAAATAAATAAAAACATTCAACAGATCCAAGTTACATAGATAAGTCACATTCCTTGTGGATAAGGAAAGTACAACAATCAGAAACTTTAAATACCAAATATGTTTTCATGGAATGAGAAACGTTTAGTGGTTGCAAGGTATATGCCACCCCTGAACAGGTCTGCAGAATTCATCCAGCTTACATAAATCTGTGAGCTGTAATGGCAGGACTTTATTACATTGGCACCATTACTTTTTAAGACCAATGTGCCAATGGCTAAATGCTGTAAAAGAGCCCACCTGTTCGCTGTCTGACAGACCTACGTGAGCACCTGCCTTTTTTTTTGTCCTCTGGGCGTTTGACTCTTCCTGGCAGATGTCAGAGCATCTATGGGTGGAATTTAATTTACTGAGCCGATAACAGAAAGAAGAAAAAAAAAAAGAAACGCATTTGAAAAGGCCGCAACCAGCTGCGGCTTGACTCTGAAGAAGCTCAAGCTTTTCACGTAACGGCGCACCCTCCACTTTACAGTTACACAACTTTTCATCACAATACCATGAACCAGTATAGGTTTCAAGAGTGCACTTTGCAAATCCATGTGTAATGCATTTCCTTGCAGAGATGTGACATGTAGTAAGCATGCGCATGTTTGTAGGCTCGTACAGCTCTCTGATGCGCAGAGTGGAGTGGCCAGCGTAGATAGTGGAGGGCTCCACACGGCGGAGTTCTCGAACAGAGTACTGTTTCGCTGGCGGGGGGAAGCCCTGCTCCTCCCTGCCATGAAAGCTGCGGGACCTCCACGCGTGGCCCAGTTCTTCGCTGCTGGAACGGGCCCCCGAGCTGTGAGAGCCCCGCCCGGAGTCCCAGGAGGACCCCTCCGACGGGACGTCCTCACACAGCATGACCACACGCTCATCGGTACTGCTGACCGATCTCGAACCAAAGCCCAGGCTTCCCTTCCTCTGTTTGGACTTCTTCTTTATACTGAGCATGACCACATCTGCAGGGTTAGTCCCTAAAATGGCGAAAAGACTTTCTCTTCAATCAATTAAATCCGCACGGGGGCTCGACGGCATCACTTAAATCCATCCGGGGATCGTCTCATCTTCCAAAGCTTCTTTTGATTCCTTTGCAGAATGGTCCAGAGGAAAAAGCCTCCTAGTGGAGCAGACGCATCACTGCTCCTTTAGACCGAGCTGGTCGGTAGGAAACTTGCATCTAAGCGTTTCTTTCCAAAAATAAAGATGGGAAATGCACAGACACGGTTAACCCCAGAGGATCTCAAACTCTCTGGGTGCGAACACGCTCTCCACCGGTTGGCCCACGCGTATACAGCAGAACAAAGTAGTGCCACAGTTTTCATGTAGCAGAGAGCTCTAGAGTTACGCCTACACACCACACCCCTGACCCTCATGAAAAGCGGCACAAAGCCGCCTCAGGTATCTCAGAAAGAAAAAAAGCAGCAAGTACAGCTGAGAAAAAAAAGCAGTTCCCCCGCAGTTATATTTCTCTGTCGAACGAACTGCTCAAAAAAGAAATATGAAAATCCATACCATCTAATGCGATTCTTCTGCCGTTCTTCTGCGTGAGTGCCATAGCTTCATAACTAAGTTGTAGATATATACATCACCAAATCTCCCTGAGAAACACGTGCACGCTCGTTTCCCAGGATACCAACACACAAAGCAATTCCCAACCACTAAGCCTGCTCCAAACACAAACAGCAGCTTTTGGGGAATCAGCTTAATCAGGTAACAACAAAAAGGCCTGCACTTCTCTCTCTCAACAACTCAGTCAGATATTTCAATAATTTCAGTCATCCTCAAAATATGAAAGGCGGTGTAGAAAGAGTCAGTGGTACGTTTTGCTTTGAAGCTTGTCATTTTTAGGGATACCCATAAATACATATACCATTAAAGCTGCATGAGCATTCATACGTCCCGGATTATAGTGGTTTTGTGCATCTACTTTCTCCGTCCATTGAAATTCATCAGCAGCAGAATGTGAAAACACAACTTCTCAACTATCATTTTTGGATTTATTCAGGACCCTCCTTGCCCAAACAGAGGAGGATTTAAGTATGGAGCAGGTTTTAACTTGCTCGACGCAGTTCAATTTGACATTTGAAATGATTCCAAACCCTCACTCCCAGCGCAGTGCATGGAGTGAAATAAATTTACTAGCGTGTAATGATAAGATCCTAGAAAAATGTGATTATAAAGGTTGGCTTTCTTGGGTATGTATATGAAAAAAAAACTAGGGGTGTTTGATGGTGCAGTGACCTGAGAGAGGCTTTCTTGCCTGTACTTGTATCACATTTGGTTTAATATCGTCAGTGTGAAATGCGGCAGGATCGTGAACACTCACTAGTGTTTGTGTATGACCGCATTGAAGAGCTTCCCATCCCTCCAGCTGGTGGTGAAGTTGTCACAGCGGATGCCCTGGTAGCCGTCCGTCATCCTCTGGGACCACAGCAGCAGCTTCTCTTTTGCCGTCATGTCCTCGGACTGCCCGTTGATCTGAATGTCTGAGATCTGAGACAACACGCGCAGAACGTCAACACGGCTGGACGCGTCCTTGGTATGATCATTTGAGATGCGGAAATTAGGAAACATTTAGGCGTTAGTGGAAACCAAAAGGCCAGATTACATGGAATTACCCCACACCAAAAATGTTCAATTTTGTTGTCTCATCCACAAACTCCAAAAGCTTAATCATTAACTAAATTTCTGTTCAGTATCATTCTACAGGGTAAAAGTGGCTGATCAGCCTTGCTGTGAGCTATGCTACTTTCATATTTACAAGCATCAGTAGGCTGCAGCTTGTTTACAGGATGCAGCAGGATTCATGCCTGTCATTTTCCTATGGGATTTAACACAGAGGGACATTTTATTTCATTATCTTTGATGACTCAGTCTTTATGACTCACCAGCAACCACATCCTCACAGACTTTTTCTTTTTTTCCCCTGTTGTATAAAAGTATAATGCCACCATTCATTGTATGGGTGGGGCGGCCTGGGCATGACTATCATCCAAATGGTCAGGGATTCCTGGCTGGCGAGCACAGGAAAAAGTGCACGGACACACCCTCCCCTTTGGGACTGAGGAACATGTTTCAAGCCATGGGGTTTTGTTTCCTTTTACTCTACTGTTAAACCTGTTGTTAGGGTGTTACTTCTAAGAATGTGGTTACTGAGAGTATGGTTTGATTAGAAGATGACTTTTTTTCAAGAGGAATTCTGAAGGGAGGAGTCCATTCCGATTGATTCCCAGGTGATGAGGAAACAGCAGCCGAGACCCCAGAGACAGAGGCTGAGAGCAATAATATAATGGAACATAACACTGACAGACGAGGAGACCTGGAAGTGCAGGATGATGGTCCATATTAACCCCAGGGTCAGTTTGGGGTTCCCATCTGCTATGTCATCATTTCTAATGTTAACCAGCTTCACCTGAGGAAGTGAAAGAAAAGAAAACGATAATGTTCGTCATTCTCAATTTGCACCATCTGCACAGTCTGTACGGTCAGAATGAAATATTTCCAAATGTATTCTCGATGAATCATACCTGCCGGTGCTTGAGAAAGTCCAGCGCTATCTGCACGTTCTGCAGTTTGTGAAATCGCATGCGGCCTTTCTCTCTGGGCTGGAAGGGAGGATGAAAGAGGAGATGAAGAGATGTTCAGTTAGAGTTCAGACAACCAGCGCTGCTACCCACGTTAAAGGGGATCCTTTTAGTGTACGGGTAGAGGGAGGAAAACATGATAAATGTGTAGAGATGAAAACAAAAAATAACTGAAAAGAAAAAGACGGGACAGTTAGTGCATTAAAATGTGGGTCACTGGTAAAAAAAAACATAATAAATGGAGTTGGCTTCTTTTATTAAAATCTCTGGTGTAGTCCTTTGGCTCACCAATATCCCACAAAACGAAGAAAAAATCATATTTAATGCAGTTACTTATTACAACTGAGATGAGCTTGTCTTATTTTACTTCAAGTAGATCAACACAGCATGTAAGACAAAGCCGGGAAAATAATGTCAACCCAAAACAAAGTCAAAGGGATGCACCCCCCCCCCCCCCCCCAAACATTTTCAGCAGCTACATGCCTACAAGCAGGTCTGTAAGTTAACAGAAAATAAAAGCCACAGATGGGCGAATCAATCACCACAATGGATGACCACAGACGCCATGCACAGCCAAGTTGCTGTAAGGGGGCGGATGAATCTTTAAAAAAAGAAAAAAGAAAGAAAAAAAAAGAAGAAAAAAGGGGGGGGTGACCACTGGAAGTTACAAAGCAACTCACCAACCGTACGCTCCTGACCACGTCTCTCTCCCTCGGCTAGCCCGGCAAGAGCAGTGCCAAGGAGAGCAGGCGGAGGCCAGACGGGCAAAGACCGACACACACGGGTTAGAGGAGGGCAAACAGGAAGAAAGGGGGGGGGTAGGAGGGATAGAAGTGGGAGAAAGAGGAGTGGGAAAAGAAGAACTGCCGATGAGTACGGAGCACGGGTCAGAGTAACACACAGATCAAAGTGGAAACGAGGCGGTAGGAGCTATGGAGGCATTCAGAAGATGGTGGCTGGTGGCTGATGAAGCGCGGCATCAGCAGAGAGGCCTCCAGGCCCCACTGCGGAAATGCCGGCTGAAAGTTTGAGCCTCGGCGTTAATGAGGAAGCATCAAGCGCTGAGACCAACTAGGATGACGCTTGCTCCCCGAGACAGAAATCGAGACCCACAAGAGTCAGGCTATGTGTTTAGCAGCGTCCAGCTCTGGTCCATTTAGGATAGCCACTTCTTTTGGGATTACTGAGGATAAGGTTTGACTCTGGAGGATGGCTAGAAAGGTGCAAAGCTCAAGCACCCCCCCCACACACACACATTTTATCAAACGTCAGACGGCTGGGCTGGACTCACCAGTCTCTCCCCAGAGAGGACCTCCAACAGTGAGATAAGGCTGTGTCCATCTCTGAGGTCTTCGTACAGATCTGCCACGTGGCGTTGAGCCTGCCAAAGGAAAGAGAGGTGAAGAGATGTGAGCACTCTGCTCCCCAAATCACTGTTTCCATTTAGCCCATCAGAGCATGAATATGTAAAGTAATGTAATATCAATTAGATAATGTAATATAATATAATATGTAAAGGAATATTACAATGTGACTCTGCAAACCTTGCAAAGATTTGTTTAAAGTTACCGTCAAATGATCAAAAGTAAATCTTTAAAGTCAACTTTCAACGGTATTTAAATCCCCTGCAGTTGTTGGAACATTCTCTGAACCAGCACAGTCCTACACACACCAGGAATGCATAGCCGTGAGGAGCCAAGCCCGAACACTCATCCAGATGTCAAACAGCAGCTGTCAACACTGACAAGTAATAGATAGGTACTCCAGCGAATATTAATAAAAAAGAAGAGATTTCTGGGTGAAGAAAAGGGTGCATATCAAACAGATGAAGGGAAAATGGACTGCTTGGAGCTTTTGGATGGCACTAAGAGGCTGAAACTAAAATTCGACGTTCACACAGCAGCAGGGTGGTGGAACTGCAACCAAGAAAGTGAATGGGGAGGTGGGGGTGGTTGGGGGGTGGTGTATGAAAACTAAAGAAGAAGAAAATAAGAAATAGGACACGCTGAACCCACAGTGCTCTTCACACGTGCTGTAGCTCCACCTACCTTCACCCTCCAATGCTGAATGAAGAGGAACCATAAAACAAATTACAGCAAAAAAAAAGATAATTTAGTGGGCTTTATGACTGGACACCAGACGCAATGACTAAAAGGAACAAGTTGTGCATTTTCTCGACTGAAGTGTGAAGTATTGCTCATCTGGGTGTGGCCGGTGATGGGAGGAACAGAGGCGTCTGCCCTAAAATGGAATGAGGGGTAAATTTCCCCTGCAAGTCTCAACAGGGGCTGCTTTACCTTTACCTGCTTTTATCCTTGGCAAGCATCATACGAACATCCATCAAGCTAGCAACCCCTTAAACAAAATGTTCCATGATTTAGATTTTTTTTAAATGGCTTTGTCATTCTAACAAAGCCTACTAACTTGTGCATTTACTTGTACTATAATAAAAAAAATGCTATCACCACTCTGTCAGGATTAAGATGCTGTGGTTCTCATGTGTGATCCAGGGCTCAGAACTTTCTTTCTTTCTTGCTTGTGTTGTTCGACTGGCCTCCGATTGTGTCACTGTGACTTGACTAATACTCGAGGAGAATGTCAATTTCCAAGCTTTTCTAGAACCGAATCTAGAGGGGAACATTTTGCACCGGGGGCCGACATTTCTTGCCTCCGTCAAGCCAACCCTGAAGCCATTAAATCGCTTTAACGCGGGTTTAACCGCTGCGTTGCCACAGAGTCAACACTTTCTGTTCCGGGCCTTCTATTTTTTGGGGGGTGAATTTCCCCAATGTTGACTGTAGATGGCAACAGAGTTCTTTTAATTTAGCTGCTGTGCAAAATAGGGATATTTAAAAAAAAAAACACTGAATAAACAGCTTTCTATCTTCAGATATTAGATATGCTAGGCATAAAAAGTGCTTTTCAACAGGTGTGCCATCTTTTTCTGGATGAGATTAAATGTTTCCCCACTGGCAGAATGTTTTAAAGCAGAAAAACCTAAACCTGTAGCAGAGCTTTTTTATTTTGGGTAGGGTGGCAACAATAATGATGATATAGCAATAATGCTTTTGCAGCTCTCCTTACACGCCTTTCATTTTAAGGCAGGGCACGATGGCGGCCAAACACCCCGGCCCAGAAGTCTGTGCAGCACATGTGCTACTGCTGGCCTCAACCACAGTGGGAACAGAGCCAGAGCTGAATTTGCCTTTTCAGGGAGAGCTAAGTAACTGCAGATGTCTACGATGTGGGGTCCAACGTTCACAACAAACACCTCGTAGGGACAAAATAAAAAAAAATAAAAAAGTGTGCTCTGTGATCACTTACAGTGGCAGAATACATTAGCACGACACACTCGTGAAAAGGAACAAAGCTCAAAAACCAAGCTGAATTTTCCCTTTCACTTCTTTTTAAAATCAATGAATGAATGAATGTGTGTGTGTGGAGTATTGAAATAAAGGGGAAGCACTTAATGTCACGAGACTATGAATATACTGCTCGGGACATGAGTTCCTTGTAAGATAAGTAACTGAAATAGATCTGGATTGAGAGGCAGGGTATCTCTCCTGACCCGTTTATTTTCCCGAATGAGAGATGGGATGGATTGGTGGGCTTACAGGTGGGAGTTTGTGAACAGGGAGTGAGGTAGGTGAGAGTGGACGAGTGCTGATGGACAGTTTACACAGCCCCTCGGCTGACGACAGGCTGGACTTCTGGTAAGCCTCTCAATCCCGATGAACTGTTAGTGACCGAGTTTGGAACAATGAAGACAGAGCTGATTTGTGTCCGTGCAGGCGGGGGTGGGATGTTTGAAATGGTCTCTGCAGAAATGCTCACAATGGACAGGTGAGCGATGGACGGCTCTAAAGACAATGACGGCTCATCTCTGAATAAAGTCCACATTGTTTTCTGTGCTGCTGATGATAATCATTCTTCAAGTTCAAGTTTAGTGACTTACAGTTAAGCTAACATTAAATACCTGAATGCCTGGCCAGCAAATATCTGAAATATAAGAACCATGGCTGGTAAACCTTCCTGAGCTATCCTAATAGAAAACTAAGCGCAGATTCCTTTTTAAAAAAAAGCATTTAGAGGGGATCATTTTTAAGTAGGAGATTTTTGTAACTCAGAGAGAAATGATCCCAGTCGTGATACCTATAGTGGTTCAGTAAGACAAAAATCAGCCTCAAGTTGCCCATTTTCTAGGAATATAAAGGTATGCACCTTTAAATGACTGATATCTTTATATATGTGCAGATGGTTCTCACCTTTATCAAGTGCTTGTTAACCCATTTTGTGAAGGTCTTCTTTTGTACTCGATCTCGTTCATCTGCAACACACAGAGACACACCACGGTTACATGTTAGACACACGTGGGACAGGAGAAGAAAGTAAACCACACTGAGCTGCTGCGGGTGCAAGACTATGAGCAGATCATCTGGGAGTTTTCCAGACTCTACGCAAAGGTTAACAAAAGTAGAAAAACTCAAAGCCAGCGGACCTGCTTGACTCATGCAGGACAAACAGATGCCATCGATTCGTGGAAAGACCTTCTCGCACCCCTATTCGCACCTGCATCTGACTCAGGCCACACGGGAAAACACGCCCTGCAGACACAGCTGCGCCCCTATTGTCTAACAAATGTTGTGTTTGCAGGGTCATGTCTCACTGCGTGACACAATTACCAGCTATGTTTTGAGTGAGAGGAAAGGATCTCCATCCGAGGCGCGATGTTCCTGAAAGTGTGAAGATGCACTGCGTGATTGGACACGGTATAACTATTAGAGGGTGCAATTTGCCAACAAGAAAGAACAAGGTCTGGGTGTAGAGCACACCCACTAAGACAACATGCTGGTATGTTACCACCTAATGCCATTGTACCTGGAGCAGTGCGTAATGGAACGTTTGATGAAGATGCCCTAGATGGACCCCATAGTTTAAATCTCACCAAGGGACTTATTGCCACAAATCATCTCATGTCTTGTCTTTACCGTCTCACAGGGCCTTCTATTTACACAACGTAGTGACCTATGTGCCGAACACAAAGTCTGCAGCCTTATCAGCTTCAAGGGAGTGGCTCTGACCGTCTCCACCCAGCGATGACAACCAAGCGGCAGTGATTCAACATCAACATATAAAAAGTCAGCCCCCGGACATTACATTTGTTTCCTTGGGAGGAAGTCTGCGACTGCAAAATGTGTCATGGAACTGTCTTGCCATGGAAACCGGAAGCACAGCTTGATCTTTGACTTCCTAATATTTCATTTCAAGTACGGAGGGTTGAGGCAAAGCATGTGCCTCCAAGGTTTTAGTCTTCTGGGCTCTCTTGGACTATGTTAACTTTTCCATCCATCCATTATCGTTACCGCTTATTCCCTATTGGGGTAGCGGGTATTACCTTTTCAACAACAATAAAAGAAATTGCAGAAAAAAACAGCAATTTTTATATATAAAAAGGGACCTCTACTGTTATATATCTTTTCAGAGAGAAACCTTAACTTCATTCTATTCATTTTACATTGGCACATTTTCTGTTAAGTTCCACGACCATTCAGGTGATGAAAAATCTTTTTCACTGCTATCACGATGTTGCTTAATTCAATTCAGAATGTTGTGGCGCCTGACGGCTGAACAAATTAAAACGGGACCAAAGTTATGAAGAAAAATAACAACTAATCCATTGTCCATAACCATTACATGGGGAAAACAAAAATAAGCCAGAGGAATTAAGTTCATTTAAATGACATAAGATAAAAAAATAGTCTGAAGGAAAATAAAGGAGAAAAAAGTGCATCATTCAAAAGCTAAAGGAAAAGTGACTTAGTCCCCCGCAGAAAAATATGGATGCTTCAAAACATCAATGAATGAGCTTTGCTGACCAATATGGAGAGAGGAAGCCACTGATGCATTTGGGGGAGTATCCCTCTTCAGGCCTCGCTGTGGTGACACTAACTGTCCAGACCAACTATATTTATGACTTATATGTAAGAGAAGAACTGAAAAATGCACACTGCACATGCCTGTGACAACAAGAAAAACCTCTTCAGAATATAAACAGAATAAAAATAATAAGTATCATCTGAAAAGTAAACTTGTAAATGTATGTCTGCAGCTTTTGACCATTTCTCTCCTTCCAAAAACAAAAATTCCTGACCAAGAGGGAGCTAAGAGATAGAGATCAAGGCTTTTGCGTTAAATGCTACCACATTGGTACCTTTTCTGCCATCCGTAGCCTTCAGCATCCCCTGGTAATAAGCTTCATCTGAGGCCAGCCTTTCTCGGCCGAGGCTGTCGCTGGAGAAATTCCTGTTCCTCTGCTGCTGAGAGGTCATACTCGCCGTTTGTCACCCCAAAAAACTGATAATCCTAATAGTTCAATATCCTTTCCCAGATGTAGGAAGTTCTGGTCTTCTTGCTTCTATCTGAGCCTTTGGTCCACAAACTGTCATAAAGCGCTCGACCCTGTGGCCACCATCCAAAAGCGCTTTGCAAAACCTATGATTTCTCTCCCCGTCTGTCCTCTTCTAACCTCCTCACCGAACTTGGTTCTGCCCTTAAGTTTTCCTCCCTATATTTTCCTCTCTCCGTTTTCCTTTTTTACCTCTCCCTCTATTCCTTTCATAGCAAGTGGTGCCTGCCGGCTATGAAGTCTGAGCCTGTCCTTGAGATGAGTAACTGTGTGTTTAGTGAGGATAGTGTATGGAGGACATGCTGGGCAGGGCCTAAGCCCCACCCATTCCTCTTTAGAGTGTCAGGAAGAAAAGGAAGGAGTGGCAATGTGGGTGATGTGTTGTAACTGGCACATACTGTCTTTCGTAAGAAAATACACACACATTTGCTGAATGGGACCATACAAAAAATAATCACTTCTCTCGGTTCAAGTTGCATGACATTATATCTAAAAAGGGACAAAAATACTGCGCAAGAACTTGAATTGTTAGAAACAAATCAAAAAACATTTTCACCACAAACGCAGAGACACGCGTATCTGGCTAATCATTACTCATTCACAGCATTCCTCAAGCCTCTCACGTTCTGAGTCACGCGCTGAGGTGAAAAAGGGAAAAGATGGGGGATGAGATAGTCTCGGGAGGGGCCGCTAAATTATCCGCATAGTCCCATCTGAACACACCCCGGACATATACCGCGATAACACTCAAGTGTTAATAGCCATGTGTGCGTTTGTTTTTAAAAAAATAATTATTTCTTTTTGACACATAATTGATGTATATTTCAAAATTTAAATCTTAATAATGGAAAAATGTTTTTATGCTGGTGATTAAAATGTAGAAATTAAATGACAATGTTTCTTCATTAATTTTTTTTAATCAACTCTATGGCTCTTAAAAACATTTAGCTACTGTTGGTAGAAGTGTTTGGTAGTATGGAAGTATTAAAATAAAAAAAACAGGATGCAGCCTATTGGTTTCATACATCAGATGAAGATGATTATTGCAATCTGTCTGCATGGACAGAGGTATGACCTGACCTCTGTCCATGTCCTGATACACAGTTTTGAGGCCCCAAACTTTCTTTGCAGGAGTACATTTGAGTTCAATACTCAAACGTTATCTTAGAAGAAAAAAGGAGAAGAAAAAAAAAAGGATTTTATTAAGGCCTAGAGACAAGCATATACACGCTAGGGTGATCACATTCCACTACCTGGGCGTGTAAGTCCTCGTTTGAGGTGTAACGTGTTTACGAGCATTATAAAAGTATGATTTTGCCCAAACGAACGCAATTATATTTCTTTAAAACCCATCAATAAATACTATCCATGTGTCATGACTTATAGATGGTTTTGCTGCCATAATGCATCCGAATAGGACTAAAACAGCAAGTTGATGAGTGTAATGGATAAGAACTTGAAATTTGAAAGGAAGCAAAAAAAAAAAAGTCCAACTTAAAATGGAAAATATTCCCACTTTAAAAGCTTTGATCGAGGTCCACCAACCCAGTCCCTTATTTCTTGGGTTTGTCAAAAGCCTGCTTTCACTGAGCCCCTCCATTGTGCTTTGCTCTGCAGTGACTGTGTGCAGGGGATCGTATTATGTCCTTTCTTTGCTTCAGCCCCTCCAGCCTCTGGGTGGGTGCATATCTCACCCTCCACCCTGACTCATCTCGCTTTAACAGCCATCAAATGCTCAATATTTCTTGCTTCCAAGTGCTGCAATCTCAGTACGACCTGTGCGAACACGAATAGGGAAATGTGCTAGTGCGACCGAATATGCGTAGACATGAGGATGTGTGTGTGTGTGTGTGTGTGTGAGCCGTGTGTTGACTCAATTTAAGCCACGTTTGCAAATTTGTAGACACACCTTTGTAGTTCTAAAATGTCTCGGCAAGCTGTGGAATTAAGGTGTGGTATGTGGGTAAGCAATTAAATGTGAGAGGGGAAAATGCACCCGATGCTGAATTTACAGCAGTAAATTATGAAGAATATCTAAAGTGTTGCATTTAAGGTTGCAACTGACAATATTAGTGAACGACTTGTTGATTTTCCATCATTCAGTAGACAGTGAATGAGATCCAAGGGATGTCCTGGCCTTGGAACATGCACCAACACCTACTGGAGCTTTTCTCTCTTGACCTCATGGGAAACATTAGCTGGGGACTCAAGCGGGAATGGGCAATGGTGCAGAAAGCGTGGAACATCTTAGTCATGAGGTCGTTCTTCCAAAAAGGAGACATATCATTAATTTCTCAACATGCTTATTACTCTGCTCCCTCATCTAGCTTCATCAAAACCAGATGGAACAGTGTGGGCTTTTTTTATTTTTATAAGAGCGGAGAGAGCGTAGTCAAAATACAAAGAGAAAGTACTGTCTTTTTTTCTTTTTTTTTTAAATGGGAAGTCTCATGTTGGTTCGTTTTATTTGAGGAAACCAATAGGCTTGTTTGCCATCCATTTCCCACAATTCCCTTAGGTCTGCTTTCTGACTTCACAATAAAGTTAGCACAAAACAAAACTGGCTTCTTTATCTAACACCAGGCAACTTTTTTCTTCTCAGAGCAGACATTCATGTTCCTTTTCACCAAATATTCATAAGTTGGGTGCAAACTACAGAAGTACTAATGTGTTCAACAGGAAGTAACTTGTGACAGCAGATGCAAGTCTTAAATCTGGACAAATGTACCCATCATTTTGGATTAGCAGCAGTCTAGCATTGTTACAATGACTTTATGTTAGTTAAAAACCCATTTAGGCCTAAATTTAGCCTCACAGTCACTATATGCTTTTTAGTACCATAAACAGTTCCCACATGGACTTTTTTCATAATGTATTTATGCCAGTGAGAGAATAAAAAAATTTAAAACCATGACAACATTTCTTTACACAATAACTCAAAACACAAAAATAACTTCCTGCCTGTGATTTGAATTCCTCTGGCTTGTTTTCAGATGAAAAATGGCAAAAATCACAGCAAAAAAAAAAAACTGGGAATCTATCTGGGATTAAAAGAACTTTACAGCAAAGACATGGCTAAGCTCCAGCCACTTGGAGCTACAACAACAACAGTTTAAGCACTTGGGAACAAAAAAGAAAACAAATTAGAGGACAAAAAAATTCTAAGAATGTGTCATTATGGTTTCTAAACTTGCTGAGCTGCAAAGAAAATAGAAGGGTTTGGACAGCGGGGGGAGGATGGGAAACACCTTAAAGAGCATTCAAAACGCAGAGGACTTGCCCCTCCCATATAAGGTTACTCTCATTACTGTCGTCTCTACATAGTCTTTCTTCTTTTCTCCAATCTATTCAAGTCTTTAGCCTCTTGGGAAAATCAGGTGAAAGTGCTAGTTTTTTTTGGGTGATTTCAGAGAGGTCACACATTGGGAAGCAGAATGCTGAGAAAAGCCGAGAACACCCGAAACACACCCAGGGTTATCTCATCATATGTTGCATACAGATGTGAGGAAGCAATGAGTTAAAGTCAGGTGTGGTTATCTGTATCTGCTATATGAATCACGGCACCTGTTGCATCATATAGCCTCTGAAAGTTACGATTTATGAAGATTTTTTTTTATCACTGCCACAAGCAACCCAGGTTACGTAACACTTAAAAGTCTAAGGAAAAAAAAGGGACACAGAGCAATAGTAGTAATAGAAAAATAAAATCAACTGCAGCATGTTTTCAAATAGAAAAAACATTGTGACAATATCAGAATCTGTGGATTCTATATGTAAACTTACATTTAAATGAATGCTGATCCATGTACCTGATCAATACTTAGTCCAGTATTTTAACTAAGACTAGAGGGGTTATCTTAAAACAGAAGAATAAGCCTTTTGAGACATTCTGGATATCTGCCCATGCCCAGCCTGTCGGTAGACTTTAGATGATGCTGTCATGTCATTAGATACAGCGATGAAGCTGAAACCCAATTTAACTCCAACTCATCAGGCCGTTGGATTAGCCAAAGCAGCTGAGCGTTAAAATAGATCAGCTTCAGGGGACTTGGTGGAAAGTCCCACATCTGGTTTTGTATCAGTTGCTCATGTTTAACTAAAACAAAACAAACTAATAGGGAAGCAGCCAATAGAACTGGAGCCCAGGTGGAAAGCAGCGGATGATAGCACGTCTCCCTCTGCAGGTGAGAACCAGGAAATACGTCACCATGCTGAAAGTGAATAAAACGTGATCCGAAAGTGGGCATTTTGAATCAAAGCTAAAATTTTGAGTTTTTTTCCTTTTCATAAGAATGACTCAGTCATTGGGGAAGTGTTACTTCCGTTTTGTGAGCAGATAACTGTATTTTAGGATCACATTTAAACATAAAATAATAATACTAACTACAATGTTTAGATATTAATTAATATTACTAACGTTATCTGGCTTTGGTTTGTTGTATGCTGTCCACTATTATTGCCTCAGCATCTCTATGGTTCTTCTCATTTCATGAGAAAAAGGAGAAAACTATTTTGTCATTTTTTTTCTAAACTGAAAGAATTATCTCAGTTCCTTATATATATATGTTTAATGGTTTAATTGTATTCTCAACTTTTCATCAGGGATCAATAACATATCTATCCGTCCAACAATCCAGTTTATTATCAGCTATAATATAGACAGTTAAAACATATATAAGGTATATCTGTATTAATTGCTAAACATAGATGACACATTGTGGATTCCTGTTTTTCCCATCATATCATTATAACTTATGGTAGTTCCAATGCAGTCTCACCTTAAAATTTGTCAAACTGCCATGCAAATGTGGAAAAATGAGAGCACCACAGACGTTTCTATGACAACAACCACAAACAGAAGGCCGCATATGAGTATACGGTAACCGTGACAGGCTCTTACTCATGGCTGTATTTATAGCCGCAGAGCCGGAGGAATCTCCCATGACTGACCCATTTGACGTAGAAAGGAAAGCACCACGCTCTGCACATATGTTCCTGAGGGCAGGGGAATATCTTCCCCACAAGATGTCACCAGAGTTCAAGCACACCCGACCGCCTATCAGGTAGATTCTGCATCAGTGGGACAATAGACCCCAATAAATATCTCCAAGTGAGAGGCAAGACTTCATTTGTTCATTATAAAGAAAAAAGAGAGCTTTTTAAATTATGCCATTAATACATCGTGGACGTCTGTCAATAAAGACAATATTAGTAACTTAAATAAAATAAATAAGGAAAATTAATTAGAAAAAAAATGCAACTTGATATCATTTTGAGACATTTATTCTATACAAAAAAAATCTAGTTTTATACCCACTGAACAGCTTTTGTGTACAGACTGCAAAGACCTGAATGGACAAGGTATAATAAACACGACGGTCAGACACATCGGTGAGTCTGAGTTTTCTAGGTATGTGAAAGATTCTGTCAGGCCGTCGGTGTGTCTGTATTGGAAAGATTAGCAGCCTGTTCAAGGACAGAAATCAGCTTTCAACAATCCTCTAAAGTACTTTCCTGACAAGAAAATAAGGAATTTCCATTTTTTTCTTTTCACAGGCTAACATACAAACATCCTACAGTATCAGAGAATATGCAGGTCTGATTAACTTTAAATTTGATTACGTCTATTAGGCGCTAATGGGGTATGTAATTTGGGATCCGCTCTGTAAAGCAATAAGCGCTACCCTAAGTTAGTTATGTGTAGTGTATGAGGATGACTCAGACTACGGTGTTGAATATGCTTTCCAAAGCCTTTGCTCTCTACAGTCGCTGTCAACACGAGGAAGTCAAGATGTCGGTGAATAACATTTCAGCAATCAGTGACGCTTCACTGAAAAATATTCAACCTCAAAACTACAGTGTACACTTCATAACCACCGAGCAGAAATCAATCTCAAAGGTGGCGTTTACCATTTTTAAACAGTCTTCCACAGCTCATGTTTCTGCTTAAGCCAGCCATGGTGCATGCCTCCATCCTAACACAGATGGTCATAAAATATGATATCACAATAATAATAAATCCCAGAAATACCAACCGTTGGGGGATTTTCTTAGGAGTGGGTGATCAAACATGTTCTTCGGGGCGCAACTTCTTTCTGAATATTAGTCTGGGTTTACATTAAGTAGCATTAGATATAGATTTATAGATGTAGATTTGATTAGAGTTAATTAAAATGAAAAACTCTACACATTTATAGGAGTATTCTAATCAAAAGTAGCTTTCAAATGAAATGAAGAAAAGGAAAATGTATCAAGTAACTCAAAAACGCTTTAAGAACAAAGAGAATAAAAGAGCAACTAACGTTAAGACCAACACTGACCTATCTTCCATGTGTTTGACCCTCATAAAAAACCATGTGGGACCATCATATGTCTGAAAACTCCTCCCCCTCCCCATCTTGAAGTCAAGTCTCAGTACTCACCCAGACAACACATCACATTGTACAAGTTTCTCAGGCGCTCTCCGTACGAGTCCATCTTGTGCAGATAATTCTCTAACTTCAAGTTTCCAACCATATCATTCATATTTTCTGATAAGATTTCACGGTCTACATTAGCCTGCGTGTGTCCAACAGTCTGCGGCATGAGCGCAGTCACAGACAAGCTTCTGATAGATGACAGGCAGACACACTGCCCTGCCCTGCCTCATTTTCATGGACAAAGTGAAAGACAACAGACAGGTTTTTCCTGACAAATTCCAATGTAGGTTTTAGTGTTTGCATTTATGCTCAAAGACCTTAGAGGTGTTCGTTTAACGACTCTCAGATAAAATCGTTAAAACGGAATAAAAGGATTTCCCAAAGGAATTTTAAATCTGAAACATGCTTCAACTAGAAGGGTTGAAAAATGGCCATCGAGTCACTCAGTAATGAAATCTTGTTCAATATTAACTATCATAAACGCATATGTAGCTGGATCCAGGCGCGATCTTTGACACTCTTATCTACAACGCCTCGTTGCCAGATCTGTGTGCACTGATGAACGCGGTGGGGCCTCTGCGTAAACCTTGTCAAGTCGGTGTCAGAAAGCCTGTGGGTAAGACTATTGTTACACTTCTTGGCAGGTTCAATGCTGCTTTTAAGCAAGCGAGCTCAGTTTCTCACATAAGGATTAGTTTCTGTGTCCTCAAGGCTCTACGGAGCTAACCTATAATCCTACAAACCAAACATGCCGACAACACTGGTAAGCACGGGTGAACATGCATGTATTTCAAATTGCATGTTCAAATATGATCAAAGGCAAAAGGTTTAAAAAAAATTGTAAAATATGTTGTTGTCAAATGAAACTGCATACTGTGACTAAAAGTCATCCATATGACTTGCTTAAGACATATTTAAAAGGGACAATATTATACGAAACCCCTGGGTAGATTCAAAAGCAATCCGATGGTACTGATTGGGCTTTTCGTGTGTGCAATTTTCTTTTTGCAAACTCATCTTGAATCCCAAGGGGTGTTGATGAGTCAAGGTGGCATCACTCCTGTGGGAGTGAGTAAACTTCCTTGGGATCTTAAAGGGCTGTGAACCCCTGCCATAGAGTGGAACAAAATAGTACTGATTACATTAGCAGCCATGTGAATGATTAAGCTCTTTTAATCATTCACATGTCACAATATCAGATGCAACAACAGCTGACTATTCACGAGTTGCTTCTGTCATCAGTCACCATGACAGGAAGAGGACTTTAGTAACAAGTGGAATCAGCCAAAATGCTACAGTAAGTCCGAAAGAAAATGTATGAACTCCAAGCACTGTCCACTGTGGCAAAAATAAATCAGAATAATGTGAATATCCAATAGGGACTCTTGGCTTTCTGTTTGAATGGGGCTTGTTCTTCGAATGAGAGAACGGTTTTAAATCCAGCCTTTGGGTGACTCAGATCCTCTATGGCCAAAGTTAAATACTTATATTATGAATAATGCGAGTGGTGAGAGCCATCTAGGTTTGAGTCCCAGAAAAACAAACACACGCAGAGTACAGTAAGCAGTAGCTGGATTTTTCCATAGCTGGACTTCTGGTTGTGTTTACGGGAATGGTCCCGGCTTTTCCACAAACCAGGGAAAAGCAACGGCCGGAGACAGAATCAACCATCATGGTTAAACCATGGCTAAGTTTATCTGTAAAGGAGATTTTGTTAAGCTTTAGATGGGCAGAGATTGTGCTTACATTATATAATTAAAAAAACAACATAATATATAAAAACAAAAAGCCTATATTTTGGGAGCTGTATTCAGAAGTTATCATCCTTTAAAATTGTTACACATGCAAATTTTTCACTGGCAAGATATGCAAAGCTGTTTCATTAACAGCTTTATCCGTGAATACTCACAGCCTGAGTGTAAACGATATCACGACCCCACAACCTGTGAAAACCTGCTACAGTGAATAATGCCGGGGGGGCAGTTTGTGATGGGCAGAACACACACATCTAAAAGGTCAAAGCTCAGTTAAGGAATCCGGAGGGATGGACCCTGTGTGTGACCCAGGGTGTTTACAGTTTGACTTAGCCCCGCCCCATCCTTATGGCCTTTCAGATGACACCATTCCAACATGGTCGGAGGGGGAAAATTTCAGCATCCAGGCACGACAAGGGTACGGTCTTCAGCATCGGACTGGAGGCTGGACACGAGGCGGACGGGACCCCCCCCCCCCTGCAGTCTCTGCTCTCACTGATGTGAGCAGGGAGAGCTCAGGGCGAGGTGGTAGGAATCGGATAAAGGGCAGAGAGAGAACACGGCGATAGGGACAGCTAAGTCCAAAAAAGCCCCCACCGCCAGCCCACAGCTCACAGCAGCTGTGTTAAGTTCCAAATATCCCGGAAAGCAATTATTAGCAGGGAGCATATCGTTAGACCAATTATCAAATCACCTCAATGTCAAGCCCCTAACATTCAAACATCAACAATGACATTAATTTTTTATCTATCAACGTTATTTTTCCTTTAAATGAAAGATCTTCTTCACTGTGGCCTTATGTGCCCTTGCAGCAAAGTGAAAGGGACGTTATCTGAAAGTTTCCACAGCTAAGTTTACATTCACAGTCACTGACCGTGGCCGTCATCCTTTCAAAGCAATCTTGAATTAGATAAGATCATATGAGCTCTCCCCCAATGAGACTTCTATCTTATGAAGAATCCCGATAATAGCTAAACTGAACCATCTCTGATCCTTTAATGTGTATATTAATACTGGAAGAAGAAATAAAGTGAACCATCTGAGTAGATTTAAGGTTTGTTTTTTGTTGAATATCTGATGCGACTGATGTATGATAAGAAATACGAAAAAAAATCTACTTTTCAGTATCTGAGTGAGCTTTCTTGTTCATCTGGGGTCACTGAAATAGAAAAGTCCTTCAGAAGTCATCAAAGCGCTCCCACTGAACCAAATCTTCTTTTGTTGATTCAAACGCTGGCAGCCTGCTCAGGGACTGGCAGCTCCTCCAACTTAACAGGTGTTGCAAACAATTAGAGGACTTAGTAAAGGGAAGCTGCGACCAGCAAACACACACACACACACACACACACACAAATAAACTGAACTGGGATCTTTCATCTACGACAAAACACGAGCAGGCTGGGGTTTGGGTGGGACCCAAACAAAAGCGACGCTACCACTCAACACTGAAGCCCTACAGAAAAAAACCTATGAAAAAAAGAAAAAGAAAGAAAGACTAGGTGGAGCCAGCAAAGATTTATCTCTTAGAAGCGTTACCTATCAGACTGACATAACCTGAGGGCAAATGAGACACTGCAACATGAGCCAGGCAAAAGGCCTCCCACGCCGTTAAGGGGAACGAAGGCAAAATGCGAGAACAAACACTTGTAGCATTAGGTGGGGCTCTGCCGGTCACGGTGGAGAATGGCTGAAATGGCACAGGGCTGCACGTGACCAACGCAGAGTGTAAACACTGCCCGTGCATTAGTTCACAGAGGTGGTAAGGTGACCCCTGCAGATATGACCCGGGAACAACAAAACAGAGAGAAAACTGACACGCTTGCATTGGGTTTACTGGGTGTTTTGTGTAAAAGCCTAACGGGGGACAGGCATTGAGAATTAGCCTTAGCTAAAAATGTTGTAGTGTGTGACATGATTCGTGAAACATACTTGTCCCTATCAAATAAACGAATAAATAAATAAAATAAACAAAAAGCTGAACGCCGTAGAAATATCTCTATATGAACAAATAATCCAATTCTGCATGTATTAAGATATTACAGGAAGATAGAGGTAATTGTTGTCTGCTTGGTTAAACTTGCAAATTTGGTTCAATGTCCTGTCTTAAATCGAGGTTCTTAACTCTCCATGTTTTTTTCAGGAGGACAGAGTGACCAGGGTAGAGAGAACGGGTCCTGGGGGGCCTGCAGCCATTTGCTGGAACAGAGGGTGTAACAGGGTAAGAGGGGATGAGGAGGCGAGTGCAGGCTGTTGGGACAGTTGGGCCCCACTGGGAGGGGGAAAAGAGGAATTGGGTGGGTGTGGCAGGGACATTTTTTAAAGAAAGAATAATTTTATTTAATTAGAATTTTTTTTTCATCACAAACCTGCCTGTTTAGTACATTCAGTAGATTTATGTCCTTTATTATTGTTGCATAAACATGTTGTATATGCGCCTGTCTGTCAGTGGACATGTTTACCTGCCACAGCATCACAAATCTAAATGTGGGCTGGCTTCGGGGAGGAGTATGGTGAGCATTTACTGAAATATGCTCGGGTTAAAGGTGCCACAGATCTCCTGTGGGAACCGTATATCCACCCCAAGCTAACCAAGCTCAAACCTGACGCCAATGAAAAGTTTACCAGGAATCACAATATAATTTCACAAGATCAATCCCGGAAATTCTTATGTAATCATAAGGGATGGGCCTGGTATCTGCATTCTTGGCTGATAAGTAATTTCTCAGTAATATGCTCAAACCAAATCCAGAAATCATTGGAATGTCATCTGAGGACGTTTCTTCAGTTGGAAATCAAAGACGAAAAAACTCAACAAAAAAAAAAAAACTTCCACATTCTGGGATATAATCCAAGATAAGTGTGGAACATTTCAATGCAAGACAATAAATACAAGTGGAAAGATCTTGCAGAGACAAAAGAGGAGAAAAGCTTCATAAAGACACTTCTGTGGTTAGAGCAGCAACAGATGCAGTTGAGGAGCAGTGGATGATAGCAGGTGGCCACAATTTAACTGGGATCTGAAATAGCTCAGACATCCCACATGGCTGTCTCTATTCCAAACACACACAAAAACACAAAACGTATTGAATATGTAAAGGAAACAGTCATTTAAATGACAACATCGCTGATTGCTGACCGCCTAACACCAGAAGAAGTAACTGGGGACGGGGACTGATGATAACAAATCCCTGCCCTCCCTAAAGTCCATCAGCATGCCGACGAATCAAACAGAAAATAGAAAGCAGCCAACTGTACTCATAATTCAAGTCAGGAACACCGCGGACAGGGTTAAATATGGAATCCATTCGGAGCTGCGCAGGCTAAAAGTTGGTGCGATTGTGAGTGTGTGCGCTTCTGTCCCGTTTGGGGTTGAGTATGCCCACCATTCGGGATAACAACAAGACTTCACACGGCCCGTTTGCCAGAAACACACAGACGGGTCAAGCAGCCGGACGGTCAAACGCGGCTAAACACCGACAGGCGTGACGCAGCAATCCCGCCCTGGCAACCTACCGGGTATGATCTTCATCTAAGAGGTGGTGCGGGAGATGAAGAGGAGGACGACGGTCAAGGAGAAGACAGCTGGAGGAGGCGAAAAAGATGAGGACAAGGGAGGGCTCCAGCTTGTTTGCTCCCAACTGCCTTGTTTCTCCCTTGTCTTCAGTTTTGACAGGCTGTGCCTGCTGCTTGGATCCGTCAGCCTGCTCTGCCATGGCCAGGGGGAGGAGGGACAACACGCCAAGCCTGGGGTAGGGGGTAGGAGCGAGGGGCACGGGTGGGGGGGGGCTGAGGGGGGGCTGGGGGGGAAGGAGTTCTGGAGCTGACTGAGGTCTATAAATATCCAGCTGGGCTGGATGATCACACAGTGTCACAGTTAGAAACTGATGGAAATGCTCTAGTGGGACACTTGTTACATATGCCCCCCCCCCCCCCCCCCCCCCCCCCAAAAAAACGAAAAAAAACACAAGCAGACAACCCCTCTCTCACCGTTTCCCCGCTTCTCTCTTTGATGATGTTAGCGGTTTGGTTGATATTCCGATACTAGAGCAAAGCCAAAAATCAGACCTCATGTGAGAGCTATTTGAAGTAAAATGGGACAAATAAATGCCAAATTTGGGTGCCAAATCATCCTTAAGACTGAATTATTCTGGCCCATATAACCATAGACCGCATCAGTAAAGAAGCACTGATATACAGTGACACCACGAGTCTTTAACTACCTATCATTGTTTTTGTCAACGCTGAGTTTTACTTTTTACCAATAAGGAGCTTTTGTACGTTTAAGTGTAAAGGGGATGGAATAAACTGGACACGTTAAGGGTGGATGGGAAGAACAGGACTGGCAGTAATATTAGATGGACAGAAATAGCAACGACGACAACAGTAAATATGAAAACCGAGAGCCAATACTGATGGGATATCTACTAAATCAGAGCAGCCTCACAAAGACTTCAGAGACAGACGCCGAGTGTCCAGCTGGAGCACTCAAGAGCAAATCCCGCTGCTGCTTTGGGGATAATATTAATACTCAACATTCCCTAAATATAGAAAGTTCAAATATGCACTCGGCTTTGCCGTTGACAAATGGCTTAATTTCCTCATAATGATAAAAGCAATTCCACACAGTGTCCGGAGAGCAGAGATACGACCGAACCCCCTCAGAGAAGAAGAGCTACTTCACAGGGATGACCTGTTGGAATGAACGGCTTTCAGACTGATGGGACCATGAGGGAGGTTTAGAGAGGATTGCAGGGAATTCCTCCATTAACATGCTTGCATAAAGCATCGGCAAACTCACCAAGGAACGTCACACACACACACACACACATACACACACACCACCAGCAGCACTTCTATTAAAACAAACATTGGGAAAGTATTTCAAGCTTGTATTGAGGTCCTGTCTCATTATAGTTTAACACAGCATGGAATGTGTACTTTTAGAAATACTGTTCTCCTTGAGCATGAGAGGTGAGATGTTTAACAGAAATATGGCATAATGGGGCAAAAACAATGCGAATGCTGTAATAATATATCTAAAATATCTTTCCTGAATGGTAACCTCAGGGAGGTTTGAGAAAGAACCACCCTTAAGTTTTCCCACAAAGCTGAAGACGCCTTAGTCATACTCTTAAATATGGCCCAACATGTACGGTGGGAAATGACTAATGTCAAAAGTATCTGGGCCAAAGCCTCAATATACTCCATATGTGATTGATCCTTCTGTTTCTGCCGTTTGTTACAGTGTTTGCATCACTCCTCAGCCTCTGGTTGTTATGTCGCAAGACACTGCTGTTAAATTTGATATCAGACCTTTTTATGTGAGTGCAGTATTTTAAAGTGGAAAGTCAAACATCTAGTCATATTCATATGACAGCCACTTCCTGGTTACTGAGGTCGATTCAGGGGGGAAAAAAATAAAATAAAAGAAAATCGGACCATAAAGCAAGCTGAGGCTGTTGTCTAAAGTTTCATTCGGAGTGTTCAGAATTGCCAAACACGTCAGCAGTTTATTGTCAAATTCCTTGCCTGATGTGCCTGAGAGCTGGCTGGTGAAATCCAGACCACTATGTTCTGTCGGCCACGACAAAATACAAGAAATGATTTCACAAGTGGAGTCAGCGGTAAAAGATATGGCACGGCTGCAAAAGGTCACCGACTTTGTTGTGGCCAAAACATTCTAGCCCGCCCTGTAGGGGAAACAGCAGTGAAGCAGGAAGACTCTACTTAAGCTGTCATATCCCAGCACAGTCTTTACCATATGAGATTGGACTTATGTTATGTCTCTCGGTTTTATACGTTTCACCCCCTTGAACCCAACTTCAGGCACCTTTCCCTGCCCCAAAAAATGAAAGTGGCCCGTGTGAGTCACAGCATTAAAATGGTGTCCCACCATAATGAAAGACACAGAGCTGCAGAACTCTGTCGCCGTTCCTATAACCAATCACACAAGTATGCACTGGGCATCATTTCAGAGATGAAAACTTGGGGGACCAGCGGCATGTCTGGGAGATGAATTTAGTTTAAGTGCCTCTGGTGCCATGTGTGGGTAAGTCTAACTAGTCCCACTGGCGTGTACAGTCCATCCAAAACAGTAAAGCTTAAACATACGCATGAACTGAGAGGCTCCATAGGGCAGAAAACCAACGGTACCACATTTAATGTCAAACAGAACTTGGATTCAAGAGTCCCTGCTTCAAGTGCAACAATTTTTTGTATCGTCCTGTTTTGCGAACGCTGTAATATGACAAAAGCAGACATGTCAAAGTACAGTTATGCCACAGGGCTTGGATGGCAGTCGTTTAATCAGCAGACATACCACACATACCAAGCTCAAAGGGTAATAGCAGTAAAATAGTGTGCAATGATATAATAAAGGTAAGGAAAAGCATGCAAAAGAGAAAAATATTCTGACTGATATTGAAAAAAAATTAACTTATATACAACAAACATGATTATTCTTTGTAGTGAAATAAGCGTTACTTTGAGATCTATCAAAACATCTGACAGCAACTGAGCCATGTGGACAAGTGTGACCGTTGGAAATGGTTGTTGGTAATGGACAGCAGATGTCAGCAGTGCACTGCTGTGTCCACATATGAAAACATCTGAAAACACACATGAATAAACCCCAGGTAAAATCAAGCCTTTGGACTCTGTTCTTCAGTGAAATGCAGATTTTACAGACACTAAAATCCTGTCCTGGAATGAGATCAGCTCAGTTCATGAAGAGGAACTTTGTCATTGTGCCTGTGAGTCATAAAGTTTTTCTTTCACTGCACAAAGTTTTTTCTTTCTTGATGAATCACCGCAGATTAAATGAAGGAGCCAGGCTGCTAATTGAATCCAGATCTGGTGTCACGTGTGGATCCAAACAAACACACCCATAGAGCTGCGAGTAACCTATTCCAACTTCCTGACTCTTTGTCTGGTGATCACACCCACAGCAGACAACGCCCATGCAAAATCCTACCGACATGCTTTCCCAGTGCCACACACACATGTCAAATAGATAGTGAAAATAGCAAAATGGTCCAGTTTTCAATGTAACCATCGAAAATAAGTGTCACGCGAACATGTTTCACTGGTTATCCTAAACATGCCAAGAGAGTTTCACTTCAGCAAAGCTAACCACATGGACAGCACCTTGTTCTGGACTTTTTGACACATTTACTTCTCTAATCCTGCAAAGGAGTGTGGCACACATTGGTGCTATCGCTTTGCCTCCACAACTCCCAGATTCTAAAGGTATGCGAGTGGCGTGCCTATCTTTTACACATAATGGACTGAGGACAGAAGAAAAGCAACCACAGGATTGAAACCAGAGCCAAGAACACAGTATTACTAGAGCAAAGTGGAGAAAAATCTCCCAAAAGCACCACTCCCCCCCAGCCCTTTTTTTGAGTTAGGGTGGTGTTAACTCACACACAACTATCTCAGCAGGGAACAGGCGAGGCTGAATCTCAACAAACAGCCCCACCTTGTTGGAATGACTGCAGGTCTGCATAATCCCATTGGCAAATGCTCAAAGATGGCTCCAGAGATTACTGTTCCCTCTCTCCACAGTTTGCAAAGCTTAATTTATGACTCAACAGACAAGGAATTCCCCACCCAAAAACAGAAGAATTTTATTCTTCAATAATAACTGCAGCTAATGTGACTAATTCATGCAAATCTTAGACAAAATTAAAACAAAACTCTTCTGACCTCAATTAGCATTTGTTTTATCTCATAATTTATCATTATCAACGATCAAAGAAGGACTTTAATCTAATCATCAATGCTTGTGTGATATCTAACACTGTTAAGAATACAATTGCACTCGTGTAACAGATCTTTCTTCTATTTCAGCACACACGTGATTAAATCACAGCTGAATGCCAATGGACTCTTTAACACCCTCGTACTAAAAAGGGTTCCTAAAAAGAGACTGCCTCTATATGACAAGCCGGAGCCTCTCTAATGTTCAACTCCAAGTCATAAACTGTAATCAAATCATCCCAAATAACACTTTGGGCAAAAAGGCAGAGACAATTATAGAAAAAGGAATGCTGCTCAAAGTACGAAATACAGTAAATACATGACAGTGGGAGCTGCCATCACACGCTTTACACCTAAGACCTCCCACACTTTCAAGAAGGTGGGTACCTAAATGTGAGGCAGACCGCATCACATGGACAGACGGATTAGCTCAAGACAGGAAGTAGGTCAACAGGTAAGCATCCAAACAAACCTTCCAGGAAGTTAGGCCATGTCTTCTCCTCTGGTTCCTCCAGTGAGTGGTCCCATTCAGCCTCAGGTGAGGCGCCTTGCACCTCCACACCTTCCGTCCCCGACAAGAGAGCTCGCTCTATTGCAATTGCCTCCAGAACGTCCAGGTCCAGTTCCTCTTCCTCTGCCTCCGGCAGCACAGCCGGAGGGGGCTGCTGCTCGCCATCACTTTCAGGACTAATGAGGTGCTTTACCTCGACAATCTCTTCCACCACTACAATCTTCCTCTTCATGGCGGCCTCGTCTATATCAGATCCCTTGGACTCGCAGGTGTCCTTCAGGTGAGCCTGGTCAGGCTGGCTTACGGGTGTGGCTGTAGTAGAGGGTGTGTCTTCTCCCGAGTCGGTCTTCTTCTCTTCCCTCTGCTCTAAGGCCTCAGTAACTGAGAGCCTTTCCTCTGTGCTGCACTCTGCTGCCTGACTGGCCAAATGTTGTGCAACCCTGGGAGGCTCCTCTCGCTCGAAGAGAGGGCTGGCCTGTGTCTCGGCGGCGGGTGCTTCCCTCACAGTGGAAGATGTTTCTGGTTTCGGAACCTCCCGCTTGATTTTTTCTGTAGCCAGCAGTTCTGGCTCCACCTCCCCTTTGTCTACTGGGGCCTCTGAGAGCACAGCTGCTGCCTGCCTGACTTCCTCACTGCACATTCTTTCAGGAGTCATCTCTGGAAAAACTTCAGTCTCTGTCAGTTGAAAGACTTGGACAGGGCCGCCCTCTAATGTATCCGCAGCCTCGGCCAGTGTTGTTTTGCCTGCGGACGGCACCGTTTCCGCGTCAGGCAAAAGCACAGGCTTTGAGTTTATGGTTTCTGACACTGGAGTCTGCTTCGCCTGCCTTTTTCCCTTTCCCTTCTTTTTACCCTTTGATGGCTCCTCTGCAGCCTTCTCCGCTGTCATTTGGGATACAGCCTCAACCGTGGCTGCCTTAGATTCAGACGGTGGCTCGGGGGTTTTCTCCTCAGGTTTAGGACTCGAGCGCGTGAGCGTTGCTGTTTTCTGCACCATCACCGTTTTCTGCACAGTCACCGTTTCGACTTTGTGGCCAGTCGTTTCCTCAGATTTCACAGGCTCCATGTGGGACAGCGCAGTATGTGACATGTCCTTGGGAGGTATTGCCCCCTGCCTGGCCTCACTGATATTGCTTCTTGATGTTTTCCCTTTGACTTGCCCATCCACTTGGGACACCTCTGGCAGTGATGTTTCTTCAGCCTTGCTTTTTGACTTTGCGTTAGGTTTTTGGGGGACCTCCCTTATCTGTTCCCTGTTACCATCCAAGTCAGCCACATCCTTATTTCTGTCAGTTGTCTTCTTGTAGGAGACCTCAGTTAGAGTCTCTGAGGCCATAGTCAATGTAGAGTGGATGTTTTTTTCTTCCACCTCTGCTGGGGATTTGACTTTGTCAACCTCTGACTGGGTTTTGTCCTCAGCAACGGTGCTTTTAGACATGTCCACAGGAGATTTCCTTTTCTTTCTCTTTGATTTTGAGCTTCCCTCTACAGCCTGCTTGGCATCTTTAATAACCTGTGCGTCAGCAGCAATCTCAGCGGACTCAGATGAGTGTTGTTCTTCTTGCTTTTTCACAGGATCCTCCACTGAAACTTTAGGTGACTCTGCTGGCAACACTGGTTCATCTTTCTCAAGCAGGGAAACTGCATTTACACCGTTGTCCTCCTGTTGCATAATGACTTCTGTCACTATACGTTTCCCTTTGAGAGGCTGCACATCGTCGGCCCTGACCTGGGGTGCTGAGGCAGTCGTAGAACCAGCTGTAGTTTTAGCTTCAACTGCAGAGGAGTCAGCTATCATTGTCATTTTCAGGGAGGCAGACTCAGTTTTAGGATTTGGTGGGAGGTTATCTGAGTTTATTTTTGGATGGCTGGTCTCTTGAATCACTTTAATTTCAGAGATCCCCTCTGGTGCATTAGTGGCGGTGGGCTCATTTTTTTGTTTTCTGCCGTCCTGAGTTACTTTAGCAGGTTTTTTCGCATTATCATGATCCATTTTATTTCCCACTGGGACTTGAGCCTTCATAGCTGGAACTGTTTCATCTTTAACCTTTTCTTTTTCACACTTCCCGTCTTTGCGTTCTTCTCTGATGGGCTCCGAAAAAACAGGGGTTTCTGTACTAAGAAGAGCTCTGGCGGTTTCTTGAGTTGTGCGAACTTGTTTGGGCTTTACTTGATCATTTGTTCTTTTATCTCTGACACTGATCTCTGCTGGCTTTGATTCTTCCTCTCTTGCTTGTGTATCAGGCAGCACTATGGCAGATGAGAGGGTAGAAGCGATTTCAACTGACTTTATAGGACCTTTTTCATCAGAGACGTTTGGCTTCTCTTTATTTGTTGTTTCTTTGTTAGTAGAAGACTTTGTGGTGATCTTCGATGCTGCAGTACCTGAGGCTTTACCAGCAGCACTTAATGGTGGGGGTGTTATTGGAGATGCCTGTGACGCATCCTGCTGTAAATCTCTTGTTTGTGCAGGAACAGAACTGGGCATGTTTTGGACCTCCAATGCTCTCCTCTCCTGTGATAAAACTGGCTTCTCAGCTCTCAAATTAAGATCCCGTTGAGTAAATCTATCCATCCTTTTTTCCTCCATTGCCATTAATTCACCATTAGAGCTGGTTCCTCTCCGATTAAGAGGCTGATGCTTCTCCTCCAGCTCCCATGATGCTTTTGGCCTAGCCTGTTCCGCATTCAAATGACGGCCCCGGAACCTGGGGGTCCTATCTGAGTAATTCTCCCGTTCCCCAGGCTCAGACATCTTATGGCGGTAACTTCTACGCTCCACCATTGCCTCCTGGCTCTCCGATTCGCCCCTTTGTCCCGGTTTAGGAACATACGAAGTGGGGCCATGTACAGACTGGACCCGTGCAGCCCGGTGGGCAATGGCCAGAGTGGCAGCTGGCTTTCTAATCCGCTGCAGAGATGCTGGGACAATCTCAGCAGGCAGGTGGAGGTAGTCGCGCAGGTAAACAATGCCTTCATTGGTCAGGTACCAGTAGAAATGTCTCCAAGCGAATGTCTCCTTCACAAAGCCCCTAGACTTAAGAGAGCCCATTGCACGGATCACTTGTAGATTGCTCACATCTTGTACATCAGGGTGCTTGATCTGAGGCCTCTTGTCTTTCTTGGCCACCATAACTCCATCTCGAAAGAGGATCTCATAGATGGCTCTAAGGTCCCTCATGGGCATCAGCATTCCGGCAACCATTGTGCTTTAAGTCGGTAAAGTCTTTAAAAGTCAAACAAAAATGCTCAGCATCAACACAAAGTGGAACTCGGATGTCTCAGGTCTTTTGTGAGCGAAGAATTAAGTTGCAAAACCAGTCGACTGGCCTCTTAACTCTATGTGAAGCAGTTCAAGAACAAAGTTCGAATTTTCCTTACTGTCTCTTCCTCGTATTCTTGTTGATCCCTTGGGTTTCGTGAAGAAAATTAATATTCCTCCTCGTCCTATTCCCTTTACATTTAAAGGCACGGAATGAACAGTCTCTGTTCTGCCGAGATGGCAATGACAGAATGGAAGAGAGGCAGCGTGTGTGAGAGAGTGAGAGAGCGACTTAGCACACTGCTCAGGCCGGCTCCACCTACTTTCTCTCTATTACCCTTAGAAAAAAAGAGCCATGGAAAAAAATTCTCACTAAAGTAAACAGAACAAGAGGAAGCAAGACGAAAAAAAATAGTGCAATAAACTCGACCGTAAGACGGAGCTAAGTCAATGGAGCAGCAGCACATGTATGAAGTGTCCACGAGCACATGTCCAGTAGCTCTGTGACTTTTACTGAGACACCCACCCACCAGAAAGCACACGCCCCCAGTCCAACACACACATACACACCTCTGAATGTGCACTGCGGCCGGCTGACACACACCCTCTGGCGTGTCACACACACTGGCCCAATGAATTGGGCTACACAGAGATTAGCTATAAGAGAATGAACCGACCAGTTCGCATTCTTCATTCCTCTCCTGAGGCGTCTCGCTGGACGATCCTGTCAGAGCTGAAAGGTGTCCAATTTTACACTTTTCCTGATCGAGTATCACTGAACGGCTTTCACTCTACACACGGGGTGTAGTTTTCAGATCTCATGACTTACAGTAACGACACAAAGATGGACGGAGACATTTGAGGAGATGGCACATAAATGTATTAATATATCACGGTCAATGGAGACAGTTAACAGTTCTTTTTATAGATGAGAATTAAAAAAATGGCTTTAACATACTTAGACTGATGTATTGCCTGCCTATTTTATTTCCCTCTGACATGAAAAATGATTCTATTCATAAGTGTATTTGTTTGGTGGATCTCCAGGCCATAAAGAGAAGAGGGCGGGATAGACTAACCAGTATTTCCGTTTGCAGCCCATTAAAGTGATGCAACACGGTGTAAAACCACCCTAAAGTTGTGGTACTATTTCAGACAGCTAACATTAGAACTTCTAGCTTGGAACCAAGAATCTGTCTTGCACAACTATATAAAGAACTGTGCATTGTGGCTAACCTTTGCAGTGCACCCTGAAACATGGTATCAGATTTCTATCCCAAGACCACTTCCCAGTTCCGTACATCTGTCCCCTGTTCGTCTCTCGATCTCAGCGAAAGCGTCCCCTTTCATCCAGGAAAACTGGACGGGACACTCACAACTTCAGGTCAGAGTAAAGGAGACGATGATATAGTGAGGAGCAGAGCGAGCTGACAGTACTGTGCTCAGACATAGTGATATGGTTGGAAAATTATAGTGGTGGTGAATGGGAAGCCATGAAATGATGCTTTCCTTCTGCTGTTTTAAACCACACCGTGACACATTCAAACAGCGGCAGAAAACACTGTTTTGCTTTTGTTTGCCATGGCAACAGTCAAATGAAGTGAGCCAAGTCCGAGTGAGCTACATTTCCGCTTTCAAGGCTGCAGCGAGGGAACCTGGACAGCTGCGGCACACTTCCATTAATCAGAAAAATAATTTTTGATGACAGCGTTATGGGATTTAAAGTGTCAGGAAAACTAGTGTCTATACAGTGCGTTTGAAATACTCTTAACTGAGGGGGAAAAGTTATTTGAATACATTCAGATTCATAGATTCGGCAGGAATTTAAATTGTGGGTTTGTTAAAAGTCTGGGGGAAAGAAGCACACAATCAACAAGTTGTCTGATGCCATCAGTCAGAGTTTAGGGTGGTGCCGTAGGCAATGTAGATTTGCATTCCACCTACAGCA